TGTCCCATGAAAAACATGGTGGATCTTTCCATAGCATAACCACCATTTTCCTATGGTTTTCCTATGATTTTCCCATAAAACCACCATTTTTCAATTTTTACACATGGTTTTTTATAGCTGCACTGGCTGATCTTCACGTCATCAGGCACAACACCTTGGAAGGCAACCTGGGCGTGTGGAGCCTAGGGCGAAATCGCGCGCTGAGACATAGCCTAATGCATTGGTAAATACCCTTTTTTAATGGGAAAATCACAATTTTTAATGGGAAAATCCACTATAACTATGGAAAATCACCATTTTTAATGGGAAAATCCACTATAACTATGGAAAATCACCATTTTTAATGGGAAAATCCACTATAACTATGGAAAATCACAATTTTTAATGGGAAAATCCACTATAACTATGGAAAATCACCATTTTTAATGGGAAAATCCACTATAACTATGGAAAATCACAATTTTTAATGGGAAAATCCACTATAACTATGGAAAATCACAATTTTTAATGGGAAAATCCACTATAACTATGGAAAATCACAATTTTTAATGGGAAAATCCACTATAACTATGGAAAACCACAATTTTTAATGGGAAAATCCACTATAACTATGGAAAATCACCATTTTTAATGGGAAAATCCACTATAACTATGGAAAATCACAATTTTTAATGGGAAAATCCACTATAACTATGGAAAATCACAATTTTTAATGGGAAAATCCACTATAACTATGGAAAATCACAATTTTTAATGGGAAAATCCACTATAACTATGGAAAATCACCATTTTTAATGGGAAAATCCACTATAACTATGGAAAATCACAATTTTTAATGGGAAAATCCACTATAACTATGGAAAATCACAATTTTTAATGGGAAAATCCACTATAACTATGGAAAATCACTATTTTTAATGGGAAAATCCACTATAACTATGGAAAATCACCATTTTTAATGGGAAAATCCACTATAATTATGGAAAATCACCATTTTGTTTTGGGAAAACCAACTATTTCTATGGCCATTTTCAATAGCTATGTTAGTTTACCAGAGAGTATTTGTTGTGATATACTTAGCATGTTTCAATGGTTTTGATATGTACATGGATTAATTTTGATTAATATTAGATTTGATTACGGTGTATTTGTTTTTGCCAAATTATATTGTAAGTAAATCTAAGTAATTTTAGATAATGGTCAGAATAATGGGAAAACGAACTGCTGTAAGTGATTATTGGGGTGATGCTTGCCATTTTTACAAATCAAGATTATTGCTGTCACTTTGATGATATACATCATATAGATGCAAATAGATATGATACAGGCAAATGTGTGAAGTTGGACTTAGCATCACACATGGGGCTTGCAACTAGCCAGTTCTTACATACCCCCCATCTGGTTATTTAACAGTTTGCCATGGTATAGATGGCCCATTTATAGATGATTTTCCCATTAAAACCCCCATTTACTAGGGATTTTCCATGCCTATGTTAAATAACCAGATGGTAAATCCGAAGGACATAAATACTTGGGCAGGGGCCCGGGGTGATCCTGTGCCTGGTGCCACCAAAAAAGGCGACTGGTCAGATCTGGATCAACAAAAAAACGACCTTGTTCTCATTGGGAATCATTTGGTTCGTAAGGGGAATCGTCCCCAAAATAGTTTTAATTCAGGTTAGTGAAATATCATAATTTACCCATAATATATAATATATGTATAACTGGATTATAACTATGGTTACTAACCACTATATAATTGGGCCCTCCACCGAATGACCGAGGTTGGAGCCATTCCTCTTCTGTCCGGAATGTTGGAGAGTGATCAGGTGCGATCCTGGGCATTGTTCACTTCGATCATTGGTCAATGTTGTTATATGAATCAGTCGCATTTTATATAACAACATTGACCAATTATATAACATATGTGACATTATGTGACTGATCACTAATACCACAAGAGTGTACTTGGAGATGTGCCCTTGTCTTGGTTTCTTTGGTTTAGAAATACTTTGTTTCTGGTTACTAACTAGTTACCCATTTATAAATGATTCCATTGAGGGGACTTGGTGACAAGGGCCACAGCTATCAATCGCTTGCCCACTTTTCATCATCCTCCAAGCACAGCACAGGTCATTGCTGAATCACAGTGTCTGAAAAAATGTGCGAAGTCCCATGGAAAAAAATGCCATTCTTCATAGAAATCATGATGGTTGACTGGTTGACTAGTGATTGGTAGATTTTGATAAGTTTTTTTGGGGTAGTCATCACATATACTAATGAACTATCTGTTGTGGCATCATTGATATTCCTCCTTCTCATACCAGTTCATCCCTCAATGCATTCCATAAATGGAGGTACCCTTAAATCGTCCATATTGATAAGTTGTTTAAATCATGCACCATCCATTTTTGGTGTATCGAAACATCCATATCTTGTTGCTCCAATCATGAACTCAGTCAGGGATGGTGATCCATGATGATACCACCATTATATACTTTCCTCAGATGGCTTGAAAACCACCAGTCAATCTGCGGAATCCAACGTGGCAAGGGGCAAATCCATTAGGAAATCCCATTTAAAATCCATCATTGATAGTGGATTTTCCATGATTTTCCCATTTTTAGGGGGTTTTCCCCATGAAAAACCCCCCATTTATAGAGCATTTTCGATCTGGCCATTGTTTCATTGCCGGGTATCCACTTCTCCCGGTGTCGCCAGGAGCCCGCCGGCTTCTGGACGGCAGCGCCCAACAACGTATGGAGAGACAATGCTTGGGGCACCCAGCAGTTTCCTGGTGGGAAGGCCAATGTCAACTCCAAAGTGAGGAATGATCTCCCGGTGTTGTTTCCATAATTTTCTTGAGATGCCCATAATTACCATATATCATATCCCATGATTACCCATCATGGCGATCATATGCGATCACCATAATAATCATCATCTTCTTCATTTTCCTATTCATATTTGCCTCTACCTTCATATTCATCATCATCATCATCATCATCACAATAAAAATCATAATCATAATAATCATAATCATCATAATCATCATAATAATAATAATCATCATCATCTTAATATATCTTAATCATGTTCATTTTCATCATCTTCATAACAATAATAATAATAATATTCTTCTTCATCACCCATAAGTTCCATGCCCCAGCAGCGATTTCCAGGTGGCTGTCACGGGATCTGATGGTTGGTACTTCCAGCTGTCGCTCAGTCGAGAAACGCTGGGCCTGGGAGAAGGCTAGGGTTACTATAGTAAGCCCAAAATAGAAAAGATGGAAACATGGGAATGTGATGTAAATATAAATATATATATATACTATATATAGATATTTAATGATATAGTATATACATATATATATATATATATATACATATGGGGGTTTTCCATCAATGGGGGATCCCCTTTATCGCTGGATGGTTTATTTCAGGGAAAATCCATCTATAAATGGATGATTTGGAGGTAGCCCTATTTTAGGAAACCTCCATATACTGTATATATATAATGTACATTGGTGTATGGATTAATATGTACATTAATGTAAATGTCATCTTCACCATACAAAGCTTACACAGTTTCTCGGCATCTGTTTGGGGATTGCGATTGCTGTCTGTAGAACTAAGACTGAATTGTGTCATAAGTTGGATGATTTTGGGAAGTTGCCTGGGTGAAGGGTAGGTATGTTTCTTTGTGAATTTAACATAGTTTTGGAAAGTCAGACTTGGAATAATTTATGGCATAGCCAGTTTACCACATTTTTGATGGTCCTATCACTGGCCAATGTCCCAGTATTCCCAATTAATTGTTGATAAACCCCCATTAGTTAAATCTCATGATAATTGGTTTAGCACATGGGTTTGTTTGGGAATTATATACCCATATATATATATATATATATGCCCCAAAATTCCATGGTTGCAAAGATCAATTTCCCCACTAGAGTCACTAGCCAGAACAAAGGAGGAGTCCTCCATTCTTAAACTCACCCAGATCAGCAGCTGCATGGTTTCTGCTGTCACGAATTGCTGATAAATCGCAACGATTAATTATTGTTAAGTCTCCATCGATGAATGCTTAAATCCCCATCATTTTCGCTGCTAAAATTGCCATTGTAGCTGTAACCCTTTGGTAAACTAACATAACTATGGAAAATCACCATTTTTTTGTGGGAAAATTCAATATAAATGGTGATTGTTCATAGTTTTTTCTAACATAACTATGGAAAAACTATGGAAAGATCCACCATTTTTCATGGGATACTCTGATAAACATATTGGGTTAGCACATCGTATGATGATTCGCAGCACGAGACTCCATGGATCGCCATGGCACGTCCTGTTTTGAGGCCTGGCACGCCCATCTCGCACAACATTGATATCTACAAGGCGGGTGTCCGGATTTCTCTGAGTTTCATGGGAAAATGGCGATTGAACTAACAGAAAAATGGGATTCCAAGAAATCTCTGGAAGTGTATAGCTGATTTGTGGTATACCGGTGGCGATAAACACGATGTCCGTTGGACATGTCCTTTTTCAGTGGATCCAGAAGGTGCCAGAGGGGCTTTGCTGAAGCATTTTCCAGTTCACACATCTAGTAATTCCCGTAAGCTGTTCAACACCCTTACCGATATTGAAGATGATACACGGCCGATATATCGATGATACATTGCGCAGATTCTCAAGAAACAAAACAAGAGAATGGGACTGGACTGGATTATGATATGCAATCGATTGTCTCAAGAACATGTAGAGTCTACAATGTAGAGGAATCCCGGCCACATTTGATTCTTAGAGGTTACAAAAGCAGAAGTTGCACGTGAGATCCTCTGTTATTTGCAATGGAAGTGTGCTCCATGGCATCGGGTGCCATGCTGCCTGAGTTCGACATAGCTGACGTGGAAGGAAGATCTGCCAGGGCCTGACTTGGTGTTGGCAGCTGGGCATTCCCGAGCTTCAGACGTTCAGATTCGTCTCGGAAGAAGGTTCACAGCAAATTGAGGATGATGAGGTGTTTTTTCAGGGGTTGGTAACTGTCCCATTTTGGGTATATTGGACATCACCTTATAGTAGCCATTATAGACCATATACCTAATGGTTGGGTGATGTTCAATGGGGACATTTAATGACCCATGTTTTTTGGGCAGATTCCACAGAAAACTCCAGGTTTTAAGCGTTTTTTTGAATTTTGCCCATTGGATTGTCACGAAGACGAAAGGATGAATGAGGCATGCAGAAGAAATGAGTCAGTCGCGCTTGAAAAGCTGCTTCAAAAAGATTTTTGTCAGCTCTGTCAGCTCCCCTGCTTGCGGAAAGGGCTACTGCTTGGTGCTTTGGAACATGTTTTATCTTCCCATTCAGTTGGGAATTTCAACATCCCAACTGACTTTCCTATTTTTCAGAGGGGTAGGTCAACCACCAACCAGCTGAACAATGCCATGTTGATGGGGCAACACCCACCTGGCAGTTGAATCATTTAGGTATGGATCAATACCTATATTAATACCATTTTTAATGGGATGAACATCCATAAATCCCAGCTATTTTGATGTGAACTACAGGGGTACTATTGGTTTTGACACACTGGCATTTGAACAGGGACATCTGGAGATTGCTCGAGTTTTGGTGGAGGCTGGCGCGAAAAAGCATCAGCCAAGAACAGATGGCTTCACAGCCTTGCACCTTGCAGCTTGCAAAGGCCGTCTAGATATTGTCCAGCTACTGATCGAGCCCAGTGCCGACACTGATATCACAATGGATCATGTATCAACTGCTTTACTGGTTGGTGGTTTCAAATGGTTTCAAACATGTTTTTTTTTCCATTTCATTTATGGGATATTATGGGATGTCATCCTTCCCATTGACTTTCATATTTTTCAAGATGGTTATTGCATGTTATTGCACCACCAACCAGTTCAGATTTGGCGTTCCGGGCAACACGGCCTGGCAGAGAAAAAAAAACAACGCTGCAGGCTGTGCTGCACGATCAATCTGTACATGGCGTAGTTGAGCCATAATTTGGGTCACGGGGAAATTGCGGTGGCAAAGGGTATATATATATAGTTTGGATTGCATTTATTTGGTATCGCATTCCAATGTCAATCAACTATATATTTTCCAAGTGCCCATGAGAGTTCATGAAAGTGCAAAATGCCAGCATGCCATATTATGGGGCACGTTATATAAATTAGATTCATGATGTCATGGATGTTCATGGTAAATTGAGCAGTGGCTGCTAAACCCCTGTTGGTTGATGATTAGTTTGGGAATAAAAAACTACCCGTCATATATTGGGGATTACTTCATAATCCAAGAGCAGGGAATCCCTATGAACCAACCAGGATTCAATGGAATGATAGAGGGATGGCTAAAAAACATTGCTCAATTGAGTCAATTAGATGTTATATATATATATATTATATTTTACAGGTTATATAAGAGTTTATGTTTTTTTTTAAGTACATTTGATATTAAAATTGAACATCTGACCGGAAATTCCTGGCAGATCATGTTCTCAGTTGGGCGTTCAGTTCTAACTACCTTTTTTTCAGCCGTGCCGATGGGAAACTCCTGGTGCATCCGCAAAAAGTTTGCCAAGTTGGTAAGTCCAAATAACTATAGATGGGCCATGGGATGTTGCCGATTCCTGGTTAGTAACTGGGGATTAACGATTACCCTCTATATCCCAATGATAATCCATTTACTAACTAGTTAACTAACTCCATGGCCCATCTAAGTAGGGTTTTTCATAGGGTCAGGGGCCAGTTAGGATAGTTAGGGGATTATTTGCCGTATTATAAATTATAAACATTTATAAACCAACAAACATCACTGGGGGGCCCCAGCACTCTGCAATGTGCTGATGGGTGCCAATCGGGATTTGGCAACAAGATATTTGGTAACCTTTTCCCTTCCTGAGAGTCAAGCAAACAAATGACACGTGTCATCGAAAAACCTGACCAGCATCTGCATGCTTTCAGAATATATATATATATATTTCAGGATGGTGAAATATCATGAAATATCAGAATTCGGCCTCAAGTTGGCATTCAATTGATACTTAAGGATTTTGTTGCTTCAGTTTCAGTTCTTTCTTCAGAAAAATCCATGGCTGGGAAATCCACTGGCGGATGATCATTCCATTGATGGCCGGAGGGTACCCTCTGGTAAATTAACCGTTGGACCCTGAATTGATCACCCATTTTTAGAGGAAACTCATCTTCCAACCCCTATATATATCTACCAGGGTCGAACTGTTAATTTACTGGAGGGTAAAGGAAACCTGTCACTGAATTCCATGCAGCACTTGTGAGTCCGGGAAATCTTCGGTTGCCTTCTCCCACCAGGATAGCATTTGTCCAGTGGGCACGCGTATCGGCGAGTGGCGACGCAACCGTTGTCATCACTTGCCAGGCACAATGCTGGTGAAACCGTAGTTGCGGTGAAACCTGCCGTGGAACTTGATTGGGATTTAGCCCCTCTTTTTTGTGGATTTCACCAACAAAAATGAGGATACACGTGGTACATGGATAGTGACAGGATCAGGATGTATTTCGTGATTGCTGGCATCTATACCAGTCATTTCACCACACACAAACGTCAGATGGAAAAGGACTGAAATTGGTCTAACATCCAGACAAATGGGAATAGTTTTTCCCGGATAGGATCATTTATGGAGAGTGGTTCAATTCGCATTAGTGTTGATTTTCAATATCGATTTACATGGATATGTGAGGTACTGTTCGGTATCATGGGGGATATGTGCGGTAGTACACCTAGACCATTTGATTTATACATAGAGATTGCTATTTCACCCGGAAAAAAAGAATTTATTACTAATTATACGCTTGCATTATATATTTGCTACATTGACCAATTTGTTACGGATGCCCCAAAGCCTCTTCAGTATACCTCCGAAGAATTCCGAAGAAAAGTCATGTTCGGAAATTCTGATCAACAACAGGATGAGCCAACAATCATCGGTTAAGTTATAGCCACCTCTGTATCTACATCTATACCAGTAAATACATGTAAATACCTAAGTTAATCCTAAGTTATAGCCACCTCTTTACCCAGTTTCCCCTTGTATTTATAATTTTATAGGTGTTTTGTGGTTCAAGGTCTGCAGCCAGCAACAGTTCCCATAGCTCTGGGCGAGGCAGCTGCATTCGTATCTACCTCACTTGGATCCCGCGAAAGGCGGGGACGGCTGTATTTTAGGTTAAACCGTTGAACCTCCTTGCTTCTTATAACATCTTATAACTGTAAACCAGTTTATGACGGTTTCTGTTTTGTCATAGGGCTACCCCTTAAATCATCCAGTCGTCATGAAGACCATGACTTATAGGATTGAAACAATCATGATGACTTGGGGATGCCGCTTTTTTTTAGAGACCTCACATAGTCATGGGCATAGCTACATGCCAACAATCTAGTATGTTTTTTTTTCTTTGCAGGGTCTTCCAGATTTTCCCACATCAAACAAGTGGATTCTGAGCAACCACAATGGATAGTATCGCTGTGAAGCCGCTGATTTGTTCTGAGTGTAGTCAACAAAACCAGGATGGTTGAAAGCTACGTGGAGGAGAATCCCATTTAGTGAGTAGCCAGTTATAATGGTCATTTGCAATAATCTACTGATATTGACTGGTATAGTTTTATTGTGGAATATAGTGTGATATCTCCATTTATAGATGGATTCTTGATGGATTATAAGTTACTTAAGGATACTTAAGGTATAAACCAGCCATTCTAAATGTGTGCACCGAGGAGCCGTGCAACGCGGACAGCGCGGAAGACCCACAGATCTTGTTCAACACCACCTGCAGGGGAACCCGTTCTGGAATGATGGTGAATGATGTGAATGATGGTGAATGTACCCTCTGGTAATTTAACAGTTTGCTATTGAAAATGACCATAGAAATAGTGGATTTTCCCATTAAAAATGGTGATTTTCCATAGCTATGTTAAATTACCAGAGGGTAAGAGGAACTTGTTTACCAAAAGAACGCCTGATTGTTCAATGGCAATGGCTATGAGTTATAACTGGTTCTGACTCTATGGGATTTTCTACATTCTATAAATGGGGTTAGTTCAGTACTTATAACTGGTAAATGGCCATAATTGTAGAACTGATGAAAAAAACTGGGAGGTGTAAAACCAAGCATGAGGCACAATGAAAACCGTCGTGACTTTCACTAACTAACTAATGCCCAATCCCTCCAACCAAGCCAGGTTTGCTGCCACTTACTGTCCTTGAACAGCAGGGATGGATACAAAAGAAACATACCATCTATGGCAATCAGACATGGCAATTCGTAAAATTGGTAGATGATGAATTCCTCGTTTTCGTCTCACTGCCCGTTGAGAATGTTATAGAATGTAATTCAACGTTGGATTTCCCACTGTAATGCATGTCTTATAAGGATCATTGGAATCGAATCTTCAAAAAGTCATGCAGATCTTGGCGCCTTCTTGAAACAACTGCCCAAAGGAAACCAAGTTTGGTCTAGAGCGGAACACCTCACTGGAGGGGAATCTCAAATAAAGAACGTATTCTTAGCAATTTCCAATGTGGGGATCGGATGGGTCAAAACCTATTACTACCATATTGGGGTGCTGGCCTGTGGGCCAAGATGTTTGCCTTTGGCCATCCTCACATCAACATCAAGCATCTCTGACTTTCTAATAATAATATACAGCATATATATATATTATACTATATATACAGTGTTCGAGCATTCTTCAACTTCCAAAGACATCTGATTGCAATTCTGGTCAAACATCTTGACCATTGATTCATACAGTCTGTTCTTGTGTCATTTGCTGCAGCTCCCCTTGCCCTGTTGGCTCACAGCTTTGGCTGCATCAAAAGTTATGAATCTGACCAGCCTTGCCATGGGTCAACCATAGCGGATCACATACTCAGCCCATGAGAGCTCAGATTTGAGCCGAGTAATCTCTTCCCCCTAATATTCAACACCCCCCAGAAACCATCGTGGATGTGGGGAATTTACACATCCACATGAATTAGTTGAAAAATGTGAAAGTATCCCAGATCTATTTGTTCGAGATGTTGTCCCTTGCGCGCCTTTCGCTGGCCCTCGCGGCTCTCTCGAATCTGCAGCTGGCGCTGGCAACAGCGGAGAGTTTTCCGAGAACCCGCGAAAGAGCTGCAGCGATCAGGGACGAGATTGAGTCTTGGTCTTTCAAGTCATGTGGTGTTTACCCTCTGGTAAGCCAGCATAACTATGGAAAATCACCATGTTTAATGGGAAAACTCACTATAAATTGGCATGTTCAATAGCAAACTGTTAAATTACCAGAGGGTACATGTGTTTACCCAATGCTGTCATCGTCTCATGAAACCATGGGAGTCTAGCCATCATCATACCATGACAGTCATGGGGTGCCTATGGAATGATTTATTCAATCGTTTCTCACAGCTGATTGGTGGTTTGGAACCATGGAATTTTATGACTTTCCAGAAACAGTTGGGAATGGAATAATCATCCCAACTGACTTTCACTCCATCATTTTTCAGAGGGGTAGGTCAACCACCAACCAGATTATAATTATATATATAACCGTCATTAACCATATATTAACCATTATTAACCATATATTAACCATATATTAACCATTGAAATCCCATTAAAATCCCACTAATATATATATATATAATTCTGTCTGGTTCATGATGATCCCCAAAGACCGACTTCACCGACGCTGCTTCAGCTGAACGAATTAACCGCCAAGCAGCTGGTTCGGGACGATTGTGGGACTGTTACATGCAGACTTGGCAGAATTTGATATTAGGAGGTATTGCTCACTAACTTCCCATAAGAATTGATACATTCAAGATTAGTGGTGGTGTGGTGGTGTCAAAAAAAAGTGCTGCCTATAGAAAATCGCCCGCAAGTTGTTTTTGCTGATTTCCAGATTGTTCCAGGTGCATTTGTACTGTAGCTACTGTGATTGAATGGGATCACCAGATGAATGTTTTTTAAGATATTTAGAGGCGTCACTCCTTATGATGATGTGCCTCAACTTCCCTATGGATCCAAACACTGTCTGAGGAGGTAGTTAGCCCTCCAAACGATAGTAAATTATTCCCCACACACTTCCTAAGAAGGTATATACTTGGATCCATAGGGCTTAGACACAAAGGGTACTTTCTCAGAAGCAAACACCAATGACAAGTGCACGGGACTTTGGAGTATTTTGTTAGTGGAAGCATTTTGAATGACATCTAAACCACATCATATAAGTTGTTTAAGGCCCATAACCTATAGATATAAATACTATAGACCCAAGTTATTAGAGTTATAACCCAACTAAGCTGAATAATTCATTTTTTGTTGATAATACACATCATGTTAAATCACCAAATTCCCATGGTTACTATAAACCAACTTAGCAATTCCAAACTGGGGCACCAGCGAACGTTCGTGGCGTCCCTAGGTGAGCTGGCGACGGCATTTGCATGCGCATCCTGAGCTCATGTATCAGGCAGCTTAACTTTATGGAGTTTTGGGGCGAGGTCCTTGCTTCTCCAGAGTTGAGAAATAGTGAGAATATATCAGGGAACCAATCCAGAACATGTAGAATTAGAAAATCATGATGGTTATTAATAATTAGCATTTAATCTACGTATATACATGTAGGACTTTATGTGGATATTTTATCGTGAGAGGCATGATGTATGTCCTATACTAACGGATATATGATTGATGCTGTAGTTTGCCAGCGGTGTAATTAAATATGCCACAAGATGACACATGTAGTCATTGCAACATACATCGGACAATGAGTTGGGTCGTGTGGTTTTCTCCACCTATTTTAACGGTTGGATGTGTGTCCAAGGGCCCAAAATAGACCATGTCATGCAATCCATGTCATGCAATTTGTCACTGAGCTTCTACCATACATGCATTTTCGAAACACCAGAATTTTAAAAAAAAAAACATGAAAAAAAACAACACTCTTTGGGACATGTTTTCATTTGATGGGTATGTTTACGTTCCACTTGCTTTCAACATGCTGTAGCCTGTAGCTACAGTATATGGTACCCACCTCCTTTTTGATGGTTTCTCATTATGGGACGGGGCGAATGTCGGCTTTGTTTGTTGAGGATACACCGCCACACACCTCAAGGGTTCGGCGGATTTATACTCACTTGTGTCTATTTCAAAACTCCTGTGGATACAGTAAATAATATGGAGTTATTATACTATGCAATAGATTGAGTGAGGATTATCACAGTTCATTGTTGGAATTCCTATCAACCAACTAGATAGAGGCACACCAGACGTTTTTTTTGTCGCCAAGGGCAAGTATTTGAAGGGCACATGCTTTGGCTTTACCTTGCTCAAACTCCCACATGATATGCTTTGACTTGCTTGAATCACCACATTTTTTTCAGGTAAACCCCAAGCTCTTGCGCGTTCCATTTTATATTTTGGTGGTCAAATCCCAACCATGTCTGGTCTTAAAATTTCGCTATTGTTTCTAAGTCACCCTTTTTGTTGGTGTAGCTCCATTTTTGTTCCTTAAACCACAATTCTTATTGGTTAAAGGTAAATCACCAACCATTCTTGGTTATTGATTAAATCATGTTAAAATCCGATTTTTATTGGTTGAATTTTCAATTTCATTGGTGAAGTCACTATGTTCTTTGTTTAAGCCACCAAAATTTCCCGGAAATCCTTTGCCTCCCTTGGTGCCTTTGAGTCGTGCGTTTCAGGAACACATGACGTCGCAGTTCATTCAAGATGTGCTGAAAAGCTTGGGCATTCCATTCACCGCAGGTGCAGGATGTTATGACTGTTGCTGGTGTCTATTGCATGAGCCAACGAATAGGGTGATACAATATCTGTCAATATCTGATATATTGTGGGTAAATGATGGGTAAATGATGGGTAATGATGGGTAATGATGGGTAAATGATTGGCATGGTGTTTTTTTGTTTGTTTTTTGTTGTATTTTGTTGATTGGGCTGATGATTCAAATCTATCCAGATCTGGTCTCATTCCTTGGCTGATCTCGGCCAATCTCAACGGATCATTCTGCCCAGTTCCCAAAGTTGGCCTAATAAGACACTAGGTTAAGTAGGTTTTATGGTGGATATATCAATTCCTGGGTGTTTTTCTTTCTGCCAGGTAGTATTACTGGGGTACCGGGGTACCACTTTGTATCCTGCTCCCTTGTAGTCCCACCATCTCTCAAGTCTTCTTTTTCCTTCCCTTCCTTTGAAAATGGGATTGGATCAGATTGGATCCGCACCAAGAGAGTCCCAATTTTGATAATCTTGGCTGTTTGAATCTCATTTTTGATTGGTTGATGTTGCTTGAAGGCAGAATTTTGGAATGTTGGAAAATAGCTTGCTAGTCCTAGAAGGTGGTGCCAGCAGTGAGAAGTTGTTTACAATCCCAATGACTGTGTATAAGATACATACAGTATATATATATATATTATACATAATATATATATATAATATTATACTATACATATATATATAGTATATTATATGTATATCATATATTATATGTATATCATATATTATATTAATATATATCATATATTCCACAAAAACATAGTTTATGCCAAACTATAACTCAACTTAGCTATCGTACATCAACTACAACAACTTTGACTCCCATTAAATCATTAAATCATCATGGTTTTTGGGTGAGATCACCATGTAGTATTAGGTAACTCCCCTTCAAGATCATCAATTCTCCTAGATCATCCCTGAACTTTCACCATGTTTTCTAGGAAAATCACCGTTTTTCCTAGATCAAACCTAGTTTCAAACCCAAAATCTCCATTTTTCCCAGAAAATTCCACCCTTTCCCGGCCAGGCTGGGCAAAGAACACCCGGCAGAACGCCACCGGCCGCGCGCGCCCGGTGTTGGGCCCCGGCGGCACCGGGGTCGTGGCCGAGATCGGCCGTGGCGCGCCGCTGGTGGCGCTGAGGGCGGATATGGATGCGCTGCCCATCCTGGAGGATCACTGATGGGGCTGTGACATACATATTGTATGTGTATATATACATAATAAATAAATAAATATATATATATATATATCTGGGCAAATTACAACGACCTCACTGCGACCTCACTGGAATCATTGTTTTTATAGGCGAATCATCCCAAAATGGCATTATTTCAGGTTAGTGAATTATTATAATTTGCCCAGTATATATACATTTTGTATGTATATATATATACATATAGGATATTTACTTGAATATCAATGGACATTCATATTAATATATATATATATATATATATAATCACTATGAGTATCTACTGAAAGATACAACCACATGTTTGGATTTACTGGATGGTGGTTTGGAACATGAATTTTTCAGAGGGGTTGAAACCACCAACCAGTATATGCATAGGGGATATTTATTGCAATATCAATGGAAATGCATATTAATATAATCACTATTAGTATCTATTAGTCTATTAGTGTATATTTTCTATATAATACCCCTATAAACCATACATACAATTCTCCAGTTTTATTATGGTTTGATGATGACTGGAGGTACCACTATTTTAGGAAACCTCCATACATCTATGATAATTATATATATATGATATTTACTGCAATATCAATGGAAATTCATATTAATAGTTACCTTGGGATTACCCAACAATAGTCATGAATTTTGTTAATTTGGTTGGTGGTTTGGAACATGTTTTTTCCATATATTGGGAATAATAATCCCAACTGACTATTTTTTAGAGGGGTTGAAACCACCAACCAGTATATACATATAGGGGATATTTTCTGCAATATCAATGGAAATTCGTATTAATATAATCACTATTAGTATCTATTAGTGTATATTTTATGTATAATACCCCTATAAACCATAATGAAATTGGAGGTATAAAGCCACCAATTAGTATATTTATCTGAAACCTGCTTAAAACAATAATAAACCATCCCCCAGTCATCACCATAAATAGGTGCTATAAACGATGTCCAAATGGGTGGTTTGTTGTTGTTTTAACCACATTACAGATGGTGGTGCCCGAGTTCGTTAGATAAGTTGGTTCATAAGTCCAATAACTATGGTTTAGGTGATATATCGATAGTTATACATGGGATTTGAACCAACTTGCAACCCGGCGGGGCGCCACCTTGTTTATATATATATATACATATATATACACATATATACGTATATATATATATAAACAAATAGATATACTAATTGGTGGCTTCCTGAGCGAAATTTCACGTATTGCGGATATGACAAACGAAGAAACCTGGGGAGTGTAGACATACAAGGTGGTGCCCCCCAAACGTGATATTTGTTGGTTTATAAATCATAGGAATAGTATAGCTATATCCACCATAAACCCTAGTGAAATTGGAGTTATTTGCACCAACTTAGCGTTGATGAACTAGGGCACCATCTTGTGGGGATAAAACATATAATATACACCAAAAATACGATAGGCATCCCAAGATGATTTGCAGTCTTCCCAACACACACAGGAATGTAACCTCCTAACCTCCGTATATGTTTCTCAGATTACGCAATGTGTGAAACCATGTGTTATATGTTTTTGTGGAATCAATAATGGTTACAGTAAGTCCATTTAAGTCCCGATTTGGGTCAACATAGAAAGCAATTTGGAAACCGTTTGTTTGGGGCGGCAAGGCTAATGGAAAGCGTCCATCTGCAGATCTTTCAGCTGGATCCAGGTTTGCAGGAATTGTTTGTTTTCGACAAGAAACTGTATGGAGATACTGTAATGGATACACAATTTTAATATAACACACCATATATGATCATTTGTGGGTATTTACGTTTATTTGATTCATTTTTTTAATATGGGAATACCACCAACCATATCTGGGATTTGGGATTGGGAATGTCCTAACATGCACAGGAACTGAAGATCCAAATCCAATTGCTTGACATCCGCAGTTCACACGGACGATGTGTCGCAGGAGACACCTGTACCTTATCGATCTGAACACCCTGGACAGATGCACGCATGTGGCCATGATGGTGCCTCGCACTCAGATTCTTTTTACGCCGCGGGGTGTTTCCTCTAGGGTTATGGGATATGAAACGGATTTGGAGTCTGTCTGATGTTGTTTTCTTCTAGTAAAAGCAACATTTTTATTGGATGTTAATGACATATGAATGCGATATCTATATTATATATAACCAATTTAATTATATGTTGGTCTCTTTTAAAAGGGATAATACCTCAAACATAACACTGTTTTAATGGGGAAACTGATAAATAAGTATGAACTTTTGGGGTACCCTGTCTTCAGACAAACCCATTTCAAGACCTCAAGGAATTGGTTAGGTATTTACTTCATTCTCAACATTGTTCTTGTTGGTTCTACATCCTTGACAAGTCAGCATTTGTTCTTAAGTTTTTGTTGCGGACCATTGGTGACGACATTCCCATGGTTATATATGGTTATATAATGTTATATAAGCCCTCACTCATCCCCATTACTGTGATAATGTATATCCATCCATATGCCATGTGTCATGATCAGAACCTGGTTTATGTTCGAAAAAAGCAGATAGTCGTCCCCCGTTTACTCCCACAACCTATATACCACGTTTGCGTTTAATTATCATTATCCCAGATTCCCGAGTTGATGACCCCCATTGTTGATTGAATCCTAGTGCTATCCCAGTATTCCATTGAAGTTCTATCAATATTCAAAAGTTCAATTAGAAATCCATGTATAGTCCATTGAACTGTTCATTAACAAAAATCATTAATAGTCTTAGAAATCCATTATATACAGTAATAGTCCATGACTAACTATTCCATAAAATTCCATGTATATTCCATTGATATTCCATCTTTGTCGGTCTATTCACCAGTTCCGATTCGTGGGATGTTCCTGGGTTTGGCTGCGACCCCGAGGTCACTCATCCATGCTGCTGGGTGCCGCCAAGCTGCTCAAAGACATGGACCTACCTGGAACGGTGCCGTTTCCGCGAAGGGAAACGATGGCAGAAACGATGGCCGATTTGTGAAGCACTTGGTCAACTGGTAGGTTTTATAACGAACTAGTTAATGGGAGGCTCACCATATCCCTTTCATCCATTTTGGGAGGTTTTCTCAACCTTTGAAGTGTTGGGTGAATGGCCAATGAAATGGGTTTATGTATGTTTATGTATGTGTCCCTCTTAAAATTGCCAAATATTTGTGGTATACAGCATTTTCAGACAGACCCTAATGACCGAAACACCAACACCAGACCCCCAAGTGCTGGAAAGCTCGGATAAAGAAGGCCAAAAAAGAAAGAAATGGTACAAGATGGTGCCCCTGTTCGTTAGCTAATTTGGTAGAGCTTTCTTGCACCAACTTCGCTGTAGCCCGGGGCACCATGTCCTTTCCACAGCATCTAGGTGCGCTTAATCTTCCAACCTGCTGAGGAAGGAGGTGCAGGCGCGGCGCAGCGCATGGTCACAGGTTACCTTGGGATTACCCAACAATAGTCATGAAGAGTGGTTATCTGGTTGGTGGTTTGGAACATGTTTTTTTCCATATATTGGGAATAATAATCCCAACTGACTATTTTTTTTTTAGAGGGGTAGGTATACCACCACCCAGTTATAAGCATTAATCAAGGGGGATTAGTGATTTCAACATACCATTCATAGCCCAACATATCCTGTTAAGAGTAGTTCATAGTGATTCGATCATGAGAAACAAAAATCCATACATTGGGAATGGGATATGTGTTTGAAAAGCCCAGGAAGTAGGTTAGCTCACCCCAAGCATCAACCAAGGTGTGGGCTTTCATTTTTCTAAAAAAAATGTAAATTTGACGGTTTGCTATGGAACATGGTTCATTGATGTTCATTTATAGATGATAAACATGAGGATATTTACCTACTATATAGAATCTGGTTGGTGGTTTCGAACATGACTTTTATTTTTCCATATATTGGGAATGTCATCATCCCAACTGACGAACTCCATCATTTTTCGGCTCAACCAACCAGCCAGGCGCCAAGCGGATGTTGGAGGAAGGCGTGTTGAAGCGTGGCGCATCAAACCGTAAAGCCATGGTGGAGCGTTTTTGCGGCGTATCCGGCGTGATACCCTCTGGTAAACGTGTACATAACTATGGAAAATCACCATTTTTCATGGGAAAATCATAGGAAAATCATAGGAAAATCATAGGAAAATCATAGGAAAATGGTGGTTATACCCTCTGGTAAACTAACATAACTATGGAAAATCACCATTTTTAATGGGAAAACTGGCTATAAATGGCCATGTTCCATAGCTATGTTAGTTTACCGGAGGGTATTTCCCTATGGATCCATGGCCACTGTTTGAGAAGGTACAAGCAAAAACTCAGTCATACCCCAGTCGTCGTACTTCCTAAGAAGCTACAACTGGATCCATAGGGTATGTACGATATATGTACAGATAAACACTATACATATGCATATATATACATATATATATATATATATACATTACATATATAGCATATCTGGTTTCAACATTCTGTATTACACAAAATGAAGTGGTCAACCCCTCATGATCCCAATGCCATCTGAAAACCACCCATCAAAATGGTGATGGCTTGGAAGGATGGTTTATGGCATTGGGTTTGCCACGTTAGTGTCAATACTGTATATTCTACATCAACATATGCAAGATCAAGTCTCTGGGTACTCCAAGATGTTGGATGATTTACTGCAAGCAGTGACGGGGTCTTTTGGGCCTGTCACTGGTTGTATCTCAAATTGATGGCGTTTCTGGGAAGATCATTCCACATGAGAATCGGAAAAGAGCCCTGGTTAGCAGGTCAGCAAGTCCCAATGTGGGGTATCTCATACATACATGCGTGCGTGCATGCATACCTACATACCTACCTACCTATATATATATACACATACACATATATACACAGAAGTTGATAGATGGATAAACAAAGAGATAGAACCAACCGGCCAAAAAAATGGGCCCAGGAATGGCGTCTCCCGGATTTTTGGGCTCCATTTGTTTCCTTCGTGTCTTGACTGCATGTCAGGAGACGTGTCTTGACGTTATTGAGCTGCAATAACGGGGTGATTTGCAGAAATAGTACAAATAATATAATATTGAAAATAACTAAAAGAAGAATATAACCTACTTTTGGGGTGATTTGAGAAATATATTGGTACCCTATGGAGCCAAATACTTCTTGAGAAGGGACAAATCATCTTACTTTTTTCATACCCCAGTCGTACTTGCTCAGAAGGGACATATCAAATAACATCGACAGCCAGATATCAACAGCCAAGGTATTTCCAAGGAACATGATCTATACTATACACTATCTATGTTTCTTATTTTACTATTTGTTTTAGTTTGTTTCCCCAAATGCGTCTCTCTCTTTCTCTATATATATATATTTATACACATACATGTGATATATCATATCTCCACAATGATGCCCCACACATATATTATCATCATACATTATATACATATATATATATTATAAATATCTTTACATTGTATCTTGTCATATCAGTGTATATACCATCATCCGTAGGCTCCCCAGTGGCGTCATCGCTGGCCGTTCGGGCACCACCATGGCGGCCGCCGACTTCTTCGACTTCCGCGTGCGCGGCGTGGGCGCGCACGGCGCCATGCCGCACCTTGGGGTGGACCCGGTGACGGCCACGGCGGCGGTGACGCGGTGGAGATGGGAAAATGTAGGGAGAACCATGGGAAAAATGGGAAAATAGGGATAGTCACAGTAATATCCCCTATGGATCCAGTTGTACCTTCTTAGGAAGTGGGACTGGGGAATAATTTACTATCGTTTGGAGGGTTAAGTACCTTCTCAGACAGTGTTTGGATCCATAGGGTATCTACAAGGTGGTACCCCCTAGTTATGTGAACATTGGTTTTATAATTCCCCATGAAAACTAGTTTTATAACCCCAATGAACCCAACAGTTAACCAAGTTATAAGTCAAGTTAGCTAAGCATGGGACACCACCTTGTAAGGAGAACCATTGGAAATCAGCAAACAAAAAATATCCGTACACACTTTATGTATGTATACGCAATGTAATATATATATATATGTCAATGTTTGTCAATGTATATATATATACTATGCCCTGGTACCCTTCTGTTCACATCAACCTAACTTTGTTTGGGTGGATAACCACCAAAAAACGGAATAATAGGTTTTGAACCACGACCAAGGCTGCCTACTCTCCGCCCTCTCAGGTAGTTCAGTCCCTACAGAGCATTGTGAGTCGCGAAACGGACCCATTGAGCTCTTCCGTCATCAGTGTGACGAAGGTGCCTCGAGTCTTGTTGAATAAGAGCCCCTATGGATCCATGGCCACTTTCTGAGAAGCTACAAGACACCCCCCAAATCATAGCCTAAATACTTCCTGAGAAGGTACTTGGATCCACAGGGAGTATTTGTTCAATTGTACATATATTATTTTATATTATATTATATTATATTATATTATATTATACTATATAGATCTATCTCCATTTATTTCTGGATGGTGGTTTGCTATGCCATAGCTGTTCCCCGTTTCGATCAGTCAGTACTGGGTTGCAGAACGGGGCGTTGCCTGGATCGACGTCCTCACAGGCAAAACCAAGCGGAAGAATTGAACATGATACCAGCGATACCTTTATCTTGGGAAAGCAGTAAGAGGCAAAACATAATTAAGACTTGAAGAATAAGTATGGCAGAGGTTGGTGTTTCCATTGTTTTGACTTAACCCTGGGGAATGCCATTAACAAAAAAACAAACACAGCTGTGGGTTGAGTTTGGTGGGTTCTACTGAATCGGGCTTACGGCCTGATCCTGCGGTGTTGGTATCCCTAGGGTAACACATATTCTGTGCATCCTTAGTTTTTCTAAGTTGAAGAATAACATGTAATAAGATGTAATAAGCATACTAAACCCCAGTTATCCTTGGCCCTATGGATCCAGTTGTACCTTCTTAGGAAGTACAACTGGGGTATGATTTAGGGGGTGTCTTGTACCTTCTCAGACAGGGTTTGGATTCATAGGGTGGGATTATTTGGGTCATATGTGCAGATGACAGCGATCGTATCAATCACTGAAGCGATTCCTGGCACATCCTGCAGGTCTCCTGTGGAGATGCTTACAACGTGTTCCTGGGCGTACCATGGGGAGACTCCGTGAGCCGGCAGTACTTGGCCAACCAAAAATGGTGATTTAGCCAACAGACATGTTGGGATTGGTAATATATACTGGTTGGTGGTTTGGAACATTTTTTATTTTCCATAATATATTGGGAATAATCATCCCAACTGACTAATATTTTTCAGAGGGGTTGAAACCACCAACCAGTATATGTATATAGTCTATCTATTGCTCTTTAGGGGGTCAATGATCTTGCTTTGGTTTGATCTGCAATGATCTTTTGGGTGAGTTCGTCTTTGGTGAATGATGCTACAATACGAAATAACCCATATCATCCTATTGCAACCTGTGGTCCATTTTGGATTTGAATTTAGGTCACTATCCCGAGCATGATTGTCTTAAGTGGAGTGTCCAATTTTTTGTTTTAAGTGTTTCTTGGTGGAATGCCACATAAAACATAATTCTTAAGACACAGCCCTCTGCGCCCAAACAAATCAATTGACTAAGGATACCCAGCGGCTGTACAGTGGGTGGTACCTTTCGATCCTTAACTTCTGCCGGTTTGGATGCTCTACGTGAGCGCTTGATGGAAGTTGCACGTCAGGCGCGCTAGGGTTTGCAAAAAATTGGTGATTTACCTTTTGGTGGTTCAACATAGCAATGGAAAATTGGAAAGCTACCATTTGTAGACTCTTTACCTATTCAGGAATCGTGGCCATGTTCGATCATTTTCCGTGACTATGTTGGATTACAAGCGGGTAATCACTTTTATTGGAATGTAATGACATATGTGATATGGGGATATATCACCAAGCATATGATGTGTTAAAATTGTCCTGAACTGGAGATGCGATGCGGCAGACTCCCCCATTTAATATCATTTAATCCAACATGTGGTGTCCCCATCATGTTTCTAGTCCATACCAACTTTGAAAATAAAACTTAAAACATAGTGTTTTTTCCTTCCAAAATTTTCCGAATAGCCCATGTCATTCCATGTTATTCTACAGTTTTCTCTGAAAATATACTACTCTGTCCCTAAAGAATCCCCGCCCCACGCTGATGAAGACGGCCACATGTGAGTGTTGATCGACATAAAGAAAAAACAAACTATTTGGACTTCCCTTAGTTATAGGTTTGGTCATAAACTCCATTAGCTATAGATATATCATATCTACCGCAAATCCATAGCTAATGATATATATATATATAGCTAACCAACTGAGTTATAAACTCCATTCGCTATAGCTAATGATATAGCCTAATTATATCTACCAGAAATCCTGTAGTCAACCTATGTCATGTTAACCTACATTTTGACTCAACTTAGTTCAATGGCCATTTCAGGAACCTAAATTGGAGGTACCTACCATATATAAGGCCTATATAAGGCCTATATAAGGCCTATGTAAGGCCTATGTAAGGGAATATCCCCCCAAAATATGGCCTTATATGGTACAGTACCTCCATTTTAGGATCCTGAAATTCACATTGATTAGTTATATGGGGGCCCACCTTGTCCCATCCCTCATCCAGTCTGCACAAAGCAGGTTGCTTTAGCTCATCGATGCTCTGTGGAGAATGCCACCTTTATGGCAGACAGTCACGTGCCATTGGTTGCTGTGGGTACCCTCTGGTAAACGTTTACATAACTAAGGAAAATCACCATTGCTCATAGGTAAATCAACGAACTCAATGGCCATTTTCAGTAGCAACCTGTTTGTTTACCGGTGGGTATAAGTCAAAGATGGGATGCTCCATGGACCCAACAAATTCTCATTGTTAGTATGAAACTATCAAACCCTCCATTTTTCTATGGGGTGATAAATTTGACCCACAGCAACTGGGGAAAGAGAATGCACTGTTGTGAATGGTAGGTGTGAAACTTTTGGTGGGGATTTTCAGATATAGTAAATGGTGGTGAATAGTATACTATACAGTATTATTATACAATACCACATTTTAACGACATGTTTGAAATTAAACCAGCGGGTGACAAGACCATGGCAATTTGTGGACCGCAATCAAACTTGGATCCTAAAGAGAAGGGATTTTCATGGCGTTCGCAGATGTTCAAAATTAGTCGAATCACCAGGTTTAATTGGCTTCATTTATACAAGGTGGTGCCCCCCCCAGTTATTACTTTGTTATAAGCCCATTAACTATAGATATATCATCATATATCACCTATAAACCATAGTGACATTGGAGTTATTTGCACCAACTTAGCTATGGGGCACCACCTCAACCATAGTGACATTGGAGTTCAAGTTCTTTTCATAGAATTGGATGATGGGAAAATTTACAGGAAAGCCCTATATTTGATGGTAAAAACCATGGTTTCCTGTAGATTTTCCCTTAAACCAATCCATTGATTCTTTGCACCAACTTGTTGCGTTCACATGGCACCAAGGCTTTCCTCCACTGGAGAACGATCAGCAGCTGTGGCGTCTTGGAAAGGGGATCTTATGGGATCATTTTTGGTATCAAAAGCATCCTGTGCCCGCAGAAAGTTACTGCCCGTTATAAGCCCATGAAGAACCAACAGAAACCATATATATATATATATATAGTTAGTCCACGTACAAAAAAATGGGTTAGTCCATGCACTTCCTAAATGGGATCAATCAGCAGGTAGCTCCAGTAGTTTGGCGCTTGCGGGAAGTCTTAGATCCAGGTAGTTAATTTGGCATTCTGTTGCATGTTTCTCACAGTCAACCTCCAAACCCTAGCTGGTTGGTGGTTTGGAACATGAATTTTATTTTTCCACATATTGGGAATTTCATCATCCCAAGTGACTTTCATATTTTTCAGAGGGATTGAAACCACCAACCAGCTAGTGAATTTGGTTTCGTTTGCCAACTTAGCCAAGGGGTACCACCTCGTACCGTCCCCCGACACCCAGGAAATGGCTTGATGAGTCGACAGGTTTGAAAGAAGGCCTGAAATGAGGGCTCTGCTTCTTGGGACCCTGGAAGTTAGTAACGTTTGAAGCCCATTGGAAAATGGTGGCTTTAGCCAAACAATTTTGGGGAACTATACAAGCGAGAAAGATGTTTAATCAACGTGAGTTGTGTTTCAACCAGAAAAAATTAGGATTCTGCCCAGAACAATGGTGGTTTTAGCAACAAAAATAGGTGGGTTAGCATCAAAATACCTTGGTGATGAAGAGGTTACTAATTCTATAGTGATGGATATTTGAAATATTTACCATAAATCTGGGAAAAATGGGAAATATCGAGGAATTTCCGGGGATTGTAATCGATGTAATCAATGAATTAGGGGGATTTTTCATAGATGTACCCAGCTCATGGGGAGTAACTTTGACTCCAGGAAGCGTCATTGAGTTTTTTCAGCCCAGTTATAATTGGGACTAACCCATACGAATGTGGGTACCCTCTGGTAAACTAACATAACTATGGAAAATCACATTTTGTTTAATGGGAAAACTCACTATAAGTGGCAATTTTCAATAGCAAACCGTTAAATTACCAGAGGGTAACACAATGTCATAAACCACCCATGACTGGGAATGCTTTATGACCACTTATTTTCACGGTGATTTGGGAGATTGTTTATTATTATTCTAGGTCAATCTTAGATGGGTACTTTAATCCTTTAGTCTTTTGGTATCAATGGGATTATCTACGTTCACCAGCTAAAAATTTGTCAGTTTTTGCAGGGTATCTGGCTGATTGGCCATGTATAGTAGCCACTTTTTTCCTACTTACCCTCTGGTAAACTAACGTAACTCTGGAAAATCACATTTTTTCAAGGGAAAATCCATGAAAAACCACTATAAATGGCCATTTTCAATAGCTTTTTGTTAACGTTTACCAGGCCGGGTACCCTATTGAATTAGGGTGAACCCTGTCACCGGCTGGCAGTGAAGTTGATGGGTCGGGAAACCGGGTAGCAGCGCCTGGCATTAAGAGTTTTGGCTAACATGATTTACAGTAGGTGATACCATCTGGTTATTTTACATAGCCATGGAAAATCACCATGTTTAATAGGTAAACCCAGGTAAACCATCTACAAGTTGGCCATTTTCTATGGCTATGTCAAATAACCAGAGGGTGTATATATATACTGGTTTGTGGTTTGGAACATGACATGAATTTTATTTTTCCATATATTGGGAATAATCATCCCAAGTGACTAATATTTTTCAGAGGGGTTGAAATCACCAACCAGATATAATGGGATAACAATAATATAATTATCCAGTGATATATAACATTGTTGTAAGATTGTGATAATGGGATGACATATAACTTATATGACTCTATAGTTGCATGAGTTATTTCATCCCATTTGAAAGTGTCAAGGGCCATAACTGTATGGAAATTCACCATGTTTAATTCGATAGGCCATAGCTTACTGAGTTTAGAGCAGTGCCCCCAAGGCTCGTTCGGCGAGCCTTCAGAGCAGTGGGTGCGAGACAAGCCCTGTTAGTCGATGAGTACCAGGGGATTATACTACCATGTATATATATATACATATATATGTATATGTATATATATATATACATACATATATATATATATATATAATTATTTTGGGGTTTCCTAAAATAGGGGTACCCCAAAACCATCCATGTTACTAGGATTTTCCCTTATGAACCATCCATTTTGGGTACCCCTATTTTAGGAAACCACTAACCCCCACGTATCTTTATATGTAATATGTCTATCGGGTATATAGTCATAATCTATGATTATGGGCATTCCGTTCTTGACCAACAAGCAGAATGAAATGAGAGTGGTTTGTGAAAAATCTGCTCAGATTTGAAAACGAACACCCTATTTCAGCCTGTTCAAAATGTCAACATACGTTGGGTGGTGCCCCGTAGTTCATTAAGTTGGTGCAAATAAGTCCACTATCGAATGGGTTGATGAATGGGGGTTACATCGAACTAGTTAATGGGGTTTATAAACAAAGATAAACCAACTCATAACTCCAATTTCACTATGATTTATGGTCTATGGTATATAAACCAAGTTACATCACTCGGGGGGGTACCACCTTGTATGGTTATGTTCCAATGACGTACAACTACCAGAGGAGAATACTGGGGGCCTTTTGCCCAGGAATTGAGGCTCTAAAGCGCCATTAAGCTACCTTTTATTGATGTGGCTGGCGGCTTTCTTTGGCAAAAAATGTGAATTTTCCTCCACCACCCTAAGATACACCATTATACTGGTTATACCGTGGGCCCCCGCCATGCCCCCGCCATTTTGGTTGGGTAGCCTCCGGTAAATTGGGTAAATCCAAACATGAATGGTGGGAAATCCCCAGTCGCTTCCCCGAAGCCGAACAGGATCTACAAAGGTGAATGTTACAGTAATTTACATCATTGGTACATAATCACCATTTTTATTAGGTAAACCCAGGTAAACCATCTATTTCTATGGGCCATCTATACCATGGCTATGTTAGTCATAACCAGAGGGTGTATATATATATATATACTGGTTGGTGGTTTGGAACATGCGTGTTATTTTCCCCAAGAGTTGGCAGTTGGGATGATGATCCAATCTGACTAATATTTTTCAGAGGGGTGGCTCAACCACCAACCAGATAATGTACAGTAATTTATCTAGATTTACATGGTACAGAATGTTAATCATGTATTATATAATTGTTACAGAATGTTACAGTAATTCACATGTTTGGATTTAAGTCAATTTCCAATCATATCATTTTGTTTCATGCTTATCTCCCCAGGATTTCGCTTCAAGAATCCTGCAATTTCCCCATACAGAATCTCGTTTAATTTCCCGATTATAATTCCCTATCCACTCCCTGCAGTAAATTTTCCATACAATTCACCCGAAAATGTGGGATCTTCATCTTCTGCGTTCGATATGTTCGATGAAGGCTTCCCTTCGATGCTTTGGGATTTGCCTCCCACCATGGGTGGTGAGGACCTTTTTTGGGCAGTGATTCGTTTTTTTTACCAATTGCTTGCTAGGTGAAAACAATACATTGATATACATTGTTACATAGTGTTTTTTTGGGTGGTTTATAGTGCAATGGTATTTAGTGGGAATATGTGGGATTTCATGGCCAAAATGGTGGTTTCACTGCAAATATCATGGGGATACACTTGGAATGAGATACTACAAAGGAATATTCCTGGGGATATAGAATTGGATGATACTTGGATAAGTCATAGAGACTTCACTGGGACTTGTTTGGAGAAAACCTTTCATCCGTGGTGTTTTTGTTAAGAGTCCCACAAGCTGTGTCATCATCTCTTTGGGAGCAAGGCAAAACACTTTGAGCCCATATCCACTGTGTGTACAAGCCATGGTCCAACTACATGGATCTATTCCATGGCACTTTCCAGGCGAAAACCGACTGGATGGTGATAGGTACTAAGCAGCTATATTCAATGGATTGGTTCAAGGAAAAAAACACATGGAAAAGCTTATGTTTGATATTTTAAACTAATGGTTTCCTGTAGATTTTCCCTTAAATCCAATGATAATATGTCTGCCCGAATTATAACGACGTCACCCGACGTCACCCCAGAAATCGACCTAAGCCACTGAATTAAGGATACTAAGGGTTTTAAAGTGTCCTCATTCACCCGCAATGGAGAGAAGCATGGCTAACTCGCCCTTGCTGAAGGACTTGGGCGGGTAGGATTTCGCAAGACGTCCAATTTGAGCTTTTCAGCCCGCGAAAAGGTCAAATTGGACGTCTTGCGAAACGAGCTGGGGTTCGAACCCTCCCTGGTCTCGGCTCTTGCTCTCTCAAATGTTTCTTTCCATGCTTGGTGATATTTCATCCCCTGTGAGCGTATTCACGATTTTCTGGTAGTCTTCCATTCTATCCTTGCATATCTCGGTACATATGTCAACTATCAAGATGCTGAAGACTCAATAGCTCAGTTGGTAGAGCGTCAGCCTCGCAAGCGGGAGGTAATGGAATCAATTCCCAGAGTGATGTAAAACTACCTGACACATATATGGACCTAGTGTTTATCCCTTCACTTTTCTTTAGCTGTAGCGCATGAGTTGGATGTCCCCGCTCATGTTAGGGGGAGAAGCAAGGCATCCGTCCAACATGTTAGAATATATCTCTGTGGTATATACAAAGCATTCTTATGTCAAGTTCTTCCTGGCACCATCTATCCCAGATACGTTTGTCAGCGGCCACTGCCCGCCAGGTGGGTGCTATGGAAATGTCACCTATATATAGCTATATATATATATATTTAAATATGTTATATATATCTTGCCCGACGTAAAAATAATTCACTATTTCTTGCGACGTAAACCTTCTTTCAATTTTGAAATAAAAAATCGACCCAACGACCTACGAAATATTATAATTCAGCCAGATATGTTAAATCCAACATTTTTGGTCAAGATTGGTCATGTTTCTTGGCACCGGACGAGCCAAGCAAAGTACTGTTATAGCCTAGCCATATAAACCAGTTATAATTGGCTGGCTTGTAACATCATTTAATTGATGATTGTATGAATGTAATGTAAGCATAGCTGCTGGACTTAGTTGTAATATCATGTATAACATGTTATAAATGTTAAGGGCCACAACTGTACCAACTGTACTATCCAATTGTTTCTACTGAAGTTTTGACCTGCATTTGTCGGAATTTAACTACCAACTAAACAGTGCTACACAGTCCAAGTATCAAATAAATCGTGCGTCTTTGATTACATGTTTCCGACAGCGCTCTTGTGGGAATGTTAGATGTACACGGTTTTTACAAAGAATGAAGCGCAAATCAGTTGATCTAGAGAGATCTCTACCCTAAACCCTAGTTAATCTACTGAACTAAATTCACTCAGGTAAGGATGGAACCACCTTGGGGTTGTTCAGCAACTTCATGGTGACATGTAACATTATCACAGCCTAAGCATGGATCATGGTCAAAGGAGTTTCGGATGGTATTTACCTGGCTAGTCTTTGAAAAAACATCACGCATTTCAGGTTGGTTGTGTAACTTGTTTTCGATCGCAGCCAGATCGGATTATGAAGAGCACAGTAAGAAAACTGGCATGTTACCCAAAACTGGCATGTTAAGTGACAAACACAATATTGGAGGTTTCCTGAAATAGGGATACCCCCAAATGGATGGTTTAAAATGGAAAATGCCATGAAAATGGATGATTAGGGGGGTACCCCTATTTCAGGAAACCTCCATATAATTGATGTGTTATTTTCACACATTTCCAGATATGCAGTTCTTTTTCGTATTCAATCTTCAGCGGCTGGTCTTTCGCATTTTCAATATGAGGACTGGATGGATTGTAGCTAAACACGACTTGATACATGTATGACATAACAAACCTTTAAAAAAACATAGAACTGTTTGAAGGGGACCAACAAACCACTATCAGGACTTTGCTTTCTTCACGCAGCAGATCCCTGGAGCTTTCATTTTCCTAGGATGCTTGGCAGAGGATCATCCAATACAAATGGGTGGATTCGAAAGAAAACTGTATATATATATATATATGTCATGTGACTGGGCGCATCCATTGGATGAAGGATGATGGTCACATGATGGTCACGTACGTGTTTTCTTTAGACATTACCCTCTGGTTTTGACTAACATAGCGAACTGGACAATCACCATGCTATTAAGAACGGTAAACCATCTATTTCTATGGGCCATCTATACCATGGCTATGTTAAATAACCAGATGGTAATACCGTATAAATACCTAGTCTGAGGCCCACTTTTGACTTTTCACAAACGATGCACCGTCCTGCCCTATTGTTAATCTAAGTTATTGCTGCTACCAGCTGTAAGGGAAGAAATTGTCGGTATGAAGTATCGATGGTTTTGGTCCGGGGTGACCAGCAAGTATCAAGGATTGGTAGTCAACGTGTAATGATTAAGTGTTTAGCCACGACTCATGTGCTACTGTGGAAAGGTTTTGGCTCAAGATTCAAGATGTTTACCATGATATCATTCTGATATTTTTCTTTTGACACATGCTTCACCTCAGCATAGCTTTGCCCAGCGGCTGGATCGAGAACGTTTGGCTTTTGCCGTCCTCCACAGTCTGGGATCTGCAGATGCTTGCCCAGAAGCTGTTCAGACAGAGATTCTTGAGGCTTGTCACTGCAGACGGGCGTGTCTTGCTCGATGTGATGGAATCGATTCAAGCTGCCGGCATTCACAACGGAGATTGTCTCAGTGCTGTTGCACTTCAAGCAAAAGTAGCAGCAACGGACGGAGCCTTTGTAAGGTTCTGTGGAGATGGCAAGATCTTGGCCTGGGGCGATCCAGCAGCTGGTGGTAACAGCTCTAAAGTTCAAGAGCAACTCCAAAATATACGAGAGGTTCAAGCTACAAGGTTTGCATTTGCTGCTATCCTTGAGGATGGTTCCGTAGTTATGTGGGGTCAGGCCGAATGCAACAAATATTCTGGAGTGCAATATCAGCTGAGGAGTGTAAAGGAGATTTAGGCTGGAAAAGAGATGTTTGCTGCAATTCTCTCAGACGAAACCGCAGTTACCTGGGGCAATCCGTCCTTGGAAATGACGACATACCGCAGTTTCGTAGCCCTACACCACTTACACTGCGTTCAGCAGATACAAGCTACATTCTCGGCGTTTGCTGCGATCCGTTCAGATGGATCAGTTGTGACGTGGGGTCGTCCAGACTCTGGTGGCGACAGCTCAGCAGTCCAGGGTGAGCTCCAGAGTGTGCAGAGCATTCAGGCCACAGCGAAAGCATTTGCCGCGATTTGTTCAGATGGCTCTGTCGTGACGTGGGGGTCAGCAATCTCTGGTGGAGACAGCTATGCAGTTCAACATCAGCTTCGAAATGTGCAGGGCATTCAGGCCACACAGAGAACATTTGCTGCGATCTGTTCAGATGGATCGGTTGTGGCGTGGGGCAATCCAACAGATGGTGGCGACAGCTCTGCAGTCCAGGATGAACTCAGGAGTGTGCACCAGATTCAGGCCACAGCGAAAGCATTTACTGCAATCCGGAAAGACGGATCACTTGTGACGTGGGGCCATCCAGAGTATGGTGGGGACAGCTCTCCAGTCCAACACCGGCTTCGAAATGTGCAGAGCATTCAGGCCACACAGAGCGCATTTGCTGCGATCTGTTCAGATGGATCGGTTGTTGCTTGGGGTCTGCAAGCTCTGGTGGAGACAGCTATGCAGTTCAACATCAGCTTCGAAATGTGCAGGGCATTCAGGCCACACAGAGAGCATTTGCTGCGATCTGTTCAGATGGATCGGTTGTGGCGTGGGGCAATCCAACAGATGGTGGCGACAGCTCTGCAGTCCAGGATGAACTCAGGAGTGTGCACCAGATTCAGGCCACAGCGAAAGCATTTGCTGCGATCCGGAAAGACGGGTCAATCGTGACATGGGGCCATCCAAAGTATGGTGGGGACAGCTCGGCCGTCCAAGATCAGCTTGCAGCGCTGTGAGAAAGTTTGCTGCCTGCAACGACAATTACCCCACCGATCATCCCTTCATTGAGATACGTAAACCATACACGAAACATCTAGAAACGACATGAGAAGACTACAGATTAATCAATGTATAGAATGTATAATTACTATGTATATGTCTATAAGCCTGGAAAATGAAGTATATGAAAATGTATGTAAATATGAAGTAAATACTGTTCTATTCTTGATGTTTGCGATGCAGTAACCAGGGTTATACATACATTACATTGCATTGCATTGCATTGCATTGCATTGCATTGCATTGCATTGCATTGCATTGCATTACATACATTACATACATTGCATACATTACATACATTACATACATACATACCATACATACATTACATTACATACATGCATGCATGCATGCATACATACCTACATACATTACATACATTACATACATTACATACATTACATACATTACATGCATTACATACATTACATACATTACATACATTGCATACATTACATACATTACATACATTACATACATTACATACATTACATACATTACATACATTACATGCATTACATGCATTTCATGCATTACATGCATTACATGCATTTCATGCATTACATGCATTACATGCATTACATACATGACATACTTTACATACATTACATACATTACATGCATTACATACATGACATACTTTACATACATTACATACATACATACATACATACATACATGCATACATACATACATACATACATGCATGCATGCATGCATACATGCATACATGCATACATGCATCCATGCATCCATGCATCCATGCATCCATGCATACATGCATCCATGCATACATGCATACATGCATACATGCATACATACATTACATTACATTACAGTACATTACATTACATTACATACATACATACATACACACATACATACATGCATGTATACACGTTGGTTTGTAAACCCATCGATATAACTAGGGAAATATCCACTATAAACTCTAGTCAACCTTCGCCAAGTAGGGAGCATCAGCTTGCGGGAACTCCTTTAAAATTGTTGGTAAATACCACCTATACTTATCGATATCTTATTAATATACAATGTTCAGCCACTTGCTAAACAACATGTAATATGTATATATATATATATAGATGTATACATATACATACATTTTCTGCATACATATACACACTAATACATACATGTTCCATTTTGTGCCATATTGCCAGTGTGTTTAGCGTTTTGCTTTTGGCCCTTCCATTCAAGCGAAAGAACCGTTTTCACCCTTTACATTTGTTTCGACTGATGTTCCATAGTTATGTGAGTTGACCAGAGGGTAAATCCTAATTTTGCCATATTTCTGTTAAATACCCCACTATACCCCACAGGGTGGTACCCGTCCAGTCATAAGTTGGTTTACAGTCCCATGAACTCTATATATATATAATATAGATTTAACCCAAGCAATAAAAAAGAGTTACAAACCAACGTAGCTAACTATGGGGCACCGCTTTTTATAGACCCTTGCCAATTTCCTACATATTGACCGGTTTCCCATGTTTCAATTGGTTCTTGGGTTGCTATATCTGGATAAGTTTGTTTCAACCAAAATAGATTGAAACCCCAAAATAGACTGAAATCACAATTTTCTGAAACCAACATGCATAAACCAAACTGTTGTAATATATACATATATATAATATATCATAATAAAGAATACATTTTATCTAGATATAGCAAACAGTAGTTAGGCAAATGTAATCATTCAGCAAATACAATTTATCTACAGATATGGCCATTTATTCAATATAACTGGTCAGTTCTACGGGATTATACATTTCATAACTGGGGTTTTGTCAGTATTTATATTTGATAAAGGGCCATAACTGTGGGGTGGTTGACTGACCAATGGCATTGACCAGTGCCAATATGCCACGTCGCAAAAAAAATACAGATTCTTGGCTGGTGAACGTCGAAAATCCCGTATCGAAAGATTATTTTGGCAAACTGTTTGGTTTCAAGTCATGATTCACACAGTTATGGCCATTTACCAGTTATAAGTACTAACAAAACCTCATCTATATAATGTATAATCCCATAGAAATCACCAGTTATAACTAATAGCCATGGCCATAACTGCACGTGTCGCCAAGGACAGGGCTCCAAATTGGACCGCACCATGACCATCGCAGCCTCCGATGAGACGGGTGCATACAGCGAGACGGTGGGGAGCCCAGGGGTGATTTTTAGGGTTTAAACCTTGGGAAAAAAATGGGAAAATAGTGGTTTTACCTGGCTCACTTGGTAAACATCATTAGATTGACTGTTAGGTTTATGGTAGATATCCAACTAGTTGTTCCATGGGTAAACCAACAAACATAACTGGAGGGAACTACATGGTGGGAGTGGATGAGTTGATCCTTGAGGTTGGGACACCACTAAAATATGTTTTTGGCACCTGAACATTTGGGGTAAAGCCCTCCAAAATTGATGAAAATTCATGGCTGAGATTTGTTTCCGTCCTCAAATGACACTTTCGGGGCATACCGGCATACCCCATTTTGAGACACAACCATATGACAAAATATGGTGGAAAATGCAACTTACGACGGCCTAGCTGCAAATTAGAATAAGTATTCTGGATGATGAAAAGGATCTTTGATTTCCCAGCAATTGTCGCTGGGATTCACATAATTTCAAGAAAAAAACATGGTGAGTGGAAATAAAAAACATTGGTTTGACAAACGAAACATGGAGGGGTGCTGCAATTTATGGCAATTTCGGTAGGGAAACACAGGTTTCAAACGGTTTGAACTAATTTTCCAAATGTCGCGAAAAAAACGTGTACATCTATTGTTATATATTGTAATTTTCCCACATGAAAGTTGCCAAGGGGGAAGTCTAGCCCGTTTTTTGGGGCATTGCGCCATGAGCATTTTGATGCTGCAACCACCTTTTAGGGCCCAACATATGATGGTTTCAAAATTGGGAAATAACCTGGAATCATGGTTTTCATAGGGAAATCATCCCAAAATGGCCCAACATTTCAGGTTAGTGAATAATTATACTTTACCCCGAAATATTAGATTTTCATGATTTGGGGTTTTCCAAAAACGGTGGTACCCCCATAGCTGGATGGTTAATGGAAAATACCATCTAAAAATGGATGAGAACTGGGGGTAGCCCCATTTCAGGAAACCCCCATTTGAGTGATTATATCCCTAATATTTGCTAGATGTTCAACTCTAGGACATTTGCCAAGCTCTGTGAGATTTTTATGATTTGAGTGTAAGAGCAAATGGATTACCCTCTGGTAATTTAACATAACATAACATAACTATGGAAACTCACCATAGAAATGGTGAATTGTCCCATGGAAAATGGTGGATCTTTCCAGTTCGGTATGTTAGTCATTACCAGAGGGTATCTATCTCCTTCATGTTGTTGTTTGGTCTCGATGCTAGCGAAGATCATTGTGAAGCCTCTAAACCCATGGAGATTTTGATTGCAGCGACTTGGTCTACGCTTCACAGATGTGGAGTTGTTTGTTTCTACCCTCTGGTTATTTAACATAGCCATGGACAATGGAGGAAAATGGCCCATTGAAATAGATGATTTTCCCATTAAAACCTCCATTTATTGGGGATTTTCCATGGCTATGTTAAATAACCAGATGGTACAATTTATCAGCAATACCAATGAAACTATAAAAAAAACATGTTCCGTCACTTTTCTTGTGTTCATGAACCCCTACTTTTGAACTTCAAGAAACAACAGCCCCTTTTCAAGTGTCACTTTAAAAAACAATCTTTCAACGACCGCGCTGGACTTGCGCACCTTGACCGTTTGGCCTGCGGTGGCCAGGTCTACCCTCTGGTAATTTGAAAATGACCATAGAAATAGTGGATTTTCCCATTGAAAATGATGATTTTCCCTAGTTTTCTGTAAACGTTTACCAGAGGGTATCCGTTTGGCCAGGTCTATGTCCCAACGAATGTCAGCCTACACAGTCCCATGTTCCACATGGACGAAGACGTTTTAGAGCTGGGCTCTGCGTTGCACGCGCACTTTGTCAGCGGTGAATGCTGGTTAGAATGGTGTGGGGCACCCAAACGTTGCGTTTGTGGGTTTATAACCCCCATTCACTATAGATAAAATATAGTTACAGACCAACAAGTAGGAGGCCCGATCTTGAATGGTTGTTGTTTTATGCCAAAACGATGCAGCTTTCTGGCGGACCTCAGACACTTTGCTGCGTCACTTTGTGGTGGTTTTCTGGAAGTGGTCCCAAAGCTTTGCAATCGCCACTATGGTTGAAGTACTATGTGAATGTTACTTTTTTTAATCGTGTTATGGAAGTTCCTATGATTGAATCCGGCATGTTGTGGATGTTTTTTAGAATTCAGAAAACCCATTTGCAAGGACTTGAGAAATATGCTGGATTGGTGTATTTCTCCAATGTGTCCCATCTTCCACCCATTGAGAACCATGGAATGTGAATCTATAACCAATGTGGGGTAGTATAATAACCCCGTGCATTGCATTTTAGCTTGGCTTGCACTTTAACACTGCCAATACGTTGCCGGCCCAGAAAACGATAAGAGGAAAAAAAAACGATAACGATGCTCATATATATATTTATAATATATAATAATATATATACATACATGATATGATGATCAGATATGTGTACAGTATAGACCATGTTACATGTAGTACATATGTTTGTATATGTGCTGCAGCCATTTTAGTGCTTTCAGCTACCTTCGAGCTGACTGAGTGAAAAGGTGCTGATCAGTGCTCAGGAGTGTTCATCAGATTTAAGAGCCCAAATTCTCTGTTCATGGTAGCGGAGCTGAGGTTCTGATACCCAGCTGTGAATGTGTAGGTGTCCACGCCGAGCTGCATCAGCTCTGGCGCGCCTACCCAGTGCCAACTGGAAAAGGTTGACACTCAAGCTCCTGAAAATCAGGAAACTCCAAAGGTACTTCCATAACCTGGGAGTGCATCTCCAACAGTATCCAAGGGTTCTCTTGAATCAGGTCTCTAAGCACCTGAAGAACGACTAAGGATGGCTCAGCAACAGCAGCCACCTCAGCAACCAGGCACTCCACCAGCACCACAACAAGCACAAGGCAACGGTCCCAACATGTCCCAGGTGGTTATGCAGATGATGGCCCAATTGACTCAGGGTCAGGCGCAGTTGAGCCAGGCAATGACCGAGGCTATGAGCCAGCAGCTTCAGATCAACAGAAATGTTGAGAGATCTGTTGAGTACAAAGACAGATCAGAGTTGAAAGGCATACCAAAACCTGACAAGTTCACTGGAGCATCAGGCACTTGGGATAGTTGGTGGTACAAGTTTAAGACATGGGTTGAAAGTTGCCACAAGAACGCTGTGAAGATTGTGGCACAAGTCGAGTCTCAGTGTGACAAAGAGATCACTGAGTCAAGTCTAGAAGTAGACTTTGATGAAGGCGCCGAGCTAGTTTCAGCTCAGGCCAGACAAGCCCTCATATCATTGACTGAGGGTGAAGCGCTAGAAATCGTCAAGAACACATCTCGTGGTAGCCACTTTGGCCTAGAAGCCATGAGACGACTGTTGTGCAAATATGATCCTCAAAATCCTCAAGCCAATTCAGCCTTGTTGAAAAAGGTTCTGCATCCAAGTCAATGCAGTCTTGATAAGCTTCGAGAAGGTCTTGAGAGTTGGGAGAACTTGAAAAGAAAGTATGAAGACAGGAGAAAGAAACCACTTGAAGATGACATCTGCAGGAGTTGCTTGCAGCAGATGTGTCCCAACAAGTTGCAAGATCATTTGGACTTGCAGGCATCGAGATTGACGTCGTACGACCAGGTAAAAGTTGAAGTCCTGGCCTACCTTGAGAATGTCGAGACCAGGAAAGAAGCAAAGTCAGGAGCCGTTCCCATGGATGTGGATTCCCTTGCTAAGGGTAAGGGAAAAGGAAAACAAGATAAAGGGAAAGGCAAAGGTAAGTCAAAAGGTAAAGACAAAGGTAAGAGTCAGTCTTCGTCTTGGTCGAACAATTCATACCACAAGGGTTCTTGGAACAATCAATCTTGGAATCAGCAGTCTTGGTATAAACAAAACACCAATGACTCCAAGAGCAAAGGAAAAGGCAAGAAAGGTCAAGACAAAGGTAAAGGTAAAGGTGATCAAGGCAAAGGTCGTAAAGTTGCTAATGTTGAGTCTGACACTTGGGCTCAAGAGCAACAACCTGCAGCATCATCTGGTGATCAACCTGAACCAGAGATCACTGCGCTGTTTGCCTTGGAAGACACTATGCCACCCAAGTCTGAAGCTCGAGATGAATCCTCTCGTCGTGGTCGAAGCCCAAGACGAGCAAACCTTCAGGCACCTTCAAGGAGCACTGTGACCAGGAGCGCTATGGTGATGGCTCAGAGCGCTTTGGCATCAGCTTCTGGGTCTAACAAGGAGCTGTTTGGCAAGATGATTGCTCAGGCTGAGAGCGCCGTCAAAGAAGCTCAGGACAAAGGGCGTCAAGCAAATCAAGCTCTTAAGGAACGCCAAGAAGCCCTGGACAAGTTGAAGAAAGAGGCAGCCCAGCATCAGAAAGAGGCCAAAGAGGCAATGGCCAAAGTGAGGGCAGAAGGCCGTGCTGCTTCAGCACCGGCTGCACCCTCTCGTCGGATGCAAGCCGACCTTGATGCTGGAGTACATCCAAGAGCTGCCAAGAAGAAGGAGAAGGACAGGCAGAGAGCTGCCAGTCATCGAGCAGCCACTGCTGGACAAAGAGCATCCAGCTTCAAGCGCTATGAGTTGGCCACCTTTGGACAGGCCAACCCTGACAAGTGGGACAAGGATGACATGGGAGATCTTCCTGAACCTCCCAAAGCAAGAAAGCTGGAACCTAAGCGCCATAGAGGAGGACATCACAGGTCTGAAAGACGAAGGGCAGATGAAGCTAGAAAGAAAGCCAACAAGGAGAAGATGAAAGAGATGAGCCAGGATGAGATCCCACAATGGATCCATGATAAGTGTGAGATTTCCTCTGAGGAGAGCATTTCCTCTGAAGGATATGAGTTTGTCAGCAGACTTGAAAAGCTGAAAACCGATCCTGAAGTCCTCAGCAAGCTGGACAACGTCTTGAAGGAAGCCTACGAGAAAGCTTATGGTGAAGTTCTTGACCTAGGATCTTCTGATGAGACAGATCCAGACGATGTGCCCTACAACCAGGAGCCAGCACCAGGCATGGAGGATGTGGTCGAGCATTGGCAGAATTCCTTTCGAAGACCCATTCCATTCAAGGAGTTGCATGAGAAGTGCAAAACTGTCTCCAACAAAGGGTATCCCTATGTGAAGTGCCAGTCATGTGGAAAGGCACTCAACTCCGCGAGCGTTGCAAGCTTTTGGCAACATGTGGAGAACAAGCAATGCTATCCTCAGTATGCCCTGGAGTTTTGGAAGAAAGAACATCGCCAGGCAAAGGCAGAGAGAGAGGCACGAGAAGAAGGAGAATCATCCAAGAAGCGCCCCATGGATGATGCAGAAGCCAAAGATGAGAAAAAGCGCCAAGAGATCGCCAAGGATGAAGAGAAGAAGAAGCGCAAGCAGCATCTTGAGGAGCACTATGAGCGCTTCAGGCACCAGGGTAAAGATGATTTGAAGCCTGAAGTGAAGAAGATCCCCAAGAGGCCAGAGGAGAAAGAGAAGGTCGAGGAGAAAGAGAAAGAAGAAGAGAAAGAAGAAGAAGAGGCACCCAGAGCACCCATCGAGCTGAAGTCCAAATCCCCATCGAGAGCGCCTGAGGACAGCCGGGCTGATTCAGCCCAGGTGTCCAAGGGCAGGGGAAAGTTCAGCATGGGCACCAAGAGATTCCTGGAGAAGACGGTGCGTGATGCAGCCAACTACATGGAAAGAAAAGCCAGGAAGAAGAGGGAGAAGACGCCATCTCCCAAGCTCAGGGAGCATTCACCAGGAGGAGGAGTTCGGTCAGACTCCAACCTCGACTTCCTGGGAAGTTTGGCATCTCAGGTGGATACCATTGTCTGGGCCACCGTTGACTCAGGGGCAGCAACCAGTTGCCTACCCAAGGAATTGGCACAGTCATTGGAGTTGGCTATGACACCTGTGGATGAGAAGCCGTTCACCAACGCATCAGGGCAGCCAGTCCAGGTGCATGGGGTGTGCAACCCTATGGTGACCATGGGTGAGAAAGGAGGCCCACAAGTCAAAGGTGTGGGACAGTTCCGGGCAATGGATGTTGCAAAGCCATTGTTGTCTGTGTCCAAGCTGGTTGAGAAAGGCTGGACAGTAACCTTCGGCCCCAATGGATCGTTTCTGCAAAGGGGAGCCAAGAAGGTTCCAGTCACCATGACTGGAGGTGTTTTCAAGATAGCCATGGATTTTCATGGGCAGCCCACAGAAGGGTTGAAGGCGTAAGTCCTGTGGAGACCACAGAGAGCGCAGGTAGTGGAGATGATGAACCGGGCAGTAGTAAGCTAGGTTCTCAAGCGCTACCAACTGCAGCAGCGCCGACGCAGAGAGAAAAAGAAGAGCATTTTGTCAGCCATTATCCTTTTAGGAGTTGGTGTGAACATTGCATTCGAGGTAAGGCAAAGGCAATGAGACATGTCAAAGTAGATCATTCAGATGAAACAGTTCCTGTGATCTCAGCTGACTATTGTTTCATGAATTCAGTGGATGACACCGTCATCACAGAAGAAGTGCAGAAAAAGTATGCACCAGTTTTGATAGTACATGATCGATGGTCCAAGTTGACCTACGCACACGTTTTGCCGTACAAGGGAGTTACCCAAGGTCCTATTGGATCTAAGTGTCTTTTGAATGACCTTAAGAAGTTTGGGTACCCCAAGATGGTCATGAGATATGACCCAGAGCCGGCACTCAACTCCGTAGTTGAGGCAGCCAAGAATGGTTTTGACAAACAGTTGGTTTTGGAAAAGGTTCCCAAAGGAGTCTCAGAATCCAAAGGGGAAATTGAAAGAGCAGTTCAAGCTATTGAATCTCAATCCAGGACACTCAGAAGTGCCTTGGAGACAAGCTATGGAAGAAAGGTGCCAGACGACCACCCAGTTTTGACATGGTTGGTTGAACATGCTAGCACCACTTACAATTTGTTTCACAGATCATTGGAAGTCAAAGATGGGAAGACACCGTACTCTAGACACCGTGGTCGTGAGTGGAGAGTGTCATTACCACCATTTGGGGAAACAATTGAATTCCTCAAAAGAGGTCACAAGTTTGAACAAAGATGGCACCAAGGAGTTTTCTTGGGAGTCAAAGACAATACCACTGAGAAGATAGTGGGAAATGCATCAGGTGTTTTCACTGTGCAAAGCATTCGACGCAAGAGTGCTGACGACAGATATGACGTCGAAACATTGATGTCGGTCACTGGGGTTCCTTGGGATCCTCAAGCATCAAAAAGAGATGATGTTTTGCTTCCTCAGATTGTTGAGGGAGATCAGCAGCCACTGGCGCCATCAGTGCCAGTTGAGCCACCAAAGAAGTCGACAAGACGACTTTACATCACCAAACGTGATTTGGACAATTATGGCTACACCGCTGGTTGTGTCGCCTGTGATGCCACTAGAATTGGCAAGAGAGGCACTGGAGTTCATCACACTCCAGCCTGCAGAGAAAGAATGGAACGCTTACTTCAAGCAGAAGAGGGCAACCTGAGAGTAGCCCAACATACGGCCAAGGTTGATTCTGAAATCACTGGTCAGAAACAAGAAGTGTCCGAAGAAGGCACAAAGATCCTTTATGGATATTCCAGCGAGAGACCACAAGGAGTCCCTCAAGGTTTCAAGGTGTTTGCGCGCCTTGACAAGAATGCAAGGTATCTCAAGGGTACTATGCCAGAAGGTCCCAACTGGGACAACGTCTGGTGGAGAGTCACCAGAGATTTCAAAACAGGAGACATTATCAAGTCTGAACCAATAGATCCTAGTTTAGGAGATGAAGTCATCAACGCGCCTTTGATTGATGACACAGATATTGTCACTGAACTGTGGTATTCAGCCACAGGGGAATCTGCGCCAAGTTTGCCAACAGCTGGACCTGCTATGGCCAGGCAGAGTCCTGCTACCGGACAAGCTGCAGATCCACCTGCAGAAAGCGCAAGCGCAAGCACAGCCTCAGCCAAGAGGGCAGGAGGCGAGCAAGAAGAAAGAGCACACAAAAGGTTGGAAATGTCTCCAACCAAAGAAAAGACCGGCAGACTCAGGAGGCGAAACGTCAAAGTCCAAGGACAGCCGAGCTGCTTCAGCTCAGGCGTCCAAGGGCACCAAAAGGCCACCTGAGAATGAGAGACCAGAAGACATGGATGACATAGACCAATGTCTTACGAACCTGATCATGGAAGATCGGGAGAAGTACCTTCAGTCTATTGAAGGTGAAGAAGAGCCAGTTTGTGAAGAGACAATTCCTCTTCCACCAGAACTGGAAGATGAAGCAGCCACATGGTATTATTACGATGATATCAGTGGAAAGATTTTAGACAGCAAAGGTGTAGAACAAGCCAGAAAAGATGAGGTCGAAATCATCGAAAGTTTTCCAGTTTGGGAAAAGATTCCCAGACACAAGATGCCCAAAGGGGTACGCACCATTGGAACACGATGGGTAGATGTCAACAAGCAGGATGAAGAGAATCCACTGTATAGAAGTAGGCTAGTCGCTCAAGAAGTCAAGAAGGGCTCAGGTTTTGACGAGTTCTTCGCAGCAATGCCAAGTTTGTCGGCTTTGAAGATGCTAGTTACAATAGCCGTCACGTTTCAGTTGCCAGACGCTGGAAAAGCTGTCAAGGAAGCCTATCGCAAGCGTAGACTTCTAGGATTTTTGGATGTGAAACGCGCCCACTTTTACTCAGATGCGACGCGTGAGATCTATGTGGAACTTCCTGCAGAAGCAAAGAAGCCTGGAGAAGATGTGGTAGGAAGATTGCTCAAGTCTTTGTATGGAACCAGAGACGCACCTCTCAACTGGGAGTTGCAAATACAGAAGGTTATGTTAGCCTTAGGATTCAAGCAAGGAAAAAGCAATCCGTGCATTTACTACCATGCAGGCCGAGACCTCAGAACTGTTGTACATGGAGATGATTTTACAACAGCCGGAACATTTGATGACATCAAATGGCTTCACGAAGAGCTGTCGAAGAAGTGGAAATGTGTGGAACGTGGTATTTTAGGACCACCAGGAACACCAAACACCATCCAGGACATCAGAGTCCTGAACAGAATTATCACATGGAAGGAGAATGGAATTTGGTGGGAACCAGATGCACGTCATGCAGAGTTGGTGATTGATTTACTCGGAGATGGTCCCCGAGGAGCCAAAGTCAAGACACCACTTGCCAAGGGTTCAGTGGAAGACCTCAAGAACGCCACTGTTTTTCTCAATGATGAAGAAGCAACCCAGTACAGATCAGTTGCAATGCGAGCAGCTTATTTGGCACAAGATCGACCAGATCTGCAAGTAGCGACAAGATCTTTAGCACAAGGGCTACAACGACCAACTACCAGCCACATGCTTATGCTCAAACGAGTTGCACGATACCTAAGGTATCGACCACGCATGGCACAATTCTTTCCTCATCAGAGCAAACTCAGTCCATTTGTGATGTGGTCTGATGCTGACCACGCTGGTTGCGTGAAGACGAGGAAGAGCGTGTCAGGAGGCGTCCTGATGGCCGGTGGTTGTTGTATCAAGACTTATTCTAAAGGACAGGGAGTTGTTAGTCTTTCGTCTGGAGAGAGTGAGTATTACGCTCTTGTGAGCGGTGCCAGCAATTTGCTGGGAGAAGTTTCAACCGCCAAAGACTGGGGTTTGCAACCCGAGAGTGAAGTTTTCATGGACGCAAGTGCAGGAATAGCAATGGGTTCTCGCAGAGGACTAGGCAAGGCCAAGCACGTGGATACTCAATACCATTGGGTACAAGACCGCGTTGCCAAGCGCTACTTTCGGCTGAAGAAGGTCGACACTGGCGATATGCTTGCCGACGTCTTGACGAAACCTGTCATAGAGGAGAAAATGAACAAAGCCCTGCGAAATATGAATTTTCACTTTCTGGAAGGTGAGCATCACCTGACACTGAGAGTGTAGATGGCTTGAGTCGTGGCTATGCTCCGCTGTACATATCAAAACTCGCCTAGTTCAAAACACTTGGACCCACCGTGCCTCCGAACAGGCTCGGGAGGCGTGATCAGATATGTGTACAGTATAGACCATGTTACATGTAGTACATATGTTTGTATATGTGCTGCAGCCATTTTAGTGCTTTCAGCTACCTTCGAGCTGACTGAGTGAAAAGGTGCTGATCAGTGTTCAGGAGTGTTCATCAGATTTAAGAGCCCAAATTCTCTGTTCATATGAGGTACGGTCAAAACTCGATCTGGTATATTACTTATGTAAGGAGAGTTCTCGGGTGTCAGGAACTTGCACAAAACACTATGTAGCGATAGGCTCCCCCCCAAAAGCGATACCTGCAATTGAGAATAAACGTTGGCAGCTCCATGGGATTGGACCAACTTGCTGAGTCTCATGTGTTTTGTTGCCCGCAGTCGTTTGCATGGACTACGAAAATGAGAACGTGCAGAGGGGACCAAAACGATAACGAAACGATAACGAAACGATAACGAAAACGATAAGGAATTGTAGCAAAAAACATGCCGTGTGAGCAACTACCCATTTGACAGGTTTCACGAGGCTTTTTGAAAACAGAAATGTGTGGCATGGTAGTCTTGTTTAGCTTTTCCTCTTTACCGGCTTTGCCTCAACTTGGCTTCTGCCATGTCTTTACCACCCAAGACTGTCTATGCCTTGCTGCAGCAAGTTTTGAAAGATCCTGAAGTCGGACCTGGTGCAATTTCAGAAGCAAAAAAGCAATGTCCCGGACTCCTTGCCCTAATCTCATAGACCAAAAAAAGAGTTGCAGAAAACTAGTCAAGTGCTGAGATGCTTCACGATTATGATCCATGTCGAAGATTGCACACAGGACAATATGTTTTGATTTTCCACGAACAATTCTTTCACACCCATGGAAGCCGGGTAAATTCACACTTCTTGTCTACAGGGAGCTCACCACCTGAGAAAACGATAAGAGGAAAAAAAACGATAACGTGATTTTGGGTAATTTAAAAAGATACGGGGTTTTTATACAACCCCATGTTAGTATATCTTTGAGCGGGTACAATAAAACTACCTGAGTTGATTTAAGGCAATTTCTCGCAAGTATGTGCTGTTTGCCTCAAATATTGCAATGTCCAGCAGTCACCTGTCCGGCAGTTTGCCGCTTCAAATCCAAATCTGCTAGGCACATGGCGGTGGCATCACTCCATGCCATCGCGTCTCAATGAGCTCGGTGCTGAGGCCCCGAAATTTATCATGAAATATCATGATACTGGGTAAATTATAACGACCTCACTGCGACCGAGCCCTGGAATAATGGTAGTAAGGGAAATCATCCCTAAATGGCCACACGATTCCGGTTAGTGAAATATTATAATTTACCCAGAGACCATCTAATTCTGGTTGGTGGTTTGGAACCAGTTCTTATTTTTCCATATATTGGGAAAGATAATACCAACTGACTTTCATATGTGTGGTGATTTTGAGATGCAACCTACTGTAGAAGTTCAAGCATGTTTTTTTTTTGTTGTTTCTTGCTGTTTGACAAAAAAGGGTCACATTCATACAGTAGCCTCAGATGTTTGCCTTATTTATCATCGGATAGTATCCCCATGTTGGAAGGATAGAACATCAATGCAATCCCTCTAAAACAACACCCCAGATTGTCCCCCGAATTTATGACCAGATTCATTCCTAAACCATGTTGTGTCTCATAATATATATATATATATTATATGTATGAATAATTATTACCATTTAACCATATCATTAGGATCTTTGGTCTTAGGATGAGTATGCCTTTAGGATCATTAGGATCAATATTACTAAATCATACCAAAATGCACTTTCTGTGGTGGAACTTCCTGTCAGCCAGGCACTTTTGAGCGACCTGACGTGATTCTGATCCCTCACCGCAAGAAGTCGCGAATCCTTTGAAGAACGTGTACTTAGTGGTTCATCCTACTTGTTCAGTAGAATAAATATGTATCCCTATGGATCCAAGTACCTTCTTAGGAAGTGTTTGGGGAATAATTTACTATCGTTTGGAGGGTTAAGTACCTTCTCAGACAGTGTTTGGATCCATAGGGTATATATACATATACATGCCTGTAGGGCAATGAAGTATGCATGCACAGTCCACTTCCAGGTTTACACCCAATCAATCTACCTAGCCATCTTTCTTTTTCTACCTATCGATCTATCTTTCTATATGATGATCCATCTAAGTTAGGTACAGTAGATGATTATAATCTTTCTATATATTTTATGCAGTATCCATATATTATATATAATTACATATATATATATATATTATTGTATCCATCTTTCTTGTGAGATCAGAACCACCAAGTACAGTAGGTTTTAGGTTATGGATCTTTTGCTGGCGCGTTCAACCACTGTCGTGACAGCCGACGTGGCGGCCTCGCGCGTTCAAAGCAAGAAGAGGACGGCTCCCTTGGTGAAACAGGTTGCCATTTTTACCACCCATGACTGGGAATGGTAAACATATACCACCCAACAAAAAATGGTGAGTCATTGGGGCTGGTAAACATGGCATTGTTTCGCCAACATTACAGATAAATATACTTTGTTTGGTGGCTTTATAACTCCAATTTCATGATGGTTTTTCTTGGGTTTTTTTCACCACATTTTCATCACATGTTTATTGCTATCACCTTCAGCAGATTTTCCGAGGCTGGGGCATTGGAAAGGCTTGCTACAACGCCATGAAGGCCGGGATGTTTCCTACGGTTTCTTGGGGACCAAGCATAGGAAAAAATAGTGATTTCAGCAACGAAAAATGGTTGTTTAAGGTGGGAAAAATACAGATTTGTTGGATCTACATCGATTATAACATTTTATAGCTTATAATGTAATTCATTGGGATCTGACTGGAATCTGGACTTATTGGTTAATGATCATTTTCCCTTCATTTTCCCTACTTAAATGGGCATCTGGGGGCACACATCTTTTGAGGACACAGCCATGTACATCTTGATCCCAGTCATGACTTGAGGTCAATTTACATCATCTTAATACACGATGGTGCCCCAGTTCGTTGGCTAAGTTTGTGCAGGTAACTCCAAATTCCACTATGGTTCATGGTGGATATATCTATACCCTATGGATCCAAGTACCTTCTTAGGAAGTGTTTGGGGAACAATTTTCTATCGTTTGGAGGGGTAAGTACCTTCTCAGACAGTGTTTGGATCCATAATAGGGATACTTACTATTGCTTACAAACCAACTTATAACTGGGGGGCGCCACCTTGTAGGGGGTATACCGGTATACAGAATCGGAAATTGTTTATTGAATGGTTCAAAAAGGTGGATGGTTGCAAAATCCTGCACCAGTTGAAAACGTTGGTTTATACCACTATTTATTTAGGTTTCAACCATCCAAGGCGTGCAACATTTCTTCCATCCACCATATTGAGCTTGTTTAGATACTAAACCCACAGTTTTGTATTACTCATAGTTAAATGGTTTGGAACAACACTCCATTCATCGACAAGTGTTATAGTATATTATGGACTATGGATTAAATTGTATTAAATGGTTCATACCTGATTGAATGCTTTGTATCATATGGTAAATGGTGTTAAAACCAATAAAGATTACTCTATCTGGTTGGTGGTTTGGAACATGTTTTATTTTCCATCGGATTCCATCATATATGGGATGTCATCCTTCCCATTGACTTATATTTTTCAAGATGGTTAAAACCACCAACCAGCTATAGTAATATCTCGATCTTCCTCGATCTTCCTTCGTCTCCGCAGATGGGCTCGGTCCACAACCACCACATGACTGCAGTGGAGGGTGGAAAGATGCTTGGCGCGCTTGGGGTGCCGTAGGGTAAAAATCATCGTTGTGCCACCAAAGTTTGGCTAAACCACGAAAAAATCATAAGATATCACAAGTCAAACTCGAAAAAATCCGAAAAAAAGTTCTATATCCCATATCCATCCCCTATGGATCCAAGTACCTTCTCTGGAAGTGTTTGGGGAATAATTTACTATCGTTTGGAGGGTTAAGTACCTTCTCAGACAGTGTTTGGATCCATATCCATCCATATCCTGTATAAATATCGTTGCCTTTACTGGTTATTTATAGCACGATGTCACCTTCGATGGGTCGCATCACTGGATCGAAAAACCACAGGAGCCCGACGAGATGGGACAATGATTTGTGCCAAACAAATGTGGTATCGCAACAAAAAAACATGTTTTTTTTTTTATGATGTTATGTGTTTTTTTATACTGAATCGGCAAAGTATATATATATATATATACAGATACATTTATATATATATATATATACACATCAGAATGTCGTTCTGGCGCGTACTAAGGCTGCAAGCTGGTGATACTTAGCAAATAAGTTGGTTGATGAGTGGGTCAACTAGAGTCTATGGTAGATACATCCATAGATGGCGCGTTTCCAAGCCAACAAACACTTTACTGGGGGACACTTTACCTTTGGTACAAGTCTCATTCCCACTACAGAATCCGGAAACATCAACAGACATCGACCGACAACATCCGACATTTTTCCAAGGCAAGACTACGAGTCCATCAAGTTCATTCGCTCAGCACCCGCTTCGCAGCTTGGACGCAAGAGATGTCCGTGTGACCAAAGGGCCCAAGTCTATGGAAGTTAGATGATTGGTAATTCACTATGATCAGTTATTACACAATGATAGAAGGTGAACAACCTTGATCTAACTTGACCCTGATTTAACTTCCATTTTAACCGTTATCAGTTAAACCATCAGATATTATGGATAATATGTATGTATATCATATACATGTATTATCATGTATTTGGGAAGGACCACAAGTGGTCCATCTTCCAACATTGCAGTTGAGCTTCCCAGCTGAGGCATGGCAACAAGTTTGAAACCGACTTCGTGAACATTCCTCACATCAAGGCAAGCTGAAGAGCTTACTTTGAGGATACTCTCTGGTAATTTAACGGCTTGCTATTAAACATTGCCTTGTATAATGTAGTTGATTTACCCGTTTATATATATTAATATATAACGTGATTTTCCATAGCGAACCGTAAACGTTTACCAGAGGGTAAACTCAATGATTCAATGATGGACCAATGGAGTTTCCATATGTTTCCACCTTCTTTGTTGTTTGAATTGTTTTTTCCGGTGCTTGCTCAAAGCCACACTTTCGGTTGTTCAAATGTTCAAATTCTTATTAATTGTTGGGTAAATTGACAATTGTGAATCATTCTCCAACATGATTATATGATTGAAATTTTGCTCAAAGCCCCATTTTTTGGAGGATGATCATGATTTTTCAATGGGGGAATCATCCTCCAAGTTTACTGCCGAAGATGTCGAGTTTTTTCACTGCACCGGCGCACTTGGCCCGCCCAGCTGACTGGATACCCGCTGGTTAGATTAATGGGTAAATCACCACATAAGTCATCTATTTCTATGGGCTTATTTTTTTCCCATACCTATGTTAAATAACCATGCAGAAGGTAATCATCAATAAGTGACAACAAATGCATGACAATTAGATGAGGAAAATATATCCACTGCCAGGTCAGATCACATTTCGCGTGGTCACAGGGGATGTTTCCGATGGGCCATCAGATTGCATGGTCAATAAATAATTCCCAAATATTCTAGGGCAATCTTGGATGGGAAAATATGTTCATTTACCCAAGAAACATGCTGATTTCATCTGATTTATAGTTAAGGGCCATAACTCTAGGTCAATCTGAAAGATGGGTAGAAACACATCCTTAGTCTTTTGGTATCAATGGGATTATCTACGTTCACCAGCTAAAAAAAAATGTATTTTTTTTTGCAGCGTATCAAAGATTGGCACTGATATTAGGTATATCCATGTATATCCTCCAAATCTGAAACCCTGTTTGAGCGCATTTATTCATTTTTGGAGGCCCATAAAAAGGTGGGAGAAAGCAAATATCAGCGCAACGGGATAGCCATTGCAATCATCAATCGCATCAATAAATGCATGCAATGAATAATTCAAAACATATAGAAACTGTAAGAGTATTCAGATCTACATCCCGTTCCCAGCTGTTGGGTTTTCAACTCGCAGCCAAGTCTCCCTGATTAAACCGAAAGCGCCAGGACAGCGTGTTCGTGCGTATTCTGCCGCAGAACTTGGCCACGAAGTCTTCCGGGATGAGCATGTCAGGGACTTGGGAAAAGCCCATGTTCGGTGGTGCCCCCGTTCGATAGCTAAGTTGGTGCAAATAAGTCCAATTTCACTATGGTTTATAGGTGATATATTGAACTAGTCAATGGATGGTAATGGACTTATAATCAAGTTATAACCTGGGGGGCACCACCTTGCAAGGGATCGAAAGTGGGTTAGCTGGCTGACTTCACCAGGGTGAAATGCTGTTGATTCCCCAAACAGCGTGTCCACACTGAGGGGTTCTTACGAGTTGGTAAGACAACCTGAAAAATACATCAAAATTGAAATAAGCATCTCAGCAAAGTGCTTGGCTTCTTCAGGGTGGTCAAAGCAAACAGTTTGTGTGAAAAATGGCAACCGCTTAACATAGTCAACATAATTTGGGATATAGTTGAGTTTCATCAGAAGATGTCCTGGTGCATCATCTCCATAAGCTTCCAGGCTAAAGGGTTCATGGAGTTGTAGACCACTTTCCCATCCATCCAAATAGTCACATCGCAAGACTTTTCCAAAGCCACCTCTCAATGTGGAGCTGATGCAAAACCTACATGGTGATGAGCGGCCTTGAGAACAACAAACTGTTGTCATCCAGTTGTGATGGGAAGGGCTTGTTTACCCAGAAGTCCATACCGGAGGGTGAGGTGATCTTGGGAGCAACAGCTTCGTTGTTCACGGAGAAAGCCAAGATGATGGAGGTGATCCGGCAGCATGAAGAGCATGCTGATGCTTGTGTGAAGATCAGCGAGGTGATGATGGAAGGAAACGTCATCCTCAGCTTCCTCATCCTCCACCTCATCTTCCGCATCATCATCATCATCATCATCATCACCATCATCATCATCATCATCACCATCACCATCACCATCACCATCATCATCATCATCATCATCATCATCAACGTCATCATCCCCATCGTCGTCATCATCACAATCATCACCACCATCTTCTTCATCATCTTCCTCCTCATCATCGTCATCCTCAACCTGATCGTCCTCAACATCATTATCCTCCACCTCATCTTCCGCAACATCCTCCTTTTCCACCTCATCTTCCGCAACATTATCATCCGTTTCATCCTCCTCCTCAACATCATCGTCCTCAATATCATGATCTGTCATCCTCCTTGAAAATTCCACTACAAAAAGGTAGGGCATATCTCCTGTACCAGGCATGTTTGCTATACCAAAATGTGCCTAGTCCCCTAGGTTGTGCCCATGACTTTTTGTATCCAGTCAATTTTGGATAGTTTGCCTAGGTTGCAAAGTTGTTTTTGTAGGACTTTCAGCTCTATGTTTTCAGAGGCTTATCTTGGGATACCAGACCCCAGCTTAACCAAATTGTGTTTTTGTAGGTTTCCATTTTGTACCAGCGAAACACCAGCTCGCTTTCTGGTTTTCCTGGCTAAAATTCCTATGTTATTGATGGTTGGTTGATGTGGTGGACTGACATCGCAATGCGATGCATAGCAAAGCTATGAGAGGGTAGGTCAGCTGTTGGGAGTAGGCTCGGCTACACAAAGAACCTGTGGAACAGATGTCGTGCCCAGGGAAAGCTGGAAAAAGAAAGGGGTTTGGCAGCAAATGTGGCCAGCTACAAAAAGCACTCTTGTTTTTGCAGATCCTATTTTGGTGGTCTTTGAAGCCATTGGTCTGTGGATAAGCTTTTTGTATCTAATAAAATTTGGTCTTTGTGAGGAATATTTTTTACCTGGCCAGGGCTTTCTGTAGTGCTGGGGGGTTGTACCCAGCCAGAAGGTACCTACATCAAGGGGGGATAACCTCTCCCCCAAATTTCAGCGGGTCAACATCATCAACCTGCACTTTGTCCTCCTCCACTTCATCTTCCCCATTATCATCCTCATCCTCATCCTCCTCAACATCATCATCCTCATCCGCATCCTCCTCAACATCATCATCCTCGACATCATCCTCCTGCACCTCACCATCCTCAACATCATCGAATCCTCAACACCATCGTCCGCATCTTCATCATCGTCGTCATCATCATCATCGTCATCATCATCATCATCACCATCACCACCACCATCACCATCATCATCATCATCATCATCATCATCACCATCATCATCATCATCACCAACGTCATCATCAACATTATCATACATTATCATACATTATCATCCATTATCATACATTATCCTTCCTTCTCCACACTGTTTGGGGTTTTTGCCGGGACAAGGTTTTTATGGGGGTATGAGTTCAACATGTTGCATGCATCATTCTGATTCATTCTGTGTATGACATGGATGGGAGATCTTGGATACGGATAATGGTGTCCGTTTTTAGTCATTTGTGGTTCCCAACACCACGTTTGGTATTCTTTGGTCATTTTAAGGAATTGGTTAAACACCCCAAATGTTCCAATATAACCAATTATTTTTGATGTTCATGTTCTTGAAACATCTCCAAAACTCATGGTTTTTTGACCCAGGACTCCATCGCGCCCCGCATCGCCCCGCCTTGCCTTGCCAGGTCCGTTCAGTTGCCCCAGAACGAACAGTTCTATGTGACGGATTCCATGTGGATCAACACTGGGGAGGCGGTGGCGGAAAAACCCAAGAAATGACCCTATATAATGACGATTGAATGGAGGTGATTATTGGACATGGATGCAAGAGTATAACTTAATATATATATATATACATGTATGTAAATGTGCCATAGATGGATATAGATGGATGGTGATTAATTATTTTTTGTTATCTCCCAAACACACCTCATCCATGTTTTTTTTTTGAATCAACAACTACGAAACACGCACCATATGGATCCTTGAAATGGGTCCCCGATAAGGTATGGATGGTATGTGGGTATCAACAGGATTGCTTATGTTCATAAAGATTGACCCCTTCAAAGGTGACGCCCCCGAATCATAGATTGTGTACAAACCCTTGTGGTTGTCGGCGGCAAAGCGGCAAATAAGTCCTCTATAAACCCAAACATCTTCACGATTGCTGCCCCCACCGTGATGTAAGATGGTGTGTAACCCCCCATTGAGTATGGATAAGGCCGTTACTACAAACCCAAGTGAAAGTGGATATATCAACGAACGTTGCAAACTAATCCCAATAATGCTAATATATAAATCAATATACATCACCATTTTTGTTGGTTACATTGGTTACATACATCATGTTAATTTACCATTTTCCTAGGCGATGGGTCCAACCGACCGCATTTTTTCGGCCAGACTCCGGTCTTCAAGGGCTGCGCCAAGTGCTGGTCAGGGTCACTCAGGGGCAGCCCTGCCAACTGGGGACTTACCGTGGATTTCATCATGATTTATTGGTGATTACAGTGGTGATTGTACGTAGTGATTTAACGGTGACGTGGTGATTGTACGTAGTGATTCAACGGATATTTAACGGTGATGATAGTTGGGACTAAGTCTTAGTTGGTTTGTATTTTCGCATTTTGCATGTAGTTATTTTTATCACCATAAACTCTACAGTACACCTAGAAAGCAGTTTATCTGGAGTTATGTTTTAGAATACCTCAAACCAAATCTTTTGTGAAACCTCAAACCAAATTTGGGGATTTCTGTCTAGTAATCTAACATCGCTATAGAAAACCAGTTCTTTTTACTAAACCAGAGAGCTTTGTTAGATTACTTGGGGGTATAAAGATGTATAAAGGGGAAACAGGGATATCAATGAATATGGGGATGCTGGAATCTTAAATTGTCGAGCAATTCGGATTATGTATCAACCAGTGTTGATGCTTCTGCACGACCTTGTTAGATGGCGCATCTGGCTGCCCCAGTGCAACCATTCCTGAGGCATTTTCTGCTCATTTTGGCAGGGCCGAAGAGCTAGGGCACTTTCCGGGCGCGGGCCTCTCTTCGCCGTCGGTTCCAAGCTCTTTGACCGACTCGGCCGTGTCCTGCACCGAGCGGTACCTTCGTGACATTCTTTGAGCTGCAGTGAGATGCGGGGGCCAGTTAGGTTTTCTGTTTTCCTTTCTATAATTCAGGGGCTGCCTCTCCACCACCATTTTCCTTCCGTTAGCTTTCTGCTGAGCGTATAGCGGGACGACGCTACCATGGCGCTCGTTTCTTCTTCTTTATTTGTTTGGTGGTACTGATTCATGCAGCTCCCCTTTAGATACCTTTTGCTGCCGTGTGCTCCCCTCCTTTTCCTTTGGGGTCACTGCACAGGCTTATGTAGAGTAGCATCGGTGAACGATGCTTCCATTGTGCTTTGCCATATGTGCATGACCACACTATGTGACTATGTCCTGTATCGTAAGAGCTAGGGCAATCAGAAAGATAGGAAAATATGTTCATTTACCCAAGAAACATGGTGATTTCCATGGGGATCTATAGTTAAGGGCCATAACTTTTGTTGATCTGAAAAGATGGGTAGAAACTAATCCAAAATAGTCTTTTGGTATGGGATTGTCTACGTTCACCAGCGAAGAATCTAAGATTGGCCATGAGAGGGGCAGTGTCAATTCACAGCAGTGGAATTGACAATCGGTGGAAGCCAATGAAGCCATTCCCAACATTCCCAAGTGAGCACCAAAGGAATCAGGGTCAGTAAAAGGATCTTTCTCAGATTGGAAAATCCCAGCAACTTGCAGAAAGTCGCTGCAAGACGTCCGAGAAAGGCTGAGAACACTGCAAGGGTTATCTTATCGAACAAAAAGTAAACATACACTTTAGGAGACACAATTTTGAACATAGAAATTAGAAATTGACGGGTCGCTGTAGTGCAACTATAATTCTGAACATCAAATGGAAGCAATTTTTAGAGTCCGCCAGGGTGTTTATGTTCATGGCTAGTTTTTGGTAGGGTATAACCATGGCTGCAACCGCCTTTTTTGTATCACTGCCCATGGGGTGTCATGGCTACATATCACCATGGGATGTTCCGTCCATCCTTTCGCAGACATGTTTATCTGCTTGGTGGTTAACCATTACCAACCATTACCAACCATTATGGTTATAACTAACTTATAATAATGGTTAGTATGGTTATAATAATGGTTCATAATCTGGTTGGTGGTGACTGGAACCATGGAATTTTTCATGATTTTCCAGAAACAGTTGGGAACAAATTTCACAGATCCCAACTGACGAACTCACTCACTCACTCACTCCATCATAATTTTCAGAGGGGTATACAGTATACCACCAAGCAGTTATGGGTTTACCCAATAAAACCATAGAATTTCACCCCCCAACTGGGAATGGTGATGATGATTATCCCAGATTTAAATATATAAATATATATATATATATATTTATCACAAAGTCATGCCAGATTCTTCTCATAGTTTTTTTAAAACAAAACTATATTATCGGATGTACATGGACTTACCGCCTCATCGTCATTAATCACTCCATAGCCACTTTTAACACCCCTTACAAGGTGATGCCCCCCAGTTTTTAAGTGGGTTATATCTACGGGGCAGCACCTTGAATAGCCCAGGGTTGAAGGAAAATGCCCACTTCATACCATGTGAAACCGTGTTTGAAGTCTGTCCTATGCAGATTGTTAGTATTTATTAGTTACTATTAATTTCTCAATAGCCACATTTAACCTCTGGCAATCAAACATTGCAGCAACGAAATTCCCTCATTTAGTTTGATGATTTTCCCAGCTCGGAATCTCCATGACCTCATTCGGAGATTTCCAAGTGCTATGTGAAAAATTACCCAAACTGGAGGTAGCCTACCGTAAACCATCTTTTCAGGAGATATCCCCGAAAACATAGCCCTTACATAGACCTTATATGGTAGGTAGTACCTTCAATAAATCGTTTCCTGAAATGGCATGTTTTTTTGGCAACTTAGCGAAGTGTTCAGGGCACCATCCTGTAACCTTCAAAGTTATGGCCCGAAAGAGCAAATCCCATAGAAATAACCAATCATAACTAATAGCCATGACCATAAAACCTTCAACGCAGAGCCCGAAACACGGAGGACCTTCGTCAAATGGCACCAGGGAGCTCATACCTATCGCCTCAGCGGGCTCAGTCACTTGGTGATGGGAAAAGATGTTCATTTGGTGGTTTGGCTAATTACCCTCTGGTAATTTAACATAGCTATGGAAAATAACCATTGATAGTTGATTTACCCATTAAAAATGGTGGTTTTCCATAGTTATGTTAGTTTACCAGAGGGTAAAGTCTGCAAGAGGCAGCAAGGATCAGACCTTAAACGGCTTAAACGCCTGAGAAAGTGAAAGAACGTGGTGGTTTGTTTTTTCCACTCACTTGGGAATTGAATAGATCCCAACTGACGAACTCACGAACCATCATGTTTCAGGTTGGGGTAGGTTGAAACCACCAACCAGTCATTTACGAAAAATTGCGATTTCATGGGATTTATACTTAAGGGCTATATTGTTTGTGGTCAATCTGAAAAATGGTTTGAAACATGTAGAAACTAATCCAAAATTGTCTTTTGTTATCAATGGGATTACCGACTCACCAGCCAAGAATTTATTTGTTTTGCAATTTATCTAAGATTCACCATGAATTATACTTGGTGGCTCATCCCACTTAGTAACTAGGTTAGTTCACCCCAGTTATAAGTGGATTAACCCTACAAACATCCCATTTATAACTGGGGTTATAACCCACTTACGAGCCGTGGGTAGTTCGCCACCAAGTAGTCACCCAGAAAATGATAGAAGTCACATCATGGAAGCACGGAATCTTGGCATTTGTTTTGGGTTGTTATAAAAGGGGATATATACCAACAAGATGGTGCCCCAGATCGTTAGCTAAGTTGGTGCAAATAACTTCAATAACTATGGTTTATGGTGGATATATCTATACTTACTATGGTTTATAAACCAACTTATAACTGGGGGGCACCACCTTGAAACATGGTAAAATCCCTGATAGCTTAGAGTTTAAATGGAAAAAAACACTTGTAATTGGAACTAACTCACCAAAATTACCAAAATGTGCCCAATATTGAGACCACAAAATCCCAAGGGCTGGCAATTTGGATTCGCTAATATGCTGGCAAGTGATTATTTGTTTTTCAGGCAAATATGTAAATCCTGATGGGACATTGTGGGTTTGTCTGAAGATAAAATACCCCAAGAATCTATGGATCCTATGGTTTATATTTTTTATAATCATGTTTTCCTTTAAGTATCAATTTTCGGAAGCTTTTACTAGAAGATAGAAGGCACGCGGATACAGGGATGGGTTGATACTTGCTGTGTATTCACCAACAAACAATGAATGTTAACTCACGATGCAGGGTGATGGGTCAATTTTTGAAGTGAAAATTCACCCTTTGGGGAACTTGCAGGTTTTGTGTTGTTATATGCACGTATCTTGTTCCGGGGCCCCTTAACTAAATGACAGATATTGCTGTGCTTAGTTATGTATCAATCCCTTCAATGCGTAGGGGGCTTGAAACCTGAAAGCATTGACCCCGCGACTTGCCTGAGGCTTCACCAATGTCACAAGGAAACTCGATGTTCACAAGAAGGACGAAACGCTTTTTTTGCCTTTCGCTGGCAGAATCTGAAAAAGGCATCATGAAAAAAATCGTGATTTCTAACGATCCGAAGTACAGACATGTTCTTTTTAAGCGTGAATCTATTTAAATTGAGCACAGCTACGGCAGCCCCATGAAAGCCAATCATTTCCAGGGCAAATAATAGCAGAGGGTCGCACGTCCAAGAAGAAGACCCTGCCAGGATTTTTTGCCGAAGAACTTCCCGAGAAATGCTGCGCTCAGGGTCTATGTTATTGAAGATTCATGTAAAATCCATCGATATCCCATAGTATCCTGTCCACTAATATCCCATGAAAATCATGAACATACCCTCTGGTAAACATACAAAAAGCTATTGAACATTGCCATAGAAATAGTGGATTTACCCATTGAAAATAGTGATTTTCCATAGCTTTTTGTATGTTTACCAGAGGGTATCCCATTAAAATCCATTAAATCATATTGAACCTGCAGTGATTTTCGGTCCAAGACCCATATTTTTTCAGGACATCTTCTGGGATCTGGATGGTTCCCTGACGGGGACACCAGATTCTTACACCTCCTGGGCAGATGCGTGGCTCGGTGTGGACGTTTCGTGGGCACCAGTTGATGGTTTATCCCATTTGTTCGGGATTCAACATGTGGAAAACAATCCTTTTGGTGGTGCAGGATTTCGCAACCATCCATAGTATTATATAAAAAACATAGTTCTAAGTGGGAGAACACGCGTGAAAACTAGTCTTTTCTAGGTTAACTATAAGATATTTATAGATATTTTATGATCCGTCATTTTTTTTCCGCAGGGATGACACATGAGGGTAATTTGTAGTTCTACTTGGAGGATCATTCCGCGATTCCTGGGGTGACCCTCCAAGTGTCTGGGCTGGTTGGGTGTTTGCGGCAGCTGACAACTTTGGTTTTTGAGGGGTACCGGGCATCTCCAATACCCATAGAATAACAAATCGGTACTCAACCTGGCTCTTTCCTCGAGGTTTTCCCAACCTTTCATATGTCTCCTTATTTTTTCCCATCTTCCCTTCATGTCTTGTCGATGGCCCTGCTGGGAATGAGTGGGGCTAGTTGGGTGGTTGTGGCATGACTAGCTGACTAGCTTAGAGCAGACATGAAGCGTGATGGTTGAATCTATATGTGCTTTAAGATTCCCAACTCATCGACTCATCGATCCTAGAAATAGAACATAAAAGTCACAATTACAGCAACCTTTGCAAAACCAAAATTGCGCAGGATTTCCTAGTGCTATATTATATATTTTGTGTTTTTTCAATTCTGTAGGCCAGTAGGCTACGCAAGGCTGCGCCCTCCCCTTTTGTCGCTAGAGTTTTTTGATACGCGTATATCATATATCCTCTTGTTGGATAATATTCCGACATCCCATATATCTCATTGAGTTCTGGGAATATTGTTTAATTTCTACTCGAGGTATGCCAGAAAGAATGCTTTATTAATGTTAGGTATATTGATCGGATATACCCTAAGGCATCCCTCATAGAAAGATGCTAGTTGCGTGTACAATGGTGACACATATGTTGTATTCCCTATGTTTGTTGGCTTTGAGGGGTAAAGGCACTTCACTAAACGTGTGATTTGTATGTATAGATTCTGTTGTGCACAGAGTGAGGATATGGTTTGCCGGCTATACTTGCACGGTCCTGGCGGCGGTGGGAAAACCTTCATGCTCAAGGCTGAATCATCCTCGTCTATGAGGAGTATTTACCAGGAACTACTCGAGGAAAGGCTGCCCAGAATTCAGCTGCGCGTCTGATTGGCGGTGCAACTTTCCACTCAATGGACGGCTTTTCACCTGGGGATGCACTTCAAAATCGACAAGACGGGAAGAAGCTCCTCAGATGCAGCAGAAGTGGAGATGCGCGGCTCTTTTATTGATGAGATCTCTCTGACTCCGCCAAACCTCTTGGCCGCTTTGCAGGTAGTATGTGAATGATAACCCAACTTAATGAAAAATGGAGCGCAAAGAGGGTTAGTGAAGACATCACTGGGGTGCGCGTTTACCCACTTACTGAGCTGAAGTACCAAGTACTGTACAATGTGGAAAATAGTTAAATCATAGTCATAGCTAAGTCATGTCAAATCCAAGTGTTCGGGAACTTCCCCCTGATTCACCTTGCCAAAATTGGGGGATTCTTCCAGGTTCAACCTGGGCCATCCTGACTGCGTTTACACACAGGCGCCGGTGCTGGGGTGACAAGCCATGAGGATCCATTGGCACCATTCGAAAAACTCCGGATATATGTTTGTCACTCCTGTTGATTGAGTAGAGGGGTTCCTCCCAATAATATTGATAAGTTGCTATTGAGCTGGCACCGGCCAAATTCAACATATTAGGATATTATTAGTCTGCAGTTGACATTGATTACTCTCTATATTTGTCTGCTTTGTCGCCAGTTTTTTTTTTGACAGGCTGAGATAGGCGAATGTTTGTCTTTCAGAATGAACTAGAAATCAATTGAACTTCCATGCCTTCTGGCTTTCTTGGCTTTATAAAATGCCAGTCACTATGGGTTACCCTCTGATAATTTAACATAGCTATGGAAAATCACAATTTTAAATGGGAAAATCCACTATAAATTGCAATTTTCAATAGCTATGTTAGTTTACCAGAGGGTATTCCTCTTCATAAACGGAGTGGCATCTACTAACGCAGGAACCATAACGGGGGGAACCTCCAAAGATTAACCAATGTGAACATGCCATAACAGTCATAACATGATCATCGACAAAGGCATGTCCAAGGTGAGATTCATGGCTTGCTTATGGCCTTTAAATGGATTATATGGCTTTTATACGTTTTTTTGTTTTAATTATTATATGGCTTATATGGCTTTTGGACATCGCTTCGGAAGACGCACACGTTTGTGAAGAATTTGGTTTCCAAAGGGTAGATAAGAACATGTGGATTTAGCAACATGATCCAGCACTATGGAAATGAACAGCTACTATTGTACATGCACGTGAATGTTTAACTATTCGCTCTGATATTGCATGGTGAACGTTGCGTTCTGACAAACCATGTTTTTATTCTTGTTTTTCAATCAACTGCTTTTTGTTGGAAGGTGAAAGTCCGCTTTCGCTTAGTGAAACTGTTGTTTGTCGTCGGTTGGAGATCAAGTTTTTGTTCTCATGATTTTCGCGCAGATGTGCTGGCTGAACATGTCAAAGTTCCAGACCAATATTTGGGATAATTCAATAAATCTCACAACTTGTTTTCTTGTTCTATGGATATGTAAGTGGAATAAACACAAGATGGGTCACCGTCTGAAAAGAGGGTAGCCCAAAATTTGTTTTCTTTTTCCATCGTTTTTCCTATTGAATGGCCATTTAGAATCATCTAGAATCTAGAACGTATTGAGAAGGTATACCCCATTTTCAGACACCCATAGTTATCTATATGATCTACTGTTCTTGATGCTTAAGTTCCCCTGTGGTTGATGGTTAAATCTCCCTATTGTTGATGGTTAGATCCCTAATCATCCATATTTTTCTGAACATAATCTGGAAGAAACTAATCATCATTTTTTAACCATCCATATTTTTCAAATCCATACTAACATCCATTTTTTAAATCTGAATTTCTTTTGAACACTAAAATCCATACTAATCCATATGGAACTTGAAGAAAGACGTCTTTTGCCAGTTCTTGCTTCCTTCCCGGCCTCTTTGCCAGGTGCTCTTCAACACCTCAGAGGATGGAACCGAAATGGAAACCACCTGGTCTGGACCTCAGATGAGTTCACGATGGGCAGTTCTACGCAATACATCCGGTAGGATATAGAAATCATAGAACTATATTGTACTTCTACTATATTACTGTAATATCTAGGCCAACCTTGGTTTGATACTTGAGTACTTCAATTTGTTTGCTATAAATGGGAATATCTACTAACTTACTAACCAGCTAAGATGTTTTTTGGGGGTATTCAAGATTGGCAATGATATATGGATCCAATATTATTTATCGAAGGAAGTTTAGAAGTCAAACTTCCGACAATATGGACAGATGAAAAGCGGAGATGGGCAGAGGCAGAGAGAAGAGAAGAGTAGAAGAGAGCAGGTCAGAGAAGAGAAAGAGTCAGAAGAAAGAAGATGCAGATGCGCGAAAAGGTAGGAAAGTCGCGAAAAACTGTGTTTTTCCAATGATTTGTGGCTCCGGAGGGTCGAAAAGTAGGCTCGCTAAAGCGGCGGGTGCGGAGCCATCTGGCCAGATGAGAGATGAAAAATTGCACGCCTTTGTGGCGCGAAGCACATTTGCAAGTCAAAATGTACAAAACACCTGGGTCTCGGAGCACTTTTGGAAGTTGAGATGTCGAAAAAGTGCACGCCGTTCTGGCGCGAAGCACATTTCGAAGTCAAAATGTACAAAGCACACCAGGTGCGGACCACTTTTACTAGTTGAGATGTCGAAAAAGTGCACGCGGTTGTGGCGCGAAGAACATTTCGAAGTCAAAATGTACAAAACACACCACGTACGGACCACTTTTGGAGGTTCAGATGTCGTTTCGCGTGGCAGGCGCAAAGGATTGTGGACCTTCTCAAAAGTGAGCAAAACGTGAGGGTTTTGTCACATTTCCAAAAATGATCTGCAAAGATGCATTTTCCGCGGCAGGCGCAGTACAAGAGACATGTTCATGAGAGATGTTAGGACTGTTAGGAGGTGAGTCTGGCAGAATTGCTTTGTTTCTGCTGTGTTGTCAAGTTCAAAAACTGAAGAAGTCTCGCAGAATTGCTTCGTTTTTGACGTTGTTAGGTTCAAAAAATAAGGAAGTCTCGCAGAATTGTTTCGTTTTGACGTTGTTAAGTTCAAAAATGAAGGAAGTCTCGCAGAATAGCTTGGTTTTCAAGCTGGCAGATAGACAGGTAGATAGACAGACGAGAGAGAGAGAGAGATAGATAGATAGATCGATCGATCGATAGATAGATAGATAGATAGATGATCGATAGATAGATTAATGCAATAGATGAGACAGATGATAGATAAAGATATAGATAGTTAGTTAGATACTAGATAGCTAGATAGATAGATAGATAGCTAGATAGATAGATAGATAGAAACATAGATAGATCAGTAGGTAGGTAGGTAGGTAGATGATCAGCGAAAGAGAGAGAAACAGAAAGAAACAGAGAGAAAAAGAGAGAGAAAGAGAGGAGAGCCGAGCTCAAGCACCTTTCGGTCCATCAGTGGGTTCGCCCTGCCATCCCTGATTCACAACAGCCAATCTCTCCTATAGGTTTCCAATTTGTGAAACTTCCGCCACCGCCTTGTGCGGTACTACTGGTATCCCATGTTTATTTGATATATGAATTACCAGTATAATACTAATGCCCATGATATTCATATGCCCCATATACGGATATTGGAATCTACTACCGTAATACTGTATGGATCTATTAAATGGGAAGATCATTGGTATTTTTTTTACATACAACAATTATATTACAACGACCAACCATTATTTTTGCGTATCTAGAAGAAATGTTGCCCAAATGATATGTGAGGCTGGTTCACAGCCAGGCCTTTGGTTGAATTCATTGTGGGTATATACATACAAGAACAAAATAATTAAATAAATAGATGTATATATATATATATATATACATATATATATATTATTTATATTATATACACGTGTGTGTGTGCATGAGTAACCATTAGTATATACACATTTTTTTTTAGCATGATGGGTTTACAACTGATTAATTGGGAGGGGGGCCTTCTTTGAATGTCCTGGTTGGGTGCTTCAAAATCCTCAACAGAAAGTGTCATGCAGTCATGCCAAATGTATGGGACGACAATGGTCCTCCGTATATTCCTGTACTTTGTTGAAGGGAAGATCAGAGGCAAGATGGTGCCTTTTAAAATCGCCATCAACGAGTGGTACATCTCCCATTTGGTGTCCCCGAAAATGGGCACCCACTACTCGATGGCCTTCGAGATCTACCAGAAGGTGGCTGAGGAAGAGATGAGGTACTTGGAGGGGAGATGAAACTGGAGAAGCTGAGCGAGGACCCCAGACATGTAGATATATGTAGATGGGATTGTGTGAAAATGTCCAACCCCAAAATTCCACAGTTTTAAATCAGCACTGTCCCATCAAAATGTCCATATCTTGGAAGTAAATCCCAATCGAGACAACTCTCCAGATCTTTGTATCCGGCTTTGTTTCAAAATGTGTTTTAAAACATTGATGTACACTACGTCAAGCACTTGACAAACCATGATCGACCTGTTTTCCTACCGTTCGACCTATCCCGATGAACAATAATCCAGAAGGTCCGTGACTATTACGAGACGTTGCGTGAAGTAAGATGTGTTTGTTTTCTTCCACGAGATCGTGCAGGGTTCTTAACGTATTATACAGATCTTCATGGAGGCTGATTCTGGAGGAATTACCGCCCCAGCTGGGATGAAGAACTTAACAGTTGTAACCCAAATTGCTAGCTATAAGGCTATAAGGCACTAGTCACCCCATTTATGGAATGTATAACCCCATTTTAAAACATTTCAGAGTGGTGCATGCATGGTTTTAACTGTAAAGTTTTCCACCTTGATTATCCACCTTGTTTTGTGTTTGTTCCCTTCGCATCCAGGTACAGTGACACAGGTATGTACACCGACTCTCCTGGCATGTTCAAGATGCCTGGACGAACGCGAATGGTTCGAGGGGTGTGGGAATTGCTATATACAGTTATGGTCATTTATTAGTTATAATTGCTGGTTATTAATGGGATTATACATTCTTTAAATGGGGGTTTTGTTAGTACTTATAACTGGTATCAGTCGGGCCACAACTGTAGATGAACATGGGATTTGAATCTGGAACATATTTTATGTGATATGTTACCCTCTGGTTATTTCACATAGCCATGGAAAATTGCCCATTTATAGATGGTCCGCCTATTAAAAATGGTGATTTTCTATAGCTACGTTAAATAACCAGAGGGTACCTTAGATCTATAGGGATGATATCTAATTATTGCGGTATATTACTGATATCTGGGGATTTCAATTATTGGATTATAATTTTCACAGTCCCCGACAGTCTGTATAATATCTGATGGGATACAATGGGACAAAGTTGGTGTATGAAAATATTGGGATTTGGTTGCCCAGTAAATGTGTATTTAAGCAGCAAACATGAGGATCAAGTGCTGTACCTGGGTAAACATGAAAGATCGGACAGTTCAAAGTTTAAAGAACATTTTTTTTGTCAAAAAAACGTTTTTTTTGAAGGTCATCAGCTTGTTTTTTCAGTGCACCTGCCGTTTCATCGCTTTCAGTGTTCTTTGGTACTTACAACTGGGGGTTGTAACTTACAATCCACCTACGAACTGGGCTGAGCCACCAAGTGCCACTTCTAAAGCAAACATCTCCAGTCTGAGTGGCGTTTCCTCATCCAAATGCCCCTGGCCGCGGTTTTTCAAACGCTGAGGACAAGCGCTAACAAGTACCAACATGAAGGTCGGGAAGTCAATGCGCTGGCAGCTTCTTCTGGCTGATGGAGCAATTTCACTAGCAGTAAGTATGAGGATACCAGTATTGGAAGTGTACTTGAACTTGAAATTAATTAGTACTGCAAATTGTACATGTTCTTTTAAATCTACTGTACCAATCCCGGTAATTAGATATAGTAGTACATCCCACCCAAAAAAAAAACGTGACAAAAAAAAACTCGTTGTAATTTCATTTTATCACCAGCAGGATGTGTCAAATTCTGGGTAACAAGTCCCTGATTCTGAGTTTCTACTGGTTGCTTCGTGGGATGAAAACCATCTAACGTCCATTGAAAACGGCCATAGAAAGTGCGTTGATTTACCTACCAAAGGTGGTGGTTGTCCATGGTTATGCTCTGGTAATTTGTTACATAGCTATTGAAAATGGCCATTTCTAGTTGATTTACCCATGAAACATGGTGGATCTTTCCACAGTTATGTAAACGTTTACCAGAGGGTATGTTAGTTTATTCTAGAGGGTATTTGCTATTAGTCCATCTGTTTAGATGTTGGCGCACGTCACGCAGAAAGACACTGCCCTTCAGTTGAGACTATCACATCCATCCAATGGGCAATCTGAAAGATGGCTAGAAACTACCCTCTGGTTATGTCAAAATAGCTATTGAAAATGGCCATAGAAATGGTGAGTGGTTCCCATGAAAAATATTGAACATGGCCATAGAAATAGTGAGTTTTTCCCATGAAAAATATTGAACATGGCCATAGAAATAGTGAGTTTTTCCCATGAAAAATGCTGGATCTTTCCATAGTTCTGTAAATTTTGGAGGGTAAACCAACACAGTTTTTTTGGGGGGAATGGGATTATCTAACCAGCTAAGAATCTACAGTATCATTTGCAGGAAATTCTATCTGGCATTTTAAAGGGCCATGTTCCTGTTCGAAGCTCATCTGAGCCACGAAGCCGGCTGCGAAAACTCCCAATCGCTGCATGGGTAAACATTTGCTGTGGTGATTAATTAACTATTATGAGTTAGTATAATGGAACTATAATTAACTCTAATTAATGGTAACTATAATATCTGGTTAATTATTGCTGTGGTTAATTAATGGTAACTATAATTAACTCTAAAATTAACTATCCCATGTTTATGAGTTAGTATAATCCAGATGAACTATTTCATCTTCGTTGTTGATGTCCCGCTATTGTGCTTTTGTTGTATCGTGATTTCTCCCTGCCTTACAAGTATAGTCCCAATTTTATGTTACAAACCCATGAGTTCATCTTTTTGGGGGGGTTCAACATAAGAACTATGCTTTTACAGAGAGCTGTAAACATATGCTTCTATATGCCTACAAGGTGGTGCCCCAGGTCGTGAACGCTAAGCTGGTGCCAATAACTCCAATAACTATGGTTTATGATGGTAGATATATCTATACCTACTATGGTTTATAAACATTAAACCAAGTTAAACCAACTTTTATTATAACTGGGGGCACCACCTTGTACATTTACTAGTTGCAACCTCCATTGATGTGTCAAGTGTCACTCCCTATTGTGATCCCGTTTCGTTTCTTATGGCCATCCCAACAGCTACAGCACCTGTGAAGCAAATGGTTTTACCATCCAATCTCTGTGGTTTTGGGGTTCAACATGTCCAATAACTAATAATTATGTTTTTTTGGTAATATATCCATAGTTAATGGGCTTTTATGTAATCGATTTATAACTGGGGGCACCACCTTGAATATGGTTTTGACCGTCCAAGCACCACTAGATCTGGCACTTTCCGACCATATGTTCCATTCAACCCTACCACAATTCACATCATGGCTTCCATAGCTATGGAGTAAATAACCAAAGGGTATATCAAACATTTTGTAGGGGTTAAACCACCGGAAACAAACCTTGGTGAAGTTTTCATGGAGAGTTTTAGGCATTTCGGAATGAACAAAAAAAAAGGAATACCCTCTGGTTATGTCAAAATAGCTATTGAAAATGGCCATTTATAGTGGATTTTCCCATTAAAAATGGTGATTTTCCATAGCTACGTTAAATTACCAGAGGGTAATACGTTTAGGTGTGTCCAGGTACTTTATAAATCTTGAGTACCACAATTCTCAGAGTCTCAGATGATAAAATCCCATTGTATCCCATACGCCATGATATTCCAATGATATACCAATCTTCATAGCTACAAGGTGGTGCCCCCCCCCAGTTATCAGTTGGTTTATAAACCATAGGAATAGTATAGATATATCTACCATACTAAACCATAGTTCTTGGAGTTATTTGCACCACAGCTCACTGGGGCACCACCGTGTACTTGCCATAAGCCGGTGAACTGTTTCGCTCTCCTTCGCCAGTTCGCAACCACACCTTCATGACCTGTACGACTCCCATCCGAAAACTGGGCATCGCCTGGCCTGAACCACAGGAGGCAGAAATTTTCCACGGAACTTGGGGGAATCTGTGGTGATTTACTGGGCGATCAACTGGAAAATCACCATGTTCCATGGGAGTTTGTTGGAATTGGATCGAAATGCCTATTTCACCAGCAAAAAATGGTGATTGTGCATCATTTAACCACCAAGAATGTGGTAATTTAGCTTAAATTAACAACAAATAAAATGAGGATTTAAGCAATTGAAATGATTACCCTCTGGTAAATTAACAGTTCGCTATGGAAAATCACAATGTTTTTAACAGGTAAATCAGCTATTTCTATGGCCATTTCCAATAGCCACATTAGATTACCAGATGGTACATCCCATTAAAATCACCATTTTGTTGGTTAAACCCCATTAAACCACCATTAAACCACCATTTTCCTATGGTTTTCCTATGGTTTTCCTATGGTTTTCAGCTATGACTATGGATCCACAAAAGTTCCTTCGAAGAAAAACCGGGGGATGCGCGCGGCCTTTTGTCCCTTCGATTTTGGATTCAAAGGATCCATAGGGAATCAACAGAAGTTTTTCCAGGTGATTTGGAGGTTGCCATAGTCATGGGGGTACCCTCTGGTAATCTAATGTAGCTATTGAAAATGGCCATTTATAGTGGATTTTCCCATTAAAAATTGTGATTTTCAATAGCTATGTTAAATTACCAGAGAGTACCCCAAAATGGATGGTTTGTTATGGACAATCCTAGCGAAAAATGGATGATGACTGGGGCTACCCCCATGACGATTCGGAATCCTCCATTTGACGAAATATGCAGATTTAAACATCAAGAAATCCGGATTTGTGTCCAACTATTGCTGCCTGCAGATTCAAGAACAATTGGGTTTTAGCCATCAAAGAGGTGGATTTAATCATCACAAGTCGGGAAAGGATGATCTAACCATATCTAACCAACACACAAACATTAGGGTGCATGACACCATATGACACCCCTGTGTTTTGGGACAAGAATCAACGATTTCCGGTAAAGAAATTCTCGTTCAAGCATCCATTGACCGACCAAGTGGCGCTCCACTGTGGAATGTGTTGCTTTATTGATGTTTTTTGTGACAAACAATAATTTCGAGGTCAAACTTGGTGAATCGTAGGTGAATGGCTTCCATTCACATAGCATCCATGTATGGTATATATATATATATATATGTGCTAACATTTGGGGTATATTGATGGTAAATGTTACCATATATACCATACATGGATGCTATGGGTTGTTTTAATGGATTTTAATTTTCGAGAAAGAGTAATTATGGGAAATTACTACCCAGCAATACTTTTTGCTTGGTGGGAATCTGAGATCACCTACGAATTGTGATCCCCAACAAGTATACAGATAATATCCACCATAGATCCATAGATCATTTGATAGCGCAGTTATATACAAACCAATTTGACAAACTTCATGGGCACCACCAGGGAATGTCACCACACAAACTATCTCAGATTTGGTTGGACATTTCAGCGAAAACCCTTATATTTCATGGCAAAAACATTGACAAAAAACGCATCATATCATAACGACAGAAAGGTAGAGTCGCGTCCATGTTTTAGACAAAAATCATCAAACATCTTCATCCGAGCAGCGTTTTCAGGTCGGTTCAGTGCCTAATTTCTGTTTCTGACGTACCAGGTGCATTTGCGTCAACTGATTGTGACAAACTTGGACACTGGGCCTGGGAGCCCAGAGAAGTTGGAGGAGTGAAGGTAAGCAGCTCATGTTCGCTTAATCACAGCCACAGATTGCAGGGGCTATAATGAATTCCTCAAAGAACTGGAGTATCTGGTCTTAACTGCTTGGTGGTTTGGAACATTTTGATTATTTTCCCATTCAGTTGGGAATGTCATGATCCCAACTGACGAACTCCATCATTTTTCAGAGGGGTAGGTATACCACCAAGCAGTAAAATAACCAGGTTCAAGACGCAAAGCTGAACAGACCACAGATGTTTGCCAATTTTCGCTGTACCCAAATCACCTAGCCCATAGCATCCATGGTGCTGGTATATATGCTAAATTATGCTAACATTACTGGGGTATATTGAAGGGATCCATGTTACCATATATACCATACACGGATCGTATGGCTAGGTTTGAGGGTACATCATGTTGACCGACATCATCCATAGGATGGTTCCTGGTCGACCCGTTCTTCGATCAATTCCTGGGCTCTGTGGTGGCCCGTGATGCAGCCAGGTGTTTTACGATTTTGTTTCAGCATAATGTACTTTTAATAGATCCATGGGAGATCTTCGGGATCCTAAAATGGAGGTAATTGTTCAATTTGTTTCAGGCCTATAAGGGCTATGTAAGGGGATATCCCCACAAATAGATGATCTATGTTTTTTCTTTATCCGTGCTATAGTTCCATAGTGCCTTCAATCTGTCTACGAAAAGGCACCTATCGTAGCCATTATTCGAAATGCAACTGAAGGGCTTCACCTAAGTATCCCAAGTATTTTGGGCACCCAAGTTTGATCCATCCCTAGCACTTGTGGTTCATCCTGCTTACTACAAGGATGAACATTAAATTATCCCATTATATCCCAATACCTCCATGAGTATCTCATCATATCCACACATGACATCCCATTCAAGTCCCGTTTTATTCCTTTTTTGGATCCCAAAGTATCTTATATGAGGTTGGATTCGATGGTTAAACACTTATATAAACATCTTAAACCGTTTTCAACCCACTTTTTAAACAGATCAAATATCATCAATATCTCCACAACACGGTGAAATTCACACATTCCATGTCCTGAACGTTGCCAACGAAAAATGTGTCGCGCTAAAAAGGCTCTGGCAAGCGCACGAGTTTGAAAAGCTGGAGCTCTTCGGCTGGGGCTTTCCGGCAGGGGACCTTGGACGGCGAGGAAAGCGCCAGAGCCGGGAAGTCGTGGACTTAGGTCACTTCGGTCCATTCGATTCGTGGATGATCTCATAAACTTAAGGGTATAACATGGTATAATTAACTAAGGTTATTAATCAGAGAAAAATTTGGACAAGACCAAGATGTGATTTTATAAAGCACGGAAACACGGCATGTTCTTCAGGCCAAAGTCACTGGACCACTCTGAGACCCCACTGCCAAACAAGCGAGCTCACCGTGGAGCGCACTTCATGTCGGTCACAACTGGCCAGCCACTTGCCTCCTGCGACACGCTGCAAGCGAACGATGGCAGGACACATCGAGGAATACGAAGCAACCAACACTGCCATCGAGGCCACATATTCCAGGCCACAGCCGCGAACTTTTTGTGCGGCTGACGTGACCTTTCGGGCTGGGCCAACAATGGTGACGCGCCGCAGGTTTCACGATGTGACGCTGGAGGCATGCCCCGTTGGAAACGGAGCCTATGGGCCACGCGCCCTTGTCGCCCTCCGCGCCCTTGTCGCCCTCCACGCCTCGCTGCCAGACCACTACGACGTAACGTGGTGCAACTATATTTTATCGGCTCTTTCGTGATTTCAGGGATGAACAGACAGAACGCCTTCAACTATCCATGTGTCATGTGTTTCGTTTTTTAAGCACCGATTGTTTTGCTCCGCTGCAGCACTGCACCAAGGTATATATACTACTTGAATCTATTTGACGACCTTGGCGGAGAATTCTTGCATGGCAAAGATTCGCAAGGGCGCTGGTGGACAATGCAGTGGTCCAAGAGGGTTCGAACCTCCTGTACCAGTTGGTGGATCAGCCTACTGAATGAACTTGGCTTCGAATCCACTTGGAAACTCTGCTGAACGTTCAGCACCAGATATGTCATAATGCGTATTTCTTTTACTTTAGTTTGACTATATTTCTTCAAAAAAAACTTTACTTCGAGTTATCCCCACCATGACATCTATACGTTTTGTTACTGGCAAATCTTCTGGCATTCTATCTGACATAACTTCTGGCATTTTATCTGGCATATCTTCTGGCATTCTATCTGGCATATCTTCTGGCATTCTACCTGGCATATCTTCTGCAATATGTTCTGGCGTATCTTCTGGCATTCTATCTGGCATATCTTCTGACATTCTATCTGGCATTCTATCTGGCAAATCTTCTGGCATATGTTCTGGCAAACATTCTGGCACTCTATCTGGCATACCTTCTGGCATTCTATCTGGCATATCTTCTGGCATTTTATCTGGCATATCTTCTGGCATTCTATCTGGCAAACATTCTGGCACTTTATCTGGCATATCTTCTGGCATTCTTTCTGACATTCTATCTGGCGTTCTATCTGGCATATCTTCTGGCATTCTATCTGGCCGTTGAGGTCCAGCGGTGCACACTGAGCTGGGCAGGTCCCAGGTTGAGGTCCAGCGGTGCACACTGAGCTGGGAAGGTCCCAGGTTGAGGTCCAGCGGTGCACACTGAGGTCCCAGGTTGAGGTCCAGCGGTGCACACTGAGCTGGGAAGGTCCCAGGTTGAGGTCCAGCGGTGCACACTGAGCTGGGAAGGTCCCAGGTTGAGGTCCAGCGGTGCACACTGAGCTGGGAAGTTGGCAAAGAGCTTGGCGAAGAGTTGGCAAGGCGGAAGTTGAGGTGGAAGTTGATGCAGACATGGTCGAGGCGAAACAGGCGGAGGAGAAGGAGGGGGAGGAGAAGGAGGAGGAAGAGGAGGAGGAGGAGAGCTAGCGGAGGAGGAGAAGAACAGCTCTGATAAAATCTAACAGCCCTCATCTGGCAGGTGGGGATTTTTTTTCTACGATCTCAAAACATTGGGGACACTATGCTTTGGGAATCCCCAAGCATGAGGCAATGGGCCCACTGGGGAGAACTTGATTTCCAGGTCACATCCATGTCCATATCATTTTCTCTCCTGCTCAAATAATACCTCATGTTTATTGATTGAGCCCCAGCTGTTTGTTACTGAAGTCCTCTTAAAGTCACATAAATCATCCAAGGTCCTCCAAAATTTCAGTGTTTGGTCAGAAGTCTCAGTGAAGCTATTGATTTTCGTTCCCAGTGGAACTGATGTGGAATCCCTTGAATTTCGCATCCATGGTTTTGGCATAGTTTGGCAATATGTTGTCCAATATGATAATATGTGCCCAAAAAAAACGGTGCCCATGGGTCGGTGAAAGTTGGAAAATACATGTTTAAACATTACAGAGTTGCTATCAATCAATTTCATTGATGTTTCAGAAACACCCCCATATGCTCCATGGTGCTGGAAGATATGTACAAAATTGGGCCACCATTTCGCCATTGTTGGATTAGTCAATATTCCAACACCTATGGTTCTCATTTGACAAAACATGTTTTTTTCCACAAAACCAGAATTACCGAAGCCAACGAACCAATTATAATCCCATTATAAGCCCTAGGATCACACCAATAAACAAACAAGAACCACCGTGGTCGCCAACGAACCCAGAGATCTGTCGTTGGGGCTCCAGGTGGTGGCCAATCAACGTTTGGAGGTGCGACCCAACTTCTTGGGCCAGGGACCCAGGGGGACCCAGGGACCGGGGAAGCCTTCAGCACGACACGGTAAGCGGGGGGGGCGGGGGGTTAGCGTGGTGAATTCTTAAAAAAAAATCAAAAATCAATAGAAGCACTCATTGGATTCAGGGAAATGAAACAAGAGGTGATTTTTACATTGTATGATTTTTTATATAATTGGATTATGTTGATAAATTTAGTTCAACAACAGGTGATTTAGGGAAAAACTATTGAACATTGGCAGTCTAACCAGAGATGTGGCAGTTAACGAATAAGAATGTGGTTTAACCACGAAAATGTGTTGAACAAAATAATTGGTACCTTCAAGTAATTTCACCCAATGGAATGCCGCACAGCCCCATACATATAGTAATACAATACTATACACCTCATATCCATTTATACAAATGGTTTTTGTATTACAAGCTCACACTGCCACGTTTGAATGTAATAGTGTAACCCAAGTAAATCCTACTGCGTGGGTGGTTGAAGAGCAAGATGCAATGAGGGGTTTGTCAATGTTTGTCACCATCTAAAAATGGTGAAACATCAGGAGGGCCATGGAGGGTCAACTGAATTTTAACCAAGAAACAAGGGACTCAACCTATAATCAGCACTCGTGATACAACCGCAGTGAGATGGTCATTTGGGGGATGGTCCAATTTCAATTCAGCACTCTTCACGATAACCCAACCAACAATATTAATTGGAGCCAACAAAAAAGCCCCCCCAAAAAAGATTGGTGGTGAACAACCCCGCAGGCTTTCCATGCCAATTTTTTAGATGCCACAGATGTAGATTTGAGGGATTGTTTTTACATGGATCAACAATTCACTGGATTGGTTGAAGGGAAAATCTACAGGAAACCATGGTTTTTCGCACCACATCTTGGGTTTTCCTGCAGATGTTTCCTTAAACCAATCCAATGAACAACTGTTTGGTGGTTTCAATCATTTTTTATTTTCCATAATATATGCGATAATCCTTCCCATTGACTAATATTTTTCAAGATGGGTAAAACCACCAACCAGACAATGATTTTGACAAAAAAAAACGAAAAAAGTTGGCACCTTTCCAGCAGATCACGTTCCCAATCCCTGAGGTATGGACCTCACTGAGGGCGGCATTCAGTACGGTTTCAGTGTCTTGGCGACCCAAGGGGGTTCAACCAACAAAAAAGGGAGGGTTTCAGCAAGAAAAGATGGAATCATATGGAATATGTATGATGTACTGTAATAAGTCTGGATTTCTGACATTTGTGGGAACTAATTACTTTGAAATTGGATCCAAGTACCTTGAATGTTGGTCTCCCGATTTTTGGTAATTTCTGAAAATGATGAGCAAGAATTGGATTTGGGTTTGCATACACGTACACACTTCATTTTTGAACTTGACCAAACATGGTGAGATTTCCCACAGAACGTGTGTGTTTTTCACTGAAAAAATGGTCTGGGATTCTGGGTCGGAAACTTTCATGGATTATACCAAGCGAAATGGGCACTTTCTTGTAACCAAAGACGTGAATTTTGACAAAGACATGTTCAGGATGGTTCAGGGTCCTGCCAGCCTTGTCGCTTCGGAAGTACGACTGGGAGGGGTATGATGACTATATAGGAGGTGTCTTATTGTAGCTTCTCAGATAGTGGCTAGATATTTTCCCATAGGGGAATAGATCTATTATCTATAGTCATATATACTTATCTATGTATCTAGATATTATCTAATATAGTTTATATAATGGAGGAATTGCCAATCACCATGTGGATTTCAGCAGACCATATGGAACCAACGGTGAAGCAGTCCTGACGCTGCTTGAGGACGTCCAGGGATTCGATTTGGACCGTTGATACTTCCATGGTATATGCTTTGTATAATTGGATTAATTTGTATATGGATGTATATGGTTATATGATGTTATATGATAATTTTCACAATACAATAATACAGTTCTATTGGAACATATAATATACTGTTTTTGCTTGAGTTTCAATTCCATGTTGCTGCTGAGCCAGGATTGTATTTGTAGTAGATGGGGATTATGAACCAACAAACACAAGTGGAGGTACTACTATACCGGATCTGAACATTTTGTTTTCGAATCCCATGCGAGAATATTCCAGAAGGTGGCGCCCCCACTTTTTACAGATATCTACCCTAATAGTGAACCTACTTATAAACCAGCTTAGCCAAGGATTGGAGGCAATAGCTTGTAGAACCTTCCTCATTTTGCATATCTTCACCAAAAACTCTGTGAAATGACTTTGAAATCGTTCCCAAGCGGTGGCCCAGATGATCTTTTGGCTTCCAAAGAGGGTGATGCGCTCAAGAACAAGAAGACGCCCACACCAGAATGGCCGCTCAGTTGCAATGTCAAAAAATGGGGGGGCACAAAAAGAGGCTTTCTGGGGTGCTTCTGATGAGTGATGTTGAACATGTTCTATGTGGTATCATTAATATAAATATATATGTATGTGCTTATGCACCAACAGGGGTTAGAACCATCATAATTATATACATTATATATTACAAAGCGGTTGATTGGACTTGTCCATCATGTCTCGCACTAAAATTGCAATTTTGGGGTTTAATTAGATTAATTTTGGAATAAACACACAGCTGAACTGTTGCGAAATTTGGTGATTGCAGGTAGTTTTTTGTTTTGGGGGGGCTTTCTTTAAATCAGGGCACCTCTTTTCACCCCAGGTATCCCCATGAAAGATGACAATGTTTGAAATGAACGTATTCTATAATAAAAACCTTTGGTGAACATGCTTGGGTGAATATCGCACTACGTCCCACTATATCCCACTACATCCCCATTGAATCTCCATTCGATTCTTCATTCAAGGTTGGCTCCAAAAAAGCTCATTGGGTTTATCGCATACCCTTTGGCAAACTAACATAGCTATTGTATATCAACATTGTTAACAGGTAAATCACCTATGAATGGGTCATTTTCATTCATTTTCGACAACTATGTCAGTTTATTGCAGGGTAACACCCAGCGTTTGTTTTTTCTCGCCTTCCGTTGCTGAAGCGCTGCAGCCTCAGCAAGGCTACAGCTGCAGTTGAAGTTCTGGATGGCCGGGATGCCAGGGATTAGGAAGTGGTGCAGTTGAAGTCTGTCAAACGGTGAATGCCAGTTTTGGTTTATGTGTACATACAAGACATATATGATAAATACTGATAAATCATATAGGATATATGACATGATGTGATATGATATTATATGTATATACATATATATATAATTTTATCTAGTATTGGGAAACCAATGGTGACAAGGGGTATCCCCATACGCATGATGGTGCTGATGCCATGATGTTTCCAGCAACAAACAGCTTAAAAACATGTGTGAACAGGCAACTGTCCGACTGCAAAATTGCCACATTGTAGATTGATTGTGTGATTTATTTATGGTTCCATTTCTGGGTGACTGCCACACTTAGGGATCAAGCCATTAGTGGAAGAGAACAGACCGGTCGATTCGGTTGTAGCACCAGCATGCCAGACAACTGCAATGGTTCTGGGTGGCCGTCCAGATTTCCAGCGACAGTTTTCCACAGACCAGAGTGGTTGGCTTGTTGTTTTTCTGCTTTTATCCAAATTTTAAAAGATGCATTCCATCTAATCAAATCCCTTCGTTTGGTGATGTGTTTCCCAATTTTCTTGTGGTCAAATCCTAATTCTCACTTCAACCACCAATTTCTGCTGGTTAAATCTACTAGAAGGTTGCGCTTCCCACTCCTAAGTTAGTTTGTAAGCCCATCCAGTTTTAGATATACCTACAATAATCCCTACACTGTGGGGCCCCATAGTTATAAGCTGGTTTACACAGCCCATGAACTATAGATCTATCTACCATAAATCCTAGTTCATGTTGTTATAAAGCAACTTAGCGATTTCGCACACGGGGTCACCACCTTGTAGTTGTCAGCTACTGTAGCTATAGGTAGGGGCCCTTCACCGCACCCGCTGGTTCCACCCCGTTGCACCGCGTGGGCGCGTCTCAGAACTACAACCATGTGAAGTTGACGAACCCCTACAGTTGGTGGGCTGGGACCCGCTATGGTGAGGTCGTCTCAAGGGATGATTTGGAGATGGGTCAAACCCCTGGTACCGTTTTTTTTTCCCGGACAAATCGCTGGCTAATGGATGTATATTCTATTCCCCCAAATTTCAGGGTCTATGTGAATTTACTAGAGGGTAACTAGTTGGATATATCGCCCGTAACTAGTGATTTGGATTAATTTAGTGCTAACTAATCAGAAGTAGAGGTTTCTGTGAGGCCAGTGCGGGACTTCCTCTCCGTATCTCCCGACTGTGACAAAAAACACGTCCTTAAACGTACCAGGTGACCGGTGCTATCCAGATATTTCAGTCTCTTTGTGTCTTATCAATTTGGCATGGTTACATCTCAATTTATCATTATTCCCAAGGATTCACAATCAAAATTTCCGTGTGTTCTGGTGAATTTCCTTTTTTTTTATCTCAGGCGATACCAAGTGGTTGGGGGTTGCTATAGTCTAAATTCCATGGATCCCCAGTTTCCATGATGTTCCTATGGTTACAAGGTGGTGCCCCATAGCTAAGTTGGTTTATAACTCCAATAACTATGGTTTATAGGTGATATATGATTATATATATATAATTAATGGGCTTGTAACCAATTTATAACTGGGAGGGGCACCACCTTGTAACTTATGTTAAGATTCATGATGGACTTCCCATTTTTGATGAACTTTATTATTGATGAACTTCCCATGTTCATTTACTATTTCATCAATAATAAGGTGGAATGGGAAGTCAATCATGACTCATGGTGAACTATTCCGTATAACATCATAATACATCATATAACACATTCCATGGTGAACTAGTGATTAACCTTTTAAGAACCTTTACTATTTCCAACTCCTGCAGATTGAAGTTTGCACCTGGTTTACTGGACAGACGGAGGCCTACCTAGGCCTCTCTTACATTTAAACTGTGGCAGGAAAACACACAAAATATGCAACATGGTCCAACCCCTACTGCCACCGAGGAGCTCAATGACCGTGCCTGAGTTTAAACAGATGCTCAAACAAGTTGGTTCTGACTTTCTCCGGTACAAAAGGTGGATAGACATAGAAGACAAGCTCTTGTCGCCATATCCATCAGTTCCTCCGCAATGTCTGGCAGAGTGTCACATTGGCCACCTTCTGCATGGCTTGGTGAAGTTGGCCAAGACCTACTGCAACACTCCATTCTGGTGTGACAAGATCTGTATTGTAGACACTTCGTCACCTCGGGCATTGGACGCAATCCATCTTGCGGACATTGACCTCATCTTGGGGGTTGTAGCATCGAACTCACACTGGGCTTTGGTTGCAAGTCGTCGCAAGGCGGATGCCATGATGCTGTATGACGGAGGATGACCAGATTATCCGCGTCAAATGACGATGGATCATCCCATATGGGAAATCCGTGGAAATTCCAATGTGTTTTGGTCCCTTAAAGCCATTTTTTCATGGTTAAATCACCGTTTTTCTTGGTTAAATCGCAAAGTTCCAATGTTTCGAAAGTCATGATGAACTAGACTAGAGGATTGTGAACTATTTTTTGGGGATTGTATGATGAACTATGTCCACATTTAAATCTTGCAGGGTTTATGTCAAATTACCAGAGGATACCCATCATTCCATGGTCAAATCCCTATGGTGTTGGTGAAATCCGCATGGCTAAAAAATCCCCATTTTTCATGGTGAAACGACCAGGAAAATTCCTCTGGTATCCCCATCCAATCTGGTATCCATCCAGGGGATTTCCTGGATGAAATCCATCCATGGCGTAGCCTATGGATCCGAAAAAGTGTCGCTTCTTAGGAAGTACGACTGGGCTATGACTAGGTGACTAGGGGAAGTCAGCCGTACCTTCTCAGATAGTGGCTAGATATATCCATAGGGTTGATATCCCATGAAACTTTGGTTAATATCCCATGAAATCACCATTTTCCGGCCAGTCTGCGGAGCTGCGCGCCGTTCAGCTGGAAGAGAAGAAGTCGCGCCGGCCGTTTTGTTTACTGCGTGGAAAAACATGGGAAATCCTAGGAAAACCTAGGAAACTCTCGGAAAAACTCGTGATTTCAAGGGTTGAACCCTGCAAACATGTTGATTTAAGCAAGACAATTGGTGTGAAATGCCATGTCCAAGGGATTTTTCGTAGGAACATAGTGATTTAAATATAGGAAAATGGTGTTTTAAACATGGGATTTCCATGGGATTTCATGTAAGGATTTAGGATTTCACGTGGATGAGCGATCACCATTACACCTCACCTGGGGTCGTGACGGGTCGTGGGTCGAGTTGAGGCTTAGGTAACGACTGGGTATCCCAAAACAGTCGAGACAGGTCAGTGATCTTCTTACCGAGAAGCTCAAGAAAAAAATGGGGCGATTATTGTGTAGCTATGGTTACCCTCTGGTAATTTAACATAGCTATTGAAAATGGCCATTTATAGTGGATTTACCCATGAAAAATAGGGATTTTCCATAGCTATGTTGGTTTACCAGAGGGTAGTCTTGTTATCGCAGGTTTTTGAATTATATGTAGTTCTAATTAGGTGGAAAGATTCGGGATGATTCATGGGATGGATTTTTGAGCCCTTGGATGACATTCATTGCATAACGACGCAACGAGACAAGACACCACCTTTTTAAGGTCCGCAGCGATTCATCGCTAAGTTGGTGGGTTCACACCAATTTCACTTGGGGTTATAGATGGTTATAGTATGTAATCTAGGATAATCTAGGGCAATCTTACATGGATAGTTCAATGCTTTAGTCTTTTGGTATCAATGGGATTATCTACGTTCACCAGCTAAGAATCCAATTTGTTGCAGGGTATCTAGGATTTGCCATGTAACATATGGAGGTTTGCTAAGTCATGGGGGTAGCCCAAATCATAAATCCACTCGTCAGGAATGACCATGGCTGAGTGTTGAAACACCCATGGTTTTACCTTGGGGATCCCCCATTTTAAGAAGCTCCCACATAGGCTAAGTTTGAGTCCCCTTAGGTTGTAACATATACATACATGATTTGTCCCTATTGTCCCTACTACATTCATGCTTAATTAATCACCAACAATACATATCATATCCATGCCCTATGGGTCCAAGTACCTTCTTAGGAAGTACGACTGGGGTATGATGACTAGGGGGTGTCTTATTGTACCTTCTCAGACAGTGGCTAGATATATCCATAGGGATATTATGGTAGATATATCCATGCAATTCATGCGGGTCATATCAATGGGAATTTCAGGATCCTAAAATGGAGGTACTGTACCATATAAGGGCATATTTTCATATATTTTCTAGGGATATCCCCTGAAATTTAGGCCTAAAAAATAGGCCTTATATATGGAATCGGTACCTCCAATCAATCGGTTCCTGTTGCATGGCCATTGATCATACAGTCATACACCAACACATACATCTTTCGGCGCCAGGCCATATCTGACGGATCCAACCCCATTGGATACTCCGGAGAGCTTGCCATCCATGACGCACGGGATGAAGGCGACCGAACATGTTGCTCTCCCGAAGCCTGGAATCATGGTTAATAAGAGAATAAGAGGAATCATCTCAAAATGGCCACAAGATTCAGGTTAGTGAAATGTTATAATTTACCCAGATATATTGCGGGTGTCTTTTTTTGGTTGTGTTTGTGTGTTTATCTGTGAGTTAACCTGTGTCTATATTTGTTCGTCGGCCTGTGTATGCTGGAGGGAACGGTTGTTTCATGGGAGGTGTAGGAGAATGAGGTGGGAAGCAAAAGAGAGTGGCAGATCCATCCAGAATAGACTCTGAACAACAATTTGGAAAAAATAGTAATTACAATCATAGAAATAGAATATCAAATAGAGAAATCAGATATCAAAATTTCTCTGCACCCTAGACATGTGCAGGCACCTGCGCTTGTTGGGGCAATTTGTATGAGATTCTCAATAAAATTGTCAAGAATCAATCAATGGCTGATCACCATCTCTTCTCCAATCCAAAGCGTCTTCTTGGAAGTCCTATGCTCTGATTGAAGATATGTGGCTACATTTCAAATTTCCAAAACCACCCCTAAAAGAACGGGTGTTTTCCCACGTTCTCCTCTGTCAAACTAAGATTTTGATCCAGCCATCGGAATTTCCAAAATCACCCTAAAAGAACGGGTTTCTATATCAATCATGTTCCCATATTCTTTTTTTGGGACCGGCCACCGTCGGTCCCTATGGGGTATATCATGGTATCATGAATAAAATGGGAAATTGTGGGAAATATACTAATTTAATTAACTGTATTAAGTATAGTTGTTTCCATATCAGTGCCAGTGTCAAACCACCAACAAAACAACTTAGATGGGTAATGGCTCAAAATCAGGGACCAGTGAATGAATACAGAAATGTCACAAATCAATGTCAATATGGCCCATTAAGAATTTTGAGCCATTCGAGATATCGAGCGATCGAATGTGTGTGCAAGAATGCATGCACTTCTAATATAATTCAAGATACATGACAATTGTGGCACGCCTTCGTCAGCAGACGGTTGTCCTCGGCTCACCTTCGTCAGTTCTTCCTCGAAGATGGCGGTCTCATGGCCCTTGGTGCTTGAAGCTCTCTGAGAAGTACCCTCTGGTAAACTAACATAACTATAGAAAATCACCATGTTTAATGGGAAAATCCACTATAAATGGCCATTTTCAATAGCTATGTTAGTTTACCAGAGGGTATCGGATGTGACTCCTGACCTTCGGAGTTTCCGCCTGGTGGAGCCGAACGTCATGTGGCTTTTCTGTGGCGCACTTGGTGCACAGTCCAAGCACACGGAACTGCAATGACGCAGACAATATTCATAGGTGTGTTATATGAAACTAGCCTACAAAACCACTGCTGGAGGACCAAACAGAAAAAGACTGCCATCCGTTCATGGCAAACATGCCAGGACCATTTCATTTCAATAAATGATCCTTTCAGTTCAGGAAAACAATTGGGTTCAAAGGAATACGTGAGCAAGATTTACAATGGCCAATGCAAATCTTGCATGCCAGGGTCAGCATGTATCTTTATGTATACATATATGTGCAAATACGTGCATGTACGTGCATGTAGAAAATGAGGGGGAATACTATGTGATAACTGTATCAGTGACAACATATGCTGCTGTGTTATTGAAATTTCCAAAACAGGAACACAACCATATTGGTTCACACCTGCTGCTTATCATCCAGTATGATGCATCTTGGCATTTCGGCTGTGGGTTACCTCAAATTTGAGCACAAGATACACATGTTTTTCACGGCCAACGCTAAGCGGTTTCGTTGGTGACCTAAAAAAGGTGGGATTTAACCAAGAATTGTGTTGGGATTCAATGGGATTTATAGATGATGTATGATGGCTAAGCGGCTACGTTGCCAACTCCAATAACTTGGGTTTATGACAGATGTAAGTGTGGTTCATGGGGGTTATAAACCAACTTATAATGGGGGGGCACCAGTTTTGTAACTCCAGTTGTAACTGGAATATGCCTACTTAGCCTACTGGATTAATTGGATTTATAACCCACTTACATCCACTTACTATTTTTGGATAAGCCGCCAAGTATACTTATACATCTTATACTGGCAACATGTTGTAAACCACCTATAGATGGTTACTGTACTCCATTTAGAGGACTTACTAAGCACGATGATCGATCACTTGCAAGCCGATGATCCTCTGAGTAATGTGTCAGGAAAACCGAAGCCGTTTCTGGTGCATCGGGGGATGGTTGTTGATTGGTCTTGTCAAGCGGCAAAAATCACCCCTGCACTTGGAATGTGCATCCTGGGAAGTGGGTATTTGTTCTCCCCCAGTTATATGATATACATTGAATATACCCATGCAGTTATGGCCATTTACCAGTTATAAGTACTAACAAAACCCCATTTATAGAATGTATAATCCCATAGAAATAACCAGTTACAACCAATAAATGGCCATAACTGTATATACTCGTCTTTCAGGTTTTCAATAATTTACTAACCCATCAAGCCCAAGAACCATCTCCCAGCACCCGAACAACTCACGACCGTCGGCAGGATGCTCGCACCTGGGCGATGAGCTTCCGATATCCCAAGCCGGTGGCGGCCTTGGTCGCACAGGGCGCGGAAGAATCGAAGGGTTCGGGCTTCGCAGGGTGGGAGAAAGACTATGGATGAATTTATAAATATTATATATATACCTATTATATAATTCTATTTGATTATATGTTCATATATATATAATATATATATGTATGTATGTATATATATATATATTGAATGATGGTTAATAAGGGAAATATACCCAAATGCCAAAACGGCCATGGTGAAAGTTCGAAAGTGCGGATTTCTGCACTCGTAATGATGTGCTCTCTAAGCCCTTTTTGGGCGGGAGGGTGCATCCAGGTCAAGGGAACAGCAACAGCTATTTTTAGGTTGATGAAATTGGATGAATAATGGATACATTAGCTGTGTTGTTGATAATTACATCACATTTTTAGTTTATCCATCCAATTTTATATTCATTTTAATTCAGTCAGATATAATGGATTGGTGCGTGGAAATGTTTGCATTTTTGAACATGGTGGGTGGAAGTGATTGTTGACAATGAGGTTGGACATGGCCAGACACTTCCCAGAAGTTACACGCAACGTACAAGATGGTGCCCACCCGGTTATAAGATGATATAAGTTATAAGTTGGTTTTTACCACCAATGAACTAGTTGGATATATCTACCATGAACCATAGAATTCAGCTAGCTATGTTCACCAACTTAGCGATTCCAGCCCCTGAGGCGCCACCAAACGTAGGTGTTTTTTTTTTTTAAGGTGGTAAAGGTGGAGGGAACATGCCACAAACCTCCAATGAGGAGATGAGTTAACAAACCATTTCTGGGAATTCAGGGGGGGTTGTGGTTTTAGCTTTACCCTATGGTGCATGTGCTTTTATGTTCACGATTGCTGTCGCATTGACATTTTTTAGAACATTTTAGAACAAATATTGGATCATGTTCTTTTACTCCTACATGGGAAAATGGTCTCATACTAATTGACTTTCATTATATATATGTTCATGGGTCAAAGCCGACAAACACTGATATGTTACATCTTCAGTAGTCTCTGAAGGAGTTTTCGATGATTCACTGATATGACATTATCGATACATGCAAGTGATTGTGGTTGGATTCAATGTTCGATCGAACTTGATTGTCCATTTAAGTCGGTCAAAGGTCATATCCGTTGATTAGATGATTGCATCCCGATTTGTTGTTTATTAAAGCTTGATTTATATCATATGCTTGTCTTAATTGAATGTGTGTATATATATATATATATGTTGCCCTTATATTATATATATATGATTATATTGTTGTTGGTCAAATGTTGCATTCTTATTTTTTTCTTAAGTATAGACTATATACATAAACGTACTTTCCCATGTCATCAAACGTGGCAAGGGGGAACGATCACACCGAGATCAACCATCCAAAGCACCTTTTTGAAGTCCTCGTCATGAGTCCTGGTTTTCCTATAGCGTCCTACTGTATAGCCAATATAGTATAGCTATTATATTATCTTATCATATAAATCTATAAATAGCTTTCTAGGCTGATGTTTATCATGTTTTTCATATATTTACATAATCTATAAATGTGTCACGTGTCACGTCGTGTGGACGAGGCTGATGCCCCCGCCTGGGAGAGCGTGCCCTATGGAGCACACTTCGAGGTCCGTTGATGTGGAAAGATGGTTACTCTCTGGTGAGTTAGTGTGGATTTATAGAGGATTTAAAGGCAAATCATCTAATTTACCCTCTGGTAACTTAACATAGCTATTGAAAATGGCTATGTATAGTTCAACCTACTAAAAAATAGTGTTTTTTCCATAGTTATGTTAGTTTACCAGAGGGTAACTGGAAATCATGCTGTATAACTGGAACATCAGCATTTTTTTGGTTGGATTTTAAATGATTTGAATAGGTAAATCATGTATAAATCACTATAAATGGGCCATTGTCAATAGCTATGTTAACTATAACCTTGGTTATAACTCATAACTCACTGAATAGCTGAGACTTGGCAAATGAAGGATGTTCACCTTCCCCCAAATGAACAGTTTGACCCTACAAATCCGCAGTCCTTAGTGGGTTTCTGTTAATTTGGGGGATGGTAACGGATTAAATCATCGTCGTCTATGTTGGACCAGCCCTAGCCATAACTCACTAAATAGCTGCTTTTGAGCAACTAAGCAGATTCCCAAAATGGGGTGAACAGATGGAACACAACCTGTTTTGATTTGTTTTATGGATACTCCATTTTTTTGGACAGTATATTTCGATCTTAAACATGCTCGTTCACATAATGTGGTTTATACTTGAATGACCATCAAACAATGCATCAAGTCAGGTTTAGGATTCTATCATATCATAGATGTTTCAGTGAAATCCATTTATAATATGTGTCATCACTTTTCCCTAGATTTTCTACGAATGTTCCAGAGGTTTTGTAAGGGTTGACAGCATCTGCCAGGCACGAAAGTGTCCTGATGAGGGATGCATCTTGAGCAGGGATCCCTGGGGGATGGATGATGCCCTCCATGGGTTTTTGATGATTTTCACAGCACCCAGATGCGAACCATGGTGCTGGAATATAAACACCTACCCTCTGGTAAACGTTTACATAACTATGGAAAATCACCATGCTGTTAATGGGACAATCCACTATAAATGGCCATTTTCAATAGCTATGTTTACCAGAGGGTACATAAAAACCATAAAAATGACCCAGTCATGTAGGTCCATATTCCAGCACCATGGTTCGCATCTGGGATATGCTACAAACCCGCATGAATAGAGGGATTTTTTGGCCATGTTAGACTAGCGGAGGGTAATGTTGACTTTTCACATGACTGTGTGGCGCGACGCTTGTGCAACTGAGTTGTCGTTGTTAGCAAATGAAGTGCCCCACACACAGGAGCTTTTCAGCAGTGAAAAATCGAAGGCCGGCTGGACCATCTGGAAATTCAGCAGGAAAATCATCATATATCATCCACATTCATCCACTAATTTGACACAACACGGGAATTTCGAGATATTTCATGACATGTCCAGATATGATACTGGTTGGTGGTTTGGAACATGGCCTTTATTTTTTCCATATTGGGAATGTCATACTCCCAACTGACGGACTCAACCAGGATATATTGGATTATCTTCATTGACCAATTCACCACATATATTGGATATTTCCATGATATATCCCCATTGATACCTCCATTCGATATGAGTGGTCACCTTTATGGCTGAGATTTGCCGGATCGCTGAGATTTGCCGGATCGCAATCAGAACTGGACCCACTACATCTTGCAGGGCTCCTCAGATGTGTTGTCTGAGCATTTGGAACCCATTCATTCCATCCCATGGTTTTTGGAATGTAAGTGTTTGAGTTAGTTTGGAGATCCATTGTTGAATCAAAACTGCCATAAGTTGGAGTATTCATCAGAGCTTATCAGATGTGTGACAAGTAGACCGGATTATAAACCAACTCACGCCTTGGGGACTTCCTCCAGGTAGGCTTTAGAAACTTAAGTTGGCCACAGCACGCGGTTCTTCCAGGATCAACGTGGATCAAGCCACGAGTTTTGTGTAGTTATCGTAAGTTCCCTTGGTGTTTAGCAATTTATGGCATTAGAACCCCAGAGACCAGCCACTGACTAACTGGGACGATGCTCGCCTTGAAGACTGCAAGAAGACGATCCTGGCACAATGGTTGGAGTTTTTTTTGCCTCAGAAGCCTGTCAAAACATCAGCCAAGCACAGCTTGGAAATGAGAGACCAGCGATAGGATCCTCTGAAGAGATTTGACGATGACCAGCTCAATGGAAGAATTTGGCCAGCAATGCTATAGAAGATAATTGCCTCAAAGTGCTTAGAAAAGCCAAGACTTTTCTCACTTTTCTACTTACTGGCTTTCCCAACTATAGTAATATGAAGCGATTCAGACACCATCATCAGCCCACAGGGCCTCATGGCCCCATGGTCATTTTAGCATTCCCCACAAGGTGGAGTGAGAAGTTCGGTCAGGAAACCCAGCGGTTTCATGGATCCAGCGGGAGGTGGTTTTCATAGATCCACTGGCCAGCATTTTGTGGGACATGTAGCAGCAGAAAACCCAAAGAGTTGGAGATCCTTCAGCAGAGCCTTTTTCATGTGCTCTTCACCAAATTGTTTGATTGCTGGTTTGAGATACCCTCCGGTAGACTAACATAACTATGGAAAATCGCCATTTTTACAAGGTAAATCAACTATACATGGCAATTTTCAACAGCTATGTTAAATTACCAGGGGGTAATTCTGTGCTTGCAACTGCCTAAATTGTCGGTGTCGATGATGACATTGGTGCCATGGGTGCAAAGGAATCTAATTTGATTTTGCAGGTATGGTATGGTGCTCATTGCTAGGTCAATCTTAGATGGATACTTTAATCCTTTAGTCTTTTGGTATCAATGGGAATATCTACTAACCAGCAAAGATTTTTGTTTTGCAGGGTATCTAAGATTGGCAATGATTGTTGATATTGCTCGTCTTATTGTTAATCATTGGTGCCCTATTGGGTGGCGACGTAGACGGATAAAATATGATTGATGACGATCCCTTGAGAAGCCTCGGGCCATCAATTTGCTCTCACTATGGAATCCAAGCAGGGTAGGCAGTGGCAGGTGTCAGGGACAAGCCGCCAACAGTTCACTCTACGTGGAGCCCACTTTGGCGATTGCCCTGAGAGCTGACCCTAGGAGAACGTGCGAGATTTTCCCTGCTGGTTGAGTCCCTTCGATACATCCTGTCCCGGTATGCGTTGAACCCCAAGGCTTCTCCAGGTGTGACAGTGGTTGCTTATTGCCGTGGGGGCAACCACCGCAGTGTAGCTTTCGCCTACCTGCTTCAACACGTTTTGAACGCACAGACACTCGTCAGCTGCGCATCAACTGATGTGATCTGTTTGACCGATTTGGCTGGGCAATGGTCGGGGCGGAAATGTGGACGATGCAGTGTGTGCCGCCATGACAGGCTGCCTGCCAGAGAGTCAGCAACAGTTGAAGAGGCTTTCGGGTGTGCGCGAAGCGTTTGGCGTGAAAAGCCGGAAAACTTGTGAGCATCGACAGCTAGTGGTCCACGGCAAGACTTCGGCAGTTCATTAGGCTTCGCCACCGAGTTTCTTTTCGTACTGTGAACTTTCTCTACCGGGAGTATCTTAGATTATCTTATTCTCAGACAAACCCATTTCATCGTTGTTCTATGTTTTCTCGTTTTTGTTCGGTCAACATGTTCACTCTTGTGTATATTGTGATGTGATTTTGGACGCATGAACAGCAGCACTAACCGTGGAGAGTGGGAAGCAGCAACCAACCAGAAGCAGGACGCGATTTCACATGCGCATCTAAAAGTGACCTGATCACTCCTGGTTTGAGGTCTCTTAGCACGTGTAATGGTCACTTTTTGGGACAACTGATTCAACAAGATGTAATCTCATCATATTTACCAGAGCCCTGTTGATTTCTCCTTGTCTCCATTTTTTTTGGGTTTGTGAGGTTGTTGCAATTGGTTTAAATTACCATAATTATGATGTGAGCAATTCTCATATCTAAGTCAAAGCGCGTCGGAGCGACCCTTGCTTCCTTCACCAACTCTTTTTCCTATGGATAACCCTCCCCTGAGTTTGCTATAGCCAGCACAATGGTACAGTAGTAAATTGTTGCTTCGATCGCCAAATTTGATGGTTTAGCTCAATAGCCGCCAATCATCGCCAATCATCAATAAACACAAAAATCCAGGTCTTGGGTGATACAACATACCAAACCTTCCATTCTCAGTTGAAAGATGCTGAATGACTTGTAATGACGTCCTATTCCTTGGTGAATTTCCAAGTTGGACAGCAAGTTGGTGCAATATCCATAGTCTAAGCCAAGTATGAATAGTTTTGCAATGCTATGCATATACAAATATTATATAATTATATATATATGATATTACACATAGATATAAGCATCAACATGTACTTATATATAGATATATGTTAATGTCTACACCTAATGTATATATACACCGTATACCCCAGTCACTCTTATTTTTTCTTGTCGCCCGCCTGGTCCCATAAGACTGCCCGAGGCGACGTGACGGGCCAAGCAGTCGAGATCGATGCACCTGACTGGATCATGTTCGACATGGTGCGCAACCGGGGGGTGGTCGATCATCGCGGAGCTATGGTGATGGTTCCTGATGGTTAAAGGGGGCCTTGGGAGATATCCGGAGCTATATTGGGCCCCTTTTTTGGTTGGCTAAGTCGGATTTCATGGGATTTAATTTAATGGGATTCAAAATGGGATTTCATGATGGCTAAGTTGGTGAACATGACTCCAGTAAGTTGAGTTTATGGTAGATATATCTGAAGTTTGGGGTTTGAAACCAACAAACATAACAGGGAGATATCACGTTGTAGGTAAAGCCGGGTAATCATGGGCAGACGTTCGTAGATTCGTGGATGTTTGAGATGCAGTGAGATTACACATGTCAAATAGAATTATTCGGAACCATAGGGTTTCTGGGGATATGGGTATGCATGTTTGAGACATCACTCCATACATTGGGGATTGCAACAACGCCCATGTTCCCATCATCAAAGTCTGATTTAACTCTTAATTGGTACTTCACCATCAAACTTAGATTATATTGTTGTTTATTATATTGAACTATATTCTCCTCAAATATCCCATGGAATTAGTTTAAAAAAAGATTTCGAGCAAACATTTCCCCAAAACTATGTGATCTTTATGTACCATCTGTGGAAGTTTCAGCGGTTGGTACCTCAAATACAACGGGATTATCCCAATTTATCAATGGCCATTTCAGGAACCTAAATTGGAGGTACCTACCATATATAAGGCCTATATAAGGCCTAAATTTCAGGGAATATCCCCCCAAAATATGGCCTTATATGGTACTAACGTACCTCCATTTTAGGATCCTGAAGATCTCCCATTGAATTTACCTCAATTATGTCATGCTCGATGAAAATCATCTCCTTGTTTCAGGACCTGGTGGTACTGAAGAATCTCACCATCAAGGGAAAACTGTCCTTTGATGACAGTGCCTTGGTTTTTTCGATTGACGCATCAGCAAACTGATGGGTTACTGCTGGTGCATTTGGGCTTTGTTTCATGGGATTTCAACCTCCATAAGCTGGGATATATATATATATATATATCATATTATATATATATATCATATTATATATATATTATATGTATTCACATAGCCCCTACATCCATGTTTTTGGACCCACATCCATGAGTGGAACCCCCCAAGTCGCTGGAAGCTTATGGTCATAAGATGCAGTGTCAGATTGTTGGGTCATAAGTTTGACTTTGTCACCAAATTGAGATCGAATAGGAACCTAGAACCCCCAAAACATTTCCAGAATGACATCTACAGAAATATATTTGTTTCATTCTGTTTCCCCAGTTCTGTCCAATTTGGATGTAAGGAAATTTCACTTACCCTCTGGTAAACGTTTACATAGCTGTTGAAAATCACCATGCTATTAGTGGATAAATCCACTATAAATCACCATTTTCAATAGCAAACTGTTAGTTTACCAGAGGGTAACCATGGATGAAACAACGAGAAAGTTCCAACTGTTGATGAAACCGCCGTTCCAAGGTCAAAACCGAATCCTGCGAACAGGCCTGGTGATTCACGACGCGGCCTGGAAGGGTGGGGTATTTGTCTACTTGGTGGTGACCCTTCCTTTGGTGCTTGGCGCTTTTCTTAATCCACTCATCCACTTTCTTACAGATAAACATGATAAGCTGGATTAAAGTCATAGTGGTTGATATCGGTTCATAGTCGAACTATTGGCTCCAATGGGATTCAATGGCATATGATATGGCGTAACCGAAGAATTCTATTGGCTCACCAGATGTCAGTGAGTGCACTAAAACCCAATTATAGCTGGACCAATCCTACAAGGTGGTACCCCCCTAGTTATCTTTGTTGGTTTATTATCCCCGTTAACTAGTTTGATATAATCCCCATTCATCAACCCAACAGATATTGGACTTACTTGTACCAACTTAGCGTTCACGACCTGGGGCACCACATTGTAGCTTTCGCCTACCTATGAGTCTTTTGTGACCTGCCTAAGTGGAATCGGCCACCAAGTTGATCACGTGAAACTTTCGTGTTGTAACCAATGGGAACATTGACCATAGCAGTCAGCTTCCGATGCCACCATGTGTCCCAGATCAACAGGTCCTGAGCATTCAGAATATGGCAATCCCAATCCAACCCATGGCAACTTTTGGTTTCATGTTTCCTGGTTGGTGGGTTGGAACAATGGAATTTTATGACTTTCCATTCAGTTGGGAATAATCATCCCAACTGACGAACTCATATTTTTCAGAAGGGTTGAAACCACCAACCAGTTTCATATGACATGGCCCAGTTGGAATGGCTGCCATGCCTAGTTTCACTGGATTGGTTTAGATGAGAAAACCCATGGGTTCGCTGTAGATGTTCTCTTTAACCAATCCAGTGATAGTGTGATAGTTGAACTTGCTAGCTTTTTCTGTGGGGTTGATGTTTGATTTTGTTGGAATGTCATTTGGAGATTGACATCAAACAACGCTGATATCGCCGATATCACACCGTTGCAACTCCAGCCCAACGGCGACGTACCTGCCATGAAGATATTGATACATCAAGTATGATGCGCTTGACACAGCTTTTTAGAGCCAATTTGTGTAAACTTCAAATAATACATCACATACATCACGAATATTGCTTCGACATATCCACTTGCCTGCTACCTTGAGTGTCATCCGTTTAGTTGCTTCAACTCCTATTCTTGCTGGTTATTGCTAGTCAATGCTAGTCAAATTTCTATGATGTTCTTTGTTTTTGGTTCAAACAATATTGTTGCTCTCGATTTCCCCTATTTTGGTGGGTTGAAACCCACTTGAGTTGGCAAAATTTAAGTATTTTACTTCCTAGCACCATCTGTTTATGCTGAATTTCTTTTTTAAAATCACAATTTGATACCCTCATCCCCGCATGGCTGTCGATTCTGAAGGCAACATCCTGGTCTGGGGCGTTTTGGAGATTGGTCGGGACGGCCCAGTGCAGAGACCATCAGCAGTGGTTTCTATGTGGATGACTAAGCCTGAAAAAGCATGGGGGAACACTGAGAAGTGACGATATTACCGGCAAACACATGACTGGTTGGTGGGTTGGAACCATGGAATTTTATGACTTTCCATTCAGTTGGGAATAATCATCCCAACTGACGAACTCATATTTTTCAGAGGGGTTGAAACCACCAACCAGATGAATTCAACCGGCAAACATTGATTTAAGCGGCAACCTATGGGGATTCAGCCAGCAAATTTTGAAAATTACGCAGCAATTTTTTGGAGATTCAACATGATTCAACCGGTAAGAGTGGCGATGCAATCACCAACACTTATCACTTAAAGTGACCTTAACATGTGTTTGCTTTCACCATCACAATAGCAAATATGTGGGTTTTTGTCCAGCAACATCCAAGAATAAAAGGTGATATTCACCAATCATGTTTTAAAAAAAAAGTTTGGATGAAACACATCAGCAGTTGGGGTAGTTTTTGCACTTTGCAAAGCTTGGGGAAATATATAAGGGACATGGACATGGTTGGTGAATGCTCCATAGAGCTGGAAACATCGTAGACATCTTTGGGGCATTTGTAGGGTGAATAGGAACTACAATGTGGGTCCCCGTCAGTTATTTGTTGGTTTATAAACTCCATTAACTATAGTTACACGTATCATACACCATACCCTCTGGTAAAGTAACATAGCTATTGAAAATGGCCCTTTCAGAAATCGTTGATTTACCTATTCAAAGTGGTGATTGTTCCCATCGTTCTATGTAAACGTTTACTGGAGGGTTATTGGAGTATCACCATTTTGATCCCCATGATTCTCATGTCGAAAAACCCAGAAGCTGAGCCCGAAAATGTTCTGAAGCCATTACAATATAAAGAAATCCCATGAATATATGCATATAAATGTATATGTATATATATATATATATACATATGAAATTATATGAATATGCCATGAATATATATATATATGAATGGTTGCCATTTCTATCCCAATGTTTGCTAAAAATCTCAAGAAAACTCCCCATGTTTGATGCTTAAACATTGTTGTGAAACTCGTCCAACAAGTCACTGGACAATCCTATGTAGATCCCCTTGAATGTGAATGTTTAGTTCTCACCAGTGACCAAAAGTTCGTTGGTTAGTTTCATTCCCATTTAACTACCTTTATACTCTCATTGTATTCCCATCATCAACCATCATAGATATATATATATATTCACATAAACTTTAATTTTTTGTCAGTGCCATCCGCTTGATTCATGACATCAAGTCTTTGTGGTTTTTCGAAATTTCGATCAGCCGGCGACGTCTTTTTTTGTTCCGCAAAAAAGTGGTAGCTGGGATCATCCAAGAGCAACAGCCTCTGCTAATTTGTTTTTTTTGAGAAGAGCTGATACAAAACCCCAAACAAGCATATCTTTTTGTTGCATTCCCATCATGAACAAAATATCAAGTATGTTTAAGTTATAAGTCAGAAGCTATAATGTGTATATAATATATTATTCTAGCTCCAAGTTACCCAAATTCAGAAAATGTACATATACTATGAAGCCATCGTACTCCAGACCTGTCTCTTTGGACCCACTGTTTTCCCAACCTGTTTCCCTGTGGGTGACATGTTTCACACCTGTGAATTGACTGGTTGCGATGGGAAGACCTTTCAGCTCAATTTGGAAATTGTTTGGCACCATGTCGATGCCTTGTGTTGTTCCTGAAATGCTATGGAGCCTGGATGAACTAAAGCGTGTCCTGATAAGTGAGTTTCCCATTTTGGAGACTGAAGAAGGAGAGGGTTTCAACATATTGTTTGACTTGTTTGTTGAGTGGGCTGAAATCCTGTTAAATTACAACAACCAGCATCCACCCACTCTGTCGAATTTGGGGAATTGTGGCCCAGAATCCTTCTCTCAGGGGATTTCCGGCCGCGCATACTCATATCGCATCGCACTCGAGGGGTGTCATCGCACCCCAGAGGACCCCATCGCACTCCACACACCTACTCACAGATCATCGTACTCCACAAAAGGGATCGTACACCAGAAAAACTTGCGCAGACAGCCAAAAACATTTTTTTTCGAAAAATTGACCTGAAGAGCTTTTCTTATTTTTTTTTTCCTCTTCGGAGGTAAAATGCTCTGGAATCTGATAATATGGAATATGGGGGAAATTGTTGTTTTTCCAGCGTTTTGAACAGTCGCGCATACAATCGCATTCCATGAAATTTTGATACTTTTGACCCGTGGAGGCTATGGAAATTCTCGATTGTTGTCTTAGTCGTGCGCGATAGAGTGTGATGCCTTGTGGGTATGTGGAATGGAATTTGCAGCCTCGAGTTGATCAAAAATGATATTAAAATATGCCTGAGAAGCCCACATGCAGGAACGGCAACGCATACGGGGGGGGGCATCGTACTCCAGGGGTGGCATCCTACTCAATGTAACTGTATTAAGTGGGAATATGGTACCATTTGGGTTCGAGGAAGAACAGCGTAATCCAGACTTGGCCCCGTTTACAGATGCGGAAGCTGAGCCGCCAGCCAAACGCGTCAAAAAATAAGCTGAACAGCTTATCCAATGGTTTTAAAAGATCCTAGAGAGAAGCTGATGATTGATGAGAGAAACAAGACTTTATGATTATGTTTATTCAAGAAATCATTGCTTGAGAAGGTTCTCAGCGGGGTTAAACATGTGCGACTGGACACGACAGCACGTGACAAGGGAGCACCTGACAAGGGTCACACAACCTTATTCTCATCATCAAAGGTCGTTCATTATTTTCCAAATTTCCGGAGCTATTTGGGCATGGAATATGAACAGCCTTGGAATATGGGTAAGATTTTGCTAGAATTATGTATATTCCTTAGCAATACCCCCCAAAAAAGTTGGTGAAATATATCCTTATTCCCCCTATATTCCAATATTAAATATATTCCTGTATCAATTAATTGGTTATATCCATTTTATTCCTTAATTCAAACACACCCAAGGATCATATCAAATATAGCTTAAGTTATGTTTGATTACCCAACAATCATTCTGAACCATATATCAGTACACCAAAGAATCACATCAAGTATATCTTAAGTATATTAGTACTATATCCCTGTATTCCTTACTATATAGCTTAATGTCTGTAGGAATAATGTGGGTAAAACAAATTCATAAACCATTAAACAATTACCAAAATCTGTCCATTTAAAAATACCTATCCATTCTTTCGGAAAATCAGGCGCTTCTACTGTGGCACTTGTTTCTTCAAATGGGTGGTTGATCATTGTTTTTCCCTTCCGCAGACCTCCTGGAATTACATTAAGATCAACTGAACGAAGCTCCGCTGTGAATGGAAGCAGATTGGAAACACCTAACCAATGGAATTTGTTAATTAATTATTAGTTGTTTTCCCCACATTATGATCCCCGTTAGATATAACCCCCATAAACCCTAGATATCGGACTTATAAACCAATTTAGCTAACGACCTGGGGCACCACCTTGTAGGAGTATATATAGAATCTCTTACAATTATAGTAGATCAATGGAATACCGGCCATAGTTTTAAATATATAGCAATAATAGAATATATATATATATATGGCCATTAATGTTTCATTTATTTGTAATGGCCATATATAGTTACAACTAGATAGATGATATTCCATTAAAATGTAACTACATTAATATAATGGCACTATTAATATTCCATTCATCTTGGATGTGAGTTTAGTCCTTTAGTCTACTAACCGGCTAAGAATATTTTTTGCAGGCTATTTAAGATTGGCCAAAATACGTTGCATTAATATATAGTAATAATAGAATATATATAATGCCATTAATATTCCATTAATATTCCATTAAAACGATAGTTTCAATTAATATAGTTACTTTAATATATGACTATTCCATTCAATTAATACATGGCAACTATAGTGATTGGCTATAGTTGCAACAAAGTATAAAGTTCCCTTAATATCGAATCCATTAATATAGTTGCAATTTAATATACCTTTAGTATATCATTTGAGTTACCTAGAATCTACCTCTGATATACCTTTTACTTGACCTTGAAAATAAATTGAGTATGCCTCGACGATACCTTCAAGGTGGTGCCCCCAAGATAGCTAAGTTGGTTTATAACTCCAAAAACTATATTTTATAGGTGATACATGGAACTAGTTCATGGGCTTTTAATAACCAATTTAAAACTGGGGGGGCACCACCTGGTATGTATGGCCAATTATGGGTCTGTGATTTTCATATAATGATATTATAATTTTAATAATGGTAATACCTATGGTATATATGTATGTATATATATATATACCCTATGGATCCAAACACTGTCTGAGAAGGTACTTAACCCTCCAAACCAAACGATAGTAGATTATTCCCCAGTCCCACTTCCTAAGAAGGTACTTGGACCCATAATATATGGGATAGTCCTTCCATTGACTAATATTTTTCAAGATGGTCAAAACCACCAACCAGTAGCTACTATGGCTATGGATCAATACATATGAATACCATTTCTAGGTGGATGAACATCCAGAAATCCCAGCTATGGATTGATGTGAACAAAAACCCAGTTGCAAATCTATTTTACAACGATAGTTTTGCAGATCTCGGAGCCTCGAGGTACCGCCAGCAGCCCCTTCGGTCAGAGCACCGGCAACACAGCGCGTGTTGAGCTCACGGGCAATGTCCTCGACCTCGCGGAGCGGCTGTTGCGGGGCCGGGGGAGAGGGGTTTGCCACCGGGAGAAGTGGGGAAGACCATGGGAAAACATAGGGAACAGTGTGGATTTCTGGGGGAAACCATGGGGAAATATATGGAAAAAATTGATGTCACTTGATGTAATCGGGCAAAAATGATGAAACATAGAGAGTTCAAATGATTTCATCCTGGAAACATTAGGATTTCTTATGATTAGATCATGGATGTAAGCAAAAAAATGAGGGGGTTGAGTTCTGAAAAAAATGTAGATGGCACAAGTTGAGAAGTTTTGAGAATCAACTTTTGGTTTATATAAACCAAGGACGTCAGAAACAGAATGATCTTCTGCAGAATATATCTGAATTTGTTCGAATGTATCGGCAGAGAAACAAAAACAATAACCAACCATTTTGATTTTTATCAAACAACAAATATATAAATGTATCACCTGTATGATTTCCATACCAATGTAGCGATATGGACCACCCTTGCAGCTGGCAGGATTACATGTACATCCAGGAGCAATCGCTCTGGGGCAAGGCTGGAGTCTGGGTGTGACGAAAAGCATGACTTCAACATGCCAGTTTTGAGCAGTGACAAAACAAGGGTAGGTTAGTCGTTATAAGGGGGTTATACGACCTACTTTCTTGGGGATTATTATATATTATTTTGGATATCCCGTGCCCAACCAGCAAGTTTAAAACAATGACAAAAGGGATTTGAACACTGCTCACGTGATGGTTCCTGAACATTTGGATTCCCAAGAGTAACATATGTCATTTCAGTGGGTCAAGGTTTCCCAAGTTTGAGAAACATCTAGTTAAATGTGGGTTATGTTTGCTGGCTGTGGGTCCCCATCAACTAGTTAGATCGTTCCATGTATATATATATATGGATATATTTCATCTGTAGATAGTTACATATCAACCAAATAATATTGGTTATAGATGGTTATAGTATATAATCTAGAATACTCTAGGATAATCTAGGTCAATCTTAGGTGGGTAGAAACTAATCCTTTAGTCTTTGGGTAACAATGGGATTATCTACGTTCACCAGCTCATCATTTTTTTTTTTGCAGGGTATCTGGCTGATTGGCAGTGTATACATAAACCAATAGAATTATCCTAGTTATGTTCACCAACTTCGCGCGAACAGCTCACGAATTGGGCACCACCTTGAAGGGTAACAGTGGCCATCCGCAGTGCTAAACTGTTGGATGTCGCACATCAATCACTGTCAATCCAGTAGTGTTCAAATGTTTGGATTGACCATCTCTGTAATGTGTTGCTCAATTGACTTACATTCATTTTAGTACATATAGTAGTTGGATGTAGTCGGATTGTAGCTCTTTTTTTCGCCGAAATATTGACATCGTGCCCACAAGCCACCAGATATCGCAAATCAGGACACAACCAAATCCAAATGCGGATCATCACATTTCTGCTGGTTGTTGTTGATGTCTACAGTTATAGCCATTTACCAGTTATAAGTACTTATAACCCCATTTATAGAATGTATAATCCCATTTATAACCAGTTATAACTAATAAATGGCCATAACTGTAAACTAGTTTTGTCAATTAATATGTCTTCTAGTTCTTCAAATGATCATACCCCATATATTTTTCATTGTTGACAAATGTGTGTGTGTATCCTGACGATGGTTATCACAACATGCTTTTGGAAGTAATCATAATGATTCATATGTAATGACCGCATGTGTTGTTGTTTAAAGTCATTATTAATGTTTGTTTCATGGATCATAATGTTAAATGTTTCTTATTACTGGCTGTTTCTGGAAACAACCAATAATGTTCCATTAATTAAGGACACCATGTTTTATAGCTGTTTCTTGGTTGTTTCATGGTGTCCTTCTTGTTCTGCCTCACACTCGCACCGTCGGCGTTCTCAGGTGGTCACTGTCATCGGACAGGCCGTTTTTGGGCGGGAATTTGAGAAGAAAACCCCGGGGCTCAAAACATATTATTACTTAATGTTATTACATAATGTTACTACTTGATGTTATTATTGTACATAATGTGACTACTTTATGTCATTTCTTGATGATACATAATGTTCTCATATGTTGATGTCATCATGTTATATTTCAATGGTTCTGAAGGGTCGACTCTCGATTTACTACGTGCGAATTACTATGACCTCCAAATACTCGTCCCTTGGTCCGGTGTGTTTTAATGAATGATACACAGATGCGAAGCATGGTGCTAAAAAAAAAGACTATCCCTATGGATCCAGTTGTACCTTCTCAGGAAGTACGACTGGGGTATGATGACTAGGGGGTGTTTTGTACCTTCTCAAACAGTGGCCATGGATCCATAGGGTATATGACTGGGTCATTTTTATGGTAAATGTACGTAGGTTTATATTCCAGCATCATGGTATATCATGGTACATGACTGGGTCGTGTTTATGGTTTTTATGTAGGTGTTTATATTCCAGCACCATGGTTTGCATCTGGGATGATATAGATCAAGCTACATCAATCATCATCCATCTACATCAATCCTGGCAAGCAGGAAGATCCATATATGTTGGGACTACGGGCGCGAGGATTCCCACTATGGAGCGGCACCATGTCGTCGCACAGACCGGGCTGTCGACATGGGAAACAAAATCTACAGCTTGGTGGTTTATTGCTTGTGCACAGTGGCCGGCTGGTGTGATATCGATTGTGGACCATTGAGCTTTCCAGGGATGGAATTACTGTAGAACGCGCCAAACCATTACGGCGCGGCGGCCGCGCCGGCATGGTGGCGATTCCAAGACCCACGGGACTCCGGAGGCAATGGAGGCTGGCGGTTGCTGGTGCTGCTGGTGGTGTTGGTGTTGGTGTTTTTTATCGATGTTGTTGTTGTTGTTGTTGTTGTTGTCGTTGTCGTTGTCGTGTTCGTTGTTGTTGCTGTTGTTGTTGTTGGTTGTTGTTGTTGTTGTCGTTGTCGTTGTCGTTGTTGTTGTCGTTGTCGTTGTCGTTGTTGTTGTGGTGGTTGTTGTCGTTGTCGTTGTCGTTGTCGTTGTTGTTGTTGTGGTGGTTGTTGTCGTTGTCGTTGTCGTTGTCGTCGTCGTCGTCGTCGTAGTAGTAGTAGTTAGTAGTAGTAGTAGTAGTAGTAGTAGTAGTAGTAGTAGTAGTAGTAGTAGTAGTAGTAGTAGTAGTAGTAGTAGTAGTAGTAGTAGTAGTAGTATAGTAGTAGTAGTAGTAGTAGTAGTAGTAGTAGTAGTAGTAGTAGTAGTAGTAGTAGTAGTAGTAGTGTAAGTAGTAGTAGTAGTAGTAGTAGTAGTAGTAGTAGTAGTAGTAGTAGTAGTAGTAGTAGTAGTAGTAGCTAGTAGTAGTAGTAGTAGTAGTTTAGTAGTAGTAGTAGTTTGTTGTTGTTGTTGTTGTTGTTGTTGTTGTTGTGTTTGTTGTTTGTTGTTGTTGTTGTTGTTGTTGTTGTTGTTGTTGTTGTTGTTTGGTGTTGGTGTTGGTGTTGGTGTTGGTGTTGGTGTTGGTTGTTGTTGTTGTTGTTGTTATTATTGTTGTTGTTGTTGTTGTTGTTGGTGTTGGTGTTTTGTTAGCGATGTTGTTGTAGTTGTAGTTGTTGTTGTTGTTGTTGTTGTTGTCGTTGTTGTTGTCGTTGGTGTTGTTGTCGTTGTTGTTGTCCTTGTTGTTGTCGTTGTCGTTGTTGTTGTTGTTGTCGTTGTCGTTGTCGTTATTGTTCTTCTTGTTGTTGTTGTTGTGGTGGTTGTTGTTGTGTTTTGTTTTGTTTTTGTTGTTCTTGTTGTTCTTTGTCTTGTTCTTGTTCATTGTCGTTGTTGTTCTTGTTCTTGTTCTTGTTGTTGTTGTTGTTGGTGTTGTTGGTGTTGTTGGTGTTGTTGTTGTTGTCGTTGTCGTTGTTGTTGTTGTTGTTGTGGTGGTTGTTGTCGTTGTCGTCGTCGTCGTAGTTGTTGTTGTTTTTCTTGTTGTTGTTGTTGTTGTTATTTCTTGTTGTTGTTGTTGTTGTCGTTGTTGTCGTTGTTGTTGTTGTTGTCCTTGTTGTTGTTGTTGTTGTCCTCGTTGTTGTTGTTGTTGTTGTTATCGTTGTTGTTGTTGTTGTTGTTGTTGTCATTGTTGTTGTTGTGGTTGTTGTTGTCGTTGTCGTTTTTGTTTTTCATACAGGTTACCCTGTTTTTCATACAAGTTACCTTTGTTTTTGAAGGTTATTCATACAAGTTACCCTGTTTTTCAAGGTTATTCATAGGACTTACCTTTTTCCCCAAGGTTATTTATATCATCTACCTGGGTGTGCTTGCTTTTTTGCCTATGTCAACAGCAGCCACTGTGACAGTACGCATGTATTGGTTTGAGTTTCTTTGTTTCAGCAAGTAAACATGCTTTCACCCATTTGTTGATTCTTTGGTCTGATTCTTTGGCCCTTCCACTTCGTAGGTATCAAACCTGTACATCACTTTTCCTCCTTGGTTGACCCCTGTGATGTCACCACTGGCCAGCGCCTGGTTGAAGGCATCAGCATCGCCATGGAAGTAGTGATGGAGCATGATTGCACGTGGAAAACTGGTCTGGGCATCTTTGCCAAAGCTCTTGTCAGAGGTCTCTTCAGCCAGCTTCTGAAACTGGGATTGTCTGCCTGCATTTCCCAGCAGCCTGTCTTGGAGTTCTTCTTGTAACAAGCAGTCGCCCGACATAGTTTTTTCTTCCGTGGTTTCAGATTTTTCCCAGATCTCCTTGATCTGTGCTGGAACTTTTCCTGCTTTGAGCAGCCTGTTGAACTTGCCACCAGAACCTTTGGAACGCTTTTCATTGTGACCATCAGGATCCACACATTCATCCTGTTCTCTCACTTCTTCTTCTTCTTCTCCCTTTTCTTCTTCTCCCTCAACCTTCTCAACCTCTTCTTTCGCTTCTGGCACCCCAGACTGGAGCTTGGAGACTTGGTCTCTGGTACCACCTTTGGCAGCAGGCCTTTTGAAAGGTGTAGGGGTGTCTTCCTTTTTGTTCTTCTTTTCTTTCTTCTCCTTTTGTGTCTTCTCCTTTTTGTCCTTGGCACTTCCTTTGGCTTTGGCCTTTGGCTTCGGTTTTTTCCCTTTGAAAGTCTTTGGTGGTGTCTTTGGCACCTTGGGTTTGCTTCCTGCCTTTGCTTTGGAAGCTGGTTTTTCAAGCGGTTGCTGCTCTTCCTCCTCTTGCTCCTCTTCCTTATCCTCATTCTCTTCATCTTCCTTCTCTCCCTTATTCTCATTCTCTTCATCTTCCTTCTTTTCGGGTTCCATGGCCACCTCAGAAGCCTGGCTGTAGCAAGGGCTCCCAGGTATAAATACCTGGCAGTAGTTTTCACTGGGCTGTTGTGCACGGAGCAACAAAAAGTGTGTAATTGGATACCTGGTATTCACTATTTATACATGTTAATTTGTTGGGGTGTTACTTGAAGGTTATTAGAGAGATAATTTTACATTGTGGATAACTTCTTGAAGTGGTATTTGAAAATTATTAGAGATATATTTCTACAGTGTTCATGTTGCCAGCAAAACCTTGGAAGTGATGGTGCTTGAGAGCAGCACACATTGTGTGTGCATCTAGTCTCTACTATTTGCTGCTAATGACAAACATTTTAGATTTCAACCATGTTGCATTGCTGCTGTTGGCTTTGGGCCTGGAAAGAATGAAACAGAAAAATGCCATGCAAGCACCTACAGGACTTCTGTTTTTGGTGATGGTTTTGATGACAACGATCCTTTTGACTTTGAAACTTCTAAGGCCCCTTAGCAGTTTGCTTAGAAACTTCTAAGGCAGCTTAGCAGTTTGCTTAGAAACTTCTAAGCAAACTGCTAAGGCCCCTTAGCACTTTGCTTAGAAACTTCTAAGCAAACTGCTAAGGCACCTTGGCACTGTGTTGCAAAAGTTCCTAAAAAACACATTTTTTTGGCTGGAACTTTTGCACATTTTTTCTCCAAATAAAAGGATCGTTGTCATCAAAACCATCACCAAAAACAGAAGTCCTGTAGGTGCTTGCATGGCATTTTTCTGTTTCATTCTTTCCAGGCCCAAAGCCAACAGCAGCAATGCTAACATGGTTGAAATCTAAAATGTTTGTCATTAGCAGCAAATAGTAGAGACTAGATGCACACACAGTGTGTGCTGCTCTCAAGCACCATCACTTCCAAGGTTTTGCTGGCAACATGAACACTGTAGAAATATATCTCTAATAATTTTCAAATACCACTTCAAGAAGTTATCCACAATGTAAAATTATCTCTCTAATAACCTTCAAGTAACACCCAACAAATTAACATGTATAAATAGTGAATACCAGGTATCCAATTACACACTTTTTGTTGCTCCGTGCACAACAGCCCAGTGAAAACTACTGCCAGGTATTTATACCTGGGAGCCCTTGCTACAGCCAGGCTTCTGAGGTGGCCATGGAACCCGAAAAGAAGGAAGATGAAGAGAATGAGAATAAGGGAGAGAAGGAAAATGAAGAGAATGAGGATAAGGAAGACGAGCAAGAGGAGGAAGAGCAGCAACCGCTTGAAAAACCAGCTTCCAAAGCTCAAAGGCAGGAAGCAAACCCAAGGTGCCAAAGACACCACCAAAGACTTTCAAAGGGAAAAAACCGCAGCCAAAGGCCAAAGCCAAAGGAAGTGCCAAGGACAAAAAGGAGAAGACACAAAAGGAGAAGAAAGAAAAGAAGAACAAAAAGGAAGACACCCCTGCACCTTTCAAAAGGCCTGCTGTCCAGAAGTTCTGAGTCTGCAACTTCTTTCAAATGTTCCACAACTTGATTGGAAAAGTCCATGAGTAAAATTTGAATTCTTTGTCCATCCATCTCGGCTGGTGGGGTCAAAGGAGAGGCCAAATCCCAAGCGGCTGCCGCAACTTCCACCACGGCTGATGGCCCAAGAACTTCGCTTGGACCAGCCGACTGTGCTGGCTGCAAGACTTCGCTTGTAGCCGTATTGAGTGGGAGCGCCAAAAGAAGCCTTATAGATGACCGTGACCAGGACCGTCTCCCTATACCGACCCAGTACCGGTGTGTCCGACGTGTACCTCCTGCCTGGCAGTTCCGGTGTGTTTTTAGTGTAGCTACCCTTCAGTCGGACATGTTGAAGTCAAAGCAGTCAAAATATGGGGGGTTCCAGTACCCCCAAAATGGACGGATGGTTTTTCTATGTTTTTTTCTTATGGATATGTTGATGGAAATCGATGATTTCAGGGTATATTCTATTTTAGGAAACCTCCATACAAAATAAACCAAATAATCAGATCCAAAAATGGGGTTTGGTTTTGATAACCAGATCTAACATCATATAACCATCATATAACCATCATGTCTATTCATTTCTTCATTAATGATTTATCACTCGTGTGAAAGACGTAGCCATGACTGTATGGACCCCCTCATGTTTGAGAAGATTTTCAAGTAATCAGCATTTCCAGGCTAGCCGCAGGTGCATACAAGGTGGATCGCAGCTGCATGCTATGACAGTCGTCCCTACTATTGGGATCCCCTGTCGAGAAAGTTTGGGGTATCCCCCAGTGAGTGGCTGGAGAATGATGACCCATCTTATAGCCGAAATCAAACAGGGAAAGTTGGGTCCAGTGAACCACTTGGGGTGAACTTAAATCAACAGGTCGCGATTCCGTTTTTGCCACCTTCAGAAATCATTGAAGAACTTACCATCTGTTTGTGATATTTTGGGGTTGCTGATAGTTACTATGCTTGGCTTCACCTAGTTTTTTTTCTCCCCATCATAGGCGTCCCGAAAAAGGATAGAAACAACTTTTCCAGCAGATATGGATGATATGTTCGCCATTTTTTGCTGGTTAAGCTATTCTTATTTTCTCAAAAGATCAACTCCCTGTAGGGTTGTTGGGTTGTTGTTGGTTGTATCCCCAATTTGTAGATGATGTTCCCATTCAAACCTCCCATTCGATGGGTGCGATCATATTTTAAAGGATTACAGTTATGGCCATGGCTATTAGTTATAACTGGTTATGACTCTATATGGGATAACAAACATTCTATAAATGGGGGTTTTGTTAGTACTTATAACTGGTATCACTCGGGCCACAACTGTAGATGAACATGGGATTTGAATCTGGAACATATTTTATGTGATATGTTACCCTCTGGTTATTTCCTTAGTTATAACTGGTATTTCTGGCCATAACTGTACTGACATGCCATGTCTCGCCATGTCTCGGAGCAAAAAACCGCAGGTCAACACCTACGGAGCTCCGATTCCAAGCACTTGGTTGCTGAGCTTTGGGCGTGGGTTTTGAGGGGAACATGGCGCCGCGATGTGGGCGTTTCAAACGTGCCAAAATGTGGGCGTTACCCTCTGTTTATGTCAAAATAGCTATTGAAAATGACCATTTATAGTGGATTTTCCCATGAAACAAGGTGATTTTCCATAGTTATGTTAGTTTACCAGAGGGTATTTGTTATTTCATAAACCCCACAGCACTTCGAGATCTCCAGCATTAATCCATAGATGAAACCTATAGTTTACCTAGTGTTAATAAATGTTATAAAGCAACTTCTGAATCCGCGTCTGGTCTGAACATGTGGTGTAGAGTTGCCATTTTAGTCGAACATATGAATATGAATATGAATATCAATATGAAGAAGATGATGATGATGGTGATGATGATGATGATGATGATGACGATGACGATGACGATGACGATGATGCTGATGATGATGATGATGATGCATGATGCATGATGCATGATACATGATATTTGTGGGTACAGCCTCCCAGTTTTGTTCAGAGTGATAGTAGAGAAACTGATTGCAAATTGTAAGTATATAGCTAGATTAAATATTATTAAATCTGAATCCGCAGCCGCAATTTATTTTGCATTCACTTAGCTTCTAAGTCTTCGACTCCAAGATGTCAACGTGGGTCCCCCGACTATGAATTGCTTTGTATTCAACTGCATGGTGGTACCCCCGAGTTGTAAGTTGATTTATGTTGATTTTTAATCCCTTTTAGCAAATTATATAATTCCCATAAGCCCTTCGCAGTTATTGGAGCTGCAATGCACCAACTTTTCCGCGATTCCAAAAACAGGGGCACCACACTGTTATTGCACCAACTCCGCTAAGGTTGAAGGGGGCCGAACATGGTCCTACCATTCTGTTCTGTTGGTTATATCATGGTTGTATCACATCCCAATGATGATCATCAAGGTTGGTTTCAATAACCACCAATTTTGGATAATTGTGTTCACGAAAACCATCATCATTCTCAATGTGTATCCTCACATTGTCGGGTTTATCCATTGATTCTAGCAAATCCCAATCATATGATAACATCCACATGTGTTGCTGGTTAAATATATCTTTCTTTTGTCTATGTGCTAAGCATGTTTGAATATGGTGGTTTCCCTTGCCTTCCAGCAATTTCCAGCACCTTAAATGATTTAAATGGGGGGTTCCTAAACCATCCAGCTATGGAGGTCGCCCCATGACTATGGAAACCTCCAAAGCTCCAAATTACCATATGACGACTGGGGGAATCATGACTACGTAAGGCCTAAATTTCAGGGAATATCCCCAGAAAATATGGCCTGAAATATGGTACAGTCCAGTACCTCCATCTGTTGGATCCTGAAGATCTACCATTGATCATCCATTCACCAACTATTTTTCAGGTACCATCCAGGTGGGTTTTGACTCAAAACCACAGCCATGTTCCACCAAAGGTTGCGTTTGGCCAGCAGCATCAGCGCTACTGATGAGAGCGCCTGTGTGCTGAGTTCCATGTGGGCAACACCCAGCGGGTTGCAGTGATGCCAGTGCCAGTGGGATGACGCGACATGATCCCTGGGGGCGGTCCTAGAATGGGGGTACTCCAAATACCAACTGTAATGGGAATATATTAGAATATAATATTAACAGTGGCATATTAATAGATGATTATAATAGGATTATATCACTATATAGAGTAAGTCTAATTAACGGATATCGAAATCCTATATTAGCAAGGATATAACATGATATTAGCTAATATATTTGCATAAGATGTTCTAGAACGGGGGTACCCCAAATACCATCTGTAATGGGAACATATGAATATATTAATGATTATTACAGGATGGCCCCCCCAGTTATAAGTGCGTTTATAAACCATTATAACCCCTATTAACTATAGTTATATCTACCATAAAACCACTTATAAGGCAACTGAACGCTATCGACTGGGGGCCCCATCCTGTAGCACGAGATATAACATGATACAAAACCCTCTGATTTCGATGCTGATGCGTCTCGTGTTTACGAACGCGGTGGCTGCTTTTTATCCTCTGTTGGTTGATTTTTGTGTAGGGGTGATGCTATGTAAAAAACTATCCAATTTGCTGATATTTACTGGGGATTGCCACAAGCCATTCTGGAAATAGTATTGAGCAATCAGTATAATTACATGATGTTGCGGGTTTTGACCACTGCTCTTTTGAGGTTCCATATGGTTCCATACTGTTTGTTCTTGGAAAATTCGCGCTGATCACACCAAAGTGTCTTCGCAGCTCACTTTCAGAGCTCCCAGAATCGAGATTATTTTGGTGTTATGACGTTATCACCTCTCACTTCGTGATTTAGAATTTAAGGAATAGTCCTGATGTTATAAAAAAAAACGAGCAAGACCTGCCTTGAACAAAGCACTTAGCTATCAACCAGCGACTCAGTGGTATGATGAATCATAGACATACCCTCTGGTTATTTAACATAGCCATGGTATAGATGGCCCATTTTTACGGGAGAGGGATCAAAAAAAAACAAATAGGGATCAAAAAAACAAATTTGAAAACTAAAGGAGGAGAAGGAAGGAAGGAAGGAAGGAAGGAAGGAAGGAAGGAAGAAAGCAAGAAAGAAAGAAAGAAAGAAGTAACCTTCTCTTGAAAAATGAAAGGAAAGCTTCCTTCTCTTGACCCCCCCACCCGCTTTTATTTTTTAAACGGTTCCCTTGCTACCTACTCTCTTTCATTTTTTTCATAGGCATCATTTCTTTGGGTTCATCTTCTCTTTCTTAATCTTTATTTATATCCATCGGGACTTGAGCCTTTGTGCTTCTTTCTTGGTACGCATTGCGGGGGGGAGGCGCTGCGCCCTCCCCCCTGCACCCCCCACCCGCTTTTATTTTTCAATCGACTACCCTTGCTACCTACTATTCGTTTTGTTTTTTTCATAAGCATCATCGGTTATTTGGGTTCATTTTATCTTTATTGATATCCATCGAGATTTGTGCCTATGTACTTCTTTCTTGGTACGCATTGCGGGGGGAGGCGCTGCGCCCTCCTCCCTGCACCCCCCCACCCGGTTTTATTTTTTAATCAGCTTCCCTTGCTACCTACTCTATTTTTTTTTCCGCAAGCATCGTTTTATTGGGTTTATTTTTATATAATCAATATTTTCATTCTTGCTGCTACTGCTACTGCTACTGCTACTACTGCTGCTACTACCACTACTACTACTACTACTACTACTACTACTACTACTAGTACCAGTACTAGTACTAGTACTACCACTACAACTACTTTCTTCCTTCCTTCCTTCCTTCCTTCTTTCCTTCCTTCCTTCCTTCCTTCCCTCGATTTCGTTTTTTTTTGATCCTTTTTTTTTGGGGGGGGATCCTTATTTGAATTTATTTATTTTTTTCAAGATCAGAGAAACACACTTACAAGTATTATGACACATCGTGGACGAACACTCGATCAGACAACATGCAAGCACTACGTGACCTGTTCCTGGAAATGTATGTGCCGGCCAGAGGCCCGGCAAAGCGCGCAAACTAGCTCTGGCCAAGCCTTTGTCGTCACAAAAAGGTGGATGGTATAGTATGGCCCACCAACTGCTACGTTGAGTGTTACGGTACTACTGCTGCCGCTGTAATCCGCTGTATGCTGTGACAGCGCAACAAAGGTGGATGATAAGGCCCATCTACATTGCGAAATGTATCATGACCATGTGACGCTTTGCGGGGGGAGGCATTGCGGGGGGAGGCGCTGCGCCCTCCCCCCTGCACCCCCCCACCCTTTTATTTCTTAATTGACTTCCCTTGCTACCTGCTCTCTTTTCATTTTTTTCATAGGTATCGTTTCTTTGGGTTCATCTTCTCTTTCTTAATCTTTATTTATATCCATCGAGACTTGGAGCCTGTGTGCTTCTTTCTTGGTACGCATTGCGGGGGGAGGCGCTGCGCCCTCCCCCCTGCACCCCCCCACCCGCTTTTATTTTTTAATCGACTTCCCTTGCTACCTACTCTCTTTCGTTTTTTTCATATGTATCCCCATTTGCTTTTTTGATCCTCCCTTTCCGTAGTTTCTTGACGATTTTCAGTACGATCGTCCTTATTTGTTTTTTTTGATCCTTATTTGTTTTTTTTTGATCCCTCGATTTTGTTTTTTTGATCCTTATTTGTTTTTGTTTGATCCGTTAGCTCATTTTTACATGGTTTACCTATTAAAAATGATGATTTTCCAGGTCGCTACGTTGAATAATCAGATGGTATCTCATGTAGGAATCGACCCCCAGCTACCCCTGTGGAAGGTGATGATTCCCACAGAAAAACTACTGACTGGGACTGGAATGTCTACCCACAAGGCCATTTAAAGTGACCGTCACACTTACCCTCTGGTTATTTAACGGTTTGCTATGGAAAATGACCCATTTATAGATGATAAACATGATGATTTACCTAATTAAAAATGGTGATTTCCCAGTTCGCTACGTTAAATAACCACAGGGTAAATCATTTACGGGTATATTTACGGTCACTTCACTTGGCCCAGGTTTTGAGGTGACTCACCCTCCAGTAAATGAACATAGATATGACAAAGTGTTTTCCTATGAAACGATCTATAGATAAGGTGTTTTTTCATTTTTTCATATCTATGTGGACTTGCTGGAGGCACTAGCCTCAACATAAGACCATTGTCATTTTGAACTGACGCAGGGTGATTTGGGTTTGTGCCATGCGGGTCAATACTTCGAAGTTTGTGATTTGTCCAGAAATGAGGCATGCCTCATTTTTATGGCTGTTTAGTGTACCCGATTTGGGCGAAAACCATGTTTTTTTTCCATAGTTCTGGCGAACGATGGCGTCACCAGTCGTCGCGGATGTAGCCATGGCGGGGGATTTCCCCAAATGGGGCCTGGAGACATGCAGTATCATGGTCCACGGTGCACACCGTGCACATCGGGCAGGAAGGTGGAAAACTCCTTACAATCGCACTTGGAGGAG